GCCAAGTCATCCCACTTATGATAAATCTACAGGGGAAAAATATTCAGATAGTACGATCTTCCTGCATAAAAGCCTAAGGAAGCCCAATAAATCTACCAGCTCCATTTAACACTCATCTGCTAGAGCTGTTCTCCTTTTAATATACTCCTAACAGGCAATTAAATGTTGTCTGGTTTTTATTGTGGCATTGCTCAGTTTGGAAAATATATCTGTGTTATCCACAGTCTGCTAGGGATGGACCTCCTTAGCTCAGTAAAACACCTTGCCTTTCACGCAGAAACTCCCAGGATCGATCCCTGGCTTCCCAGATAAAAGGATCCAATAGCAGGTATTGTGGAAGACCCCTCTCTGTGCCGGGAGGGAGTCATTGGAGCTGACAGTCAAATGGCGGAGATGGGGAATTAATCTGCCCTGAGTTGCTAATAAGGCAGTTTCCTGTGGTCTTTATGCAGCACCCTGGCAGACAAGGTGCCAAAGCACTTTGCAACAGATTCAAAATGTAACAGAGGATGAGAGAAACTCAGCCAGAGCAAGCATCTCCGTGGAAAAATAAAAACACTTTTCTATAGGAGAAAGGTGGTGAATGACTTGCAGAGAAAAGGTTGAAAGGGGCTGGGTACCTGAGGTCATCTTCAATCACACAGATGTCCCATAGATGATGGAGCAACTTTGGTTTCTGGTGCTGCAGAGGGCAAGACCAGCAACCAATGGATTCAAAACGTAGAAAAGGGATTTAGACTCAGTATTAGGAAGAGTTTCCCGATGGCAGAAGTTGATCAACAGTGAAGTAGGTTGCCCTGGAGGATTATTAAAACCTGGGACCCCAAAGTTCATTTTGCTTGTGTCTTCTTGCAAATGCTCAGTCATTTTGCAAATGAAAGGCACTTTGGCATCAGAGGCTCCCTTCCTATTCCCAAATGTCTGGGGGCAGCTGTGACTTACCAGCAGCAAAGGTGAAATCGCTTTGCACACGTCTGGAAGTTCCAGTTTTGGACTCTAAATCAATGGTGTTTTCCTCCCAGCTTTGCATACAGCAAAATGTTCACCTCTAACATACAGTCCGCAACTTACGTTCCAGGGATTGCACCTGCAGCCAAAATCACATATAGTCAAAACCCACCAGGTTCAATGGCAGGTGGGATTGCCAAAGTCATTTCCCCCACATCCCCACCCCCTTTAAAAAAAATAAAAAATTGCCACGCATGTAAAGCTGGATGTGCATGAGTTAAATGCACCTAAATTGTGGGCTTACTGTAGTCTGTATGAAAGTATCCCCGTCTTCATCCTCACAATAAACATGCAAGGCAGGGGAGGTCAAGAGACAACAACTATGTCCACAGAGCTTCAATTTAAGCAGATATAAATGGCAATTTAAGGGAAGGTGCCATGGCATAATAGGAGACTGTCTGCTATACGTGGCAGGTTCAATCCCTGACGTCTGTGAGTTCATTTTGTTTAAGGGTCTCGGGTACCAATCATTGTGAGAAGCCCTTTTCTGCCTGGGTCAGTTGCTGCCAGCGAGAGTAAGAGGCCGTGGAATATTCTGTGGTGCTGCCTTCAGGGCAAGTGTCTGGGGCCCCGCTCCGCGGAACACAGCCGGGCTGCTGACTTGCCACATTTGGGGAAGGGAAGCGATACACACTCAGATAGGGCTTTCCTCGGAGTAGGCATGGCTGGTCTTGCTTGCCCTGCGAGATTTCTCAACTCCATCACTGGGAGCGAGGCAGCACCAGACCTTTCCGCATGTCTTGAACTCGGACCTGCCTGGTCCTGGGCCAGCTGTCCTCTTCGCCCCCGGCTCGAAGGGCTCAGCTGCGGCTCTGCTTGCTCAGACTTCGCTCCGAGTCGAATCTCGGAGGAGGAAAAGGCCGGTTGCTGGGATCTGGTTGCAAAGGCAGCGTCGGATTAAGCGCTGCCTTGCACTTGCGTCGGGGGGCGGGGAGGGTGGACTGAAATGGCAAGCGGCTTTCCAGGGCTGGACCACCCCGGGGCTTTGGGATCGGGAGAGAGATCGGGACCGGGAGGAAAAGGAGCCACATCCCGAAGCTCCCCGGGGGGGCGGGGGGGGGAGGAAGGACCGGCCCCCCGCTGCGCGCCTGCCTGCCTGCCTGCAACGCCGAGCTGGGGAGCGAGAGGAAGGCGCGGCTCTTACCTGCAGACCAAGGCAGCGCGCAGGATCCTGGCTGCGCAGGCGGCGGGCGAAGCAGCGGGACCGGCCGGCGGCGGCTCCGAGACTCTCCAGGACAAGGTCGGAAGTGGGCGGGGCATTCCCGGGACTGCATCATCAGGCCACGCCTCCTCCCACCTTTGCAGCTGGTGATCTTGTCAATTCATAGAAGGGATCCCCCAGGGTCATCAAGTCCATGCTGAAGCTGTTTTCAGTCGCCTCCATCTCACAGAATCTTAGAACTGTAAAGTTGGAAGGGACCTCAATGGTCATCTCATGCAACTCCCTGCAATGCAGGAATCTCAGCTAAAGCATCCATGACAGATGGCCATCTACTTAAAAACCTCCAGATCTGAAAGGCCTTCCTTTTTCTTGTCAATAATGTGTTCAATCTCACTGTCATTCTCATCAAACCAGTCCTGGTGTTTCTTGGTTTGGTATCCAATAGTTTGTTCACAGGCTGCAGTAATAGAATTTTTTAGGTTGGTCCAGTGTTCCTCAATGTTATCAGGGAACTCTGAAAGCAGATGGTCCTTAAGAGTCGTTTGGAAGCAGTCCTGCTTAATGGGATCTTGAAGGGCTTGAGTGTTCATTTTGTGCCTTAGTTTCCTTCCTAGGTATAATCTTGATAGCCATTGTGGAATGTATTAATTGGTGATCTGTCCAGCAGTCATCGTCATCATAGCTCTGGTAAGGAGCACATCACAGCGATCTTCTGCTCGGACAATTACATAGTCTAAGAGGTGCCAGTGGTTCAACTGAGGGTGCCTCCATGATGTTTTAAATGTATTTTTTTGTTGAAAGTGTGTTGGTAATAACAAGATTGTGAGCTGCACATATAGTAAAAGGTAAGATTCTGTTCTGGTTGCTGTTGTCAATTCCTTCTTTCCCAATAGTTGCAGACAGCAGGCTACAAATTGAAATCTCGCCCAATTCTTGCATTAGAATCACTCAGGAGGATAATTTTATCCTCCTTAGGCATCTCTGATAGGATGGCATCCAGCTGAGAATACCATTTTTCTTTAATGTCTTCATTGACATCCAGTGTTGGTGCATAAGTGCTTAGAATAGTAGCCTGTTGGGTTCGGGCAAGTTTTATTTGAAGGCTTGAAAGTCGCTCATTAGTGCTGGTAGGGACTTCTGACACAAGATTGTTTTCGATTGCAAAGCCTACTCCATGTCTTCAATGTTCTTGTTCAGGTAGACCAAGAACATTCCAGAAGAATGTGTAGCCTCCTTTTTCTTCCTTCAGTTGCCCCTCTTCTGCTCTTTTCTTGAAGCACTGCAATATCGATGTTAAAACGTCACAACTCTCTTGCAGTGATGGCAGTCCTGCATTTGGGATGCTCATTATCTGCGTTATCCAACAGTCTGTATATTCCATGTTCAAAAGTTCTATTGTCTTTTATGACCACTGGGTGGTGACCCCATTGGGCCCGGTAATCCAGTCAGGCAAAAAGGGAGGCAGACTATGTTTAGGGCACCTTTTCTAGCCCCTCCCCCTATTTGGGGTCAGCTGAGTGTGGATCCTAAACAGGACTGCTCAGTCATGCATACAGCTGCCGAACTACTGAACTGCCTCATTCCTCGAGTCAGAATGACTGAATCTGTATCCACTGCCCATGTGCCAGTTCATGACTAGGGGCTTCCAGATTTCACAGTACTGCCCGTTACCATTTGTCAATCACCATGAAAATTGTTTGGGTTTGGGATGGGTTATTGGAAGATGCCTGTGCATGAATTTGTTTTATGTGTGTAGATCAGTGCATGCTGACCAACACACAGTCTTTGCAGTAAGGCTCTATTCTGATGGATTCTTATCTGCTGCAGCCCTCATCCACCCTCACAGCTGTTGTAACATACCACTTGTTATTATCTGACTGTTCTGCTGTTGAGAACTTCTTAGATCATTCTTTGTCTAGCTCCTCCCCTTTGACCTTACCGCCTTGAGAGTACGAGACTCCTGATGGCTTCGCTCACAAGGGTCATAGGAACATGCAAGCCCACTCACCACGACAAGGGGATGATCCAGCGAGTGAACCCACTGGAGCAAAGCAGGGCCGAGCCCTTTGACATCTGATGCCCTTTTAAAATGTGTTGTGTAAAGAGGAATTACTGGGTTGCCTTTGCTTTCGTGTTTCTTGTGTTTTCCATTTTCCATATTGTGATTTTAAATTGTGAATCACCCTGGGATCTATGGGTATGGGTCAGCATAGGACAAACAAACAAACAAACAAACAAACAAACAAACATGTAACACTGAAGTTATGCAAATTAAGTGTGTATATATTTGCATGATTCAGTTTACTGGTGCCAAATCAAGTACATAAAGAGTCCTCTTGGATCAGACGAAAGGCTCCTCTAGCCCTGCATTCTGTTCTCAAACAGGCAACCCACAAGCAGCGCATGAGCGCAACAGCCCCTTGAGGTCCCCAGCAGCTGGTGGTCAGAGGCATCCGACCTCTGAAAAAGGGGTGAAGAGCCAAGCAGGGCACTCAAGGATAGTCCCCAATAAATCCCACCCCTCTAGTTTCTGAGATTTCACCAAGGATTGCTGATAGACTTTAAAGTTCATCTTCACAGTCTTTGGACCTAGAAGCTGAATAGAAAATAAAATTCACAGGATGTTGGATTTTTCTGAATTTCTGTGCCTGCCCAGGGACAATCAGGAATCTAGTACATAAGGAACTACTGGGTCTGAGGGATTAGGGGCATGACCAAGGCCATTCTGTGTTTTTGTAGGTGATGTGGAATTTGAAGTGAAATTTCCAACACTCAAGAATATGCAGGTGCTGTGCAGAAGATGCTCATGGATGGCTCAGTTCAAGATACTGTGCCCTTTGGTATCAGAGTGGCTATTTTCAAGAAACTGCTGGACTCCAAGTCTTGATTAAAGCATATATTTCATGACATATCAGTATATACATCTATAAAAACTAAAGTCACACAATAGCATTCAGCCAGTTTTCTTCATGCTGGGTATACTCTGTTCCGGAGGTAAGACAGTCTCAATTTGAAATGACACAAATTGGTTCTTCTTCAGCTTTTTCAGGGCCTGATCTTCATGAGTATCAAAAACACCATCCTCCATTTTGTAAGTGAGAGACGAGAGACCTTTTGTTTTCCTCTTCATACTTTTCTGTTCCTGTTTATATGCGGCAGCCATGTTGGCAATAACCTGCAAAGGACAGGATGGGCCTAGTGTTCATGTACTCATTTAGATAACTAACCCACCCTACCAAGGGCTCAGGGCCTGTAACAGCAGCTTCAAATTCATTTTATTCACTCCCCCCCTCCATTCATTTATCCCACACTTCTTCCATGGATCTCTGGATAACATAGTTTACCCTCAGAACAACCCTTTGAGGTAGGCTAGGCTGGGAAATAAGGACTTGCTGAAGGACTGCCATTCAGCTGAGTGGGAAATTCGAACCCAGATCTCCCCACCATTATCTGTTACAGTGCACTGAAAAAAGTGTTCATGATTCAAAGAGGACAGATAAGTAAGACAGTTTCAAGAGCTGAACAGGATGGTGGATGGGAGAACAGAGTAGGCAGGAACGTAAAAATGTTGATTGTGATTATTTAAAAAGGGAGTGTTTTAAATAGAAATAGAAATTCATATTCCCAGCAGTGGGAATCAGAACAAAATATCACCATCTCCACTCACCATGCCACATGGGGTGCTGTGGGTCTCCAACCCCCATCAATTTCAGCTAACACAGCCAATGGTTAGGGTTGATGGGAGCTGGAGACAAACACATCTGATCAAGCAATTTTTTCTGCCCCCTTAAGTCACCTCCTTTGCCAATTTTGGTGGCATTTTATTTTATTTTGCAAAGTAAAGTAAACATTGGAGCAAGGTGCCCTGATAGGAATGCAAATTGTCCCTCCTCTGTCACCAGATCATAGAATAATAGAGTTGGAAGGGACAATCATTGCACAGATCAGGAGGGAGAGGGGCTGTGTGCTTTGTAAGACGTGTGTGTGTGTGTGTACGGACTGCACAAAAGTGTGTGCAAGACTATGTGGTGGCCACACCCACTGTTGATATTAGCCTAGTGTGAATTTGGACTAATGGTAGGCACCCCTCTTACATGCAAATGCGGTGAATATCTGGCAGCCAAGGCACTTACAATCTCTTTCACTGCATTCTGTTGCTCCTGAACAGCAGCGGTGAATGACGGGAGGACGCTGGTTTGGAAGGGACTAGCACCTTGCTCTTTGGAGGAGTCCTTGATGCATTCAGCCTAGAAACAATGAAGGTGAGATGTGGGGGGCAGGGGGGGGGATTTGGAACCCAAGTTGGCAAATGACTCAACATTGTGGCATCTGGCTGACAGACCCCTGCTAATACACCCCCCCAACCGGCCTTCAGTGAGGATTTGATGCCACTGTTGCTGCTGCTGTTTTATTTGACTGTGGTGGCCTTTGGCCAAGAGCTGTAATATTTGGAATGCTTTGTATCACTAATTTATTGTTTTTACAATCGGTTGGCAAGACTCAGGCTGGCTTTAAGAGGTGCAGCAGAACGAGCTGGTTAAGTGCTCAATGATAGAGCACATGCTGCCTTTGCAAAAGGTCTATGGCATCTCCAGGAGGGGCTGAAAAGACTCCTCTAGACACAGGGCTCATCCACACTTCTTTGCCCCATGATTTCTAGGCAAGGGTTGTGGTTTTTTGTCTCACTGTCCTCCCTGGGAAAACCCACTGTTTGCTGTTCCTCACTCCTTCTTCCCAAAGCACACCCAGCTTTAGGAAGGCAGCAGCAGGGCTTGGGGGTATTAAATGTTGCCAAGGGCCACCAAAAAAGGCCTTGAGGGTCATAGCCCTCCGGCCGCACATTGGACCACTCTGGTCTGGGGGGAGCTGTCCACAAGCAGGACAGGATGGCAAACAGCCCTCTTCCTCCCTGTATCCCTTGCAAGTCGTATCCAGAGTTTTAACCTGGAGTTTTAATGGCTTTACATAAGAACCACGGACAGAATTGAATTTGTTGAGTCTGGTTGGCCACTGCGCAAGACAGGATGTAGGACTGGAGAAACCTTTGGCTTGATCCAGCAGGGTTCGTTCTTAAGTTCACTGCACAGAGGTGGGGGACTGCTGGCCTGTGGGGGCCTAATCTGGCCTCCCCATTTGACCCAGGAATCCATTTTGGCTTTGCTACACCCACCTGTGGCCACTGCGTTCTGCAGTAGAGAGGCCCTCTGCAAATTCCACCTTATCAGGAGGTTTGTTCTGCACAATACAAGAACCAGGCTTTTAGCGTCATGGAATTCTCCCCCATTACGTACTAGCCTGGCATCACCTTTTCAGCATCTACTGAAGACCTTCCCTTTCCAATAAGCCTTTTAAGGGGAGAGCTTTCCCAGTCTGCATTTGTACTGGAATTGTTATCAGACATTTTAAGTGTTACTTCATTTGTGTTTGCTGCTCTGAGCTCCTTCAGGGGGCAGGAAGGGATATACATTTAATAAATAACAAATAACATACTGATAAATAAATTGTGTCATGGGTGGGGCTGCAGCTGAGCCGAAGGAGCTTTTGCAGACACTGACCATCAGATTACATAAGATTATCAGTACTTATGTAGCTATGTGCGCAGCATCAGACTTGGCCCAGAATTGCCAGTTGCTGAGGCTGCCTTGAACACAGAGCAACACAAATATAGACATTCTTTCACTTTTGTAAGTTATCTATTGTTGCTTCAGGATTTCTGTACACCACTTAAGAGAATTTTTAAATATATTAAATGGTATAGAAATTAAATAATCAATCCCGTTCCACATATTTCACACATCTGATGAAGCAGGGGTTCTTATCTAGGAGCGCTGATTCCCTCCATGACCCCTGCCCCCCGTTAAACCTCTCTTGAAGCAGTTTTCTGGATTTTACTTTCAAACAGAGAGTTACCTCTGAGGACAGGCAGACGTATCTGTTATACAGGAGGAAAAAGGGGGTGTACTTGGTCACAGAGCTGACAGACGTACGGAAATCAAACAGAATCGGGTCAAGAGATTCATCCCACTCGCTTGGTTTCTCGTTCACAACATTGCAGAGGGAGGATTTCAAAAGCTCATTGGTCCGACTGTCCAGGACTGTGCAGTTGACTGGGGTCAGAATCTGGGAGATGTTCCATCTTTCTGATAAAATTCTGGTCACCTGCAGGCAGAATGAAAACCACTTAAAGCTGGGTGCACATGTCCAGGGCTTGCTTTAGTTTTTTGTACCTAGAAAATATTTCAGCCCAGGTTTGAACTCTGTATTCACTCTGAGGTTTGCAAACAAATAAATTTAATAAAACTTTCATCACTTAGAAATTATAAAGACATTGCTTAGAAATGCCAATGATTCTATGGTATATAAATGCCTTAAATAAATTTTGGTTTCCTGAAAAAGAGCACCAGCCAAGTTGGGGGTATGGTACATAATTATATAAATGTCAAGATGTGGGGATCTTGTGGCCCTCCATTTATTTTTGTCTCCAACTTCCACCATCCCTTCTGGTTGCTAAGAGACTTATACTTCTAGCTGGAAGGATAAATGCTCACCATCCACTATGCAATGGTTGGAGAACCTTATGGTCCTGGCTGCAGCTGAATGTATTTCATGTGTGGATGCCTATCTGGACATTTGGAGGGTTTGAGATTAACTTAAATGTTTAACTTAAGTTTCTATATACTTATGGCTCATTCTTAATTATTCACCATGTTGGCTGGAGATGATGGTAGTTAGAGCCCCAAACATCTGGAAAGCCAGAAGTTTCCCATCCCTGCTCTAGTGTGTCCTCTTGCAGCTATGAAGGTGGATGTGTAAAGGCTTCTATTTTTTGCTCTTTCCCCTTGCTATGAGTATGAGAATTGTTTTGAAGTGGCGACATGGTGTTATGCCACGGTTGCTTTACTATATTGGGCTGAGAGGCTCAGTGTGTTTATTTTCAATATATTTACAAGTGAAACTGGCAGTGGTGACAAAGAAACACAGTGGCCAAAAGTCCTCCATGCCTGTTTATTCTAGTGAAAAACACCACCAAACCTTGCCTTACGTGAATGTTCATTCTAGTGATGCATCAAGATGCTTGTTTTTAATTTTTGCAGCTACAATGCTTTTTTTAAATAAGAACTTGAAAACATGTTAAATACTTTATTATATCAAATATTCATTTTTAAAAATTGCAGCCTGCTTTTCCCATGTCTCAAAGTGGCTTTGTAAAAATAAAACAACATACAAAATTTAAAAACATAAATTAAAACATCAGAGAGCAGTTGCTCTTACATAGTTTTTTATGGTTGAGTTTTATCCCCTTGAACCTTTTCCTTTACTCTGGGTTTCCTGAAAACAGGAATTGCCTTCATGCTCTTACAAAACACACCAGCTGGCATCTGACCTACCTCTTCACAGAAGTCCCAGCTCAAGCTGCAGAAAATATTCTTGGATGCCCCGAACCTAATTAATAAAAGGCATACAAAATACATCAATAGCAACAGTAATACAAGACACAGAGTTTTGTACTGGCATACAGTACAGAGGCTTGAGTGGGGTTTCTATAAATAGGATTGAAACATTTGCTTCCCATGAAACGCTCTCATCTAGGAATGGGGAACCTGTGGTCTTCCAGATGTTGTTGGACTACAACTTCCATCAGTCGGTGCAGCCAGGATGGCCAATGGTCAGGGATGATGGGAATTGTAGTCCAGCAACATCTAGTGGGTCACAGGCTCTTGCTCCTTGCTCTTGCGCTAATCCAGCAGGCTTTAAGATGCTGCTTTTGCACACAAAGGGGTGGAAATAATAACAAAAAGATAACCAACATAAAAACCATTCACAAATACAATACTGAACAGATCATAAAGGTTATCTTGTCATGCTGGTTTTAAGCTTTCTGATTGACTTTTGTGGCATATCTCAGCCGCCACCAGCATGGAGCCCTCCAGATATTTTGAACTACAACTCCCTTCAGTCCTGGCACCACATGACCATGCCAACTAAGGAAGATGAGAGTTGCAGCCCAAATAACCTGGAAGGCAGCAAGTTGGCAAAGGCCAGTGCATTTTAAGGTGTGAACTGTACAAATAATAAATAAATAGCACCTCCAAAACAGGATCCCTGACCTGCCTGAAGCAGGCATGTGCAGAAAATGGGTTGATTCTGATTCTTCTCTCCCTCTCTCTCTCTCTCTCTCTCTCTCACACACACACACACACACACGTCCTGAGGAGATCCTGCAACATCCTGGCCCTCTCCTACCTGTCTTAATAGTGAGTATTTTGCTATTCAGCCCACTTATCACCTACATCAAACTAAAAATCAGCACAAATGGAGCACACCTGTAGAATAAGGAGGTGAGGCCTTTGGCCACACACAGAGCGTCCCTCTTCTGCAGAGGGATGGCCTCAACCCACTTCGTATAGTAATCAGTTACGGCGAGGATGTGCGTCTTGCCCTGGACAGACTCTGGGAAAGGTCCTAGGAACATCAAATCCAAAACAGTCAGTCAGTTGTCATGCTGGCATCACAGAGGGCAGGTGCTATTGCAGAGAGGTTAGTGACTGAGGGGGACCATCACTTTGGAGGTCCCATGACAAAAGCCCAGCCTCCTCCCCCTGCACGTATGCCACACCTTGCCCCACACCTTTGCACTACTCTTGGTTTAGGTTCAAAATTAAGGCTATGGTCTTTGGCTTATAACATGCACCATTTTGCTGAAACTTCAAAGGTTTTGCAAACGGTTGCTATCTCCTCTCCTTGTCCATTCAGATAAAGTTCACAGATACACACCCCATCAATCAAAGAGACTGTGCACAAACTAATAAGAATGATAATAGAGGCCAGCTGGAATGGCAACCACATCTCAGCATCACAGTGAAGGAAAGAGGCCCCAATGCTGAATGAACTGGCATGTACTGAGCAGGGTCCCATGACTGAGGGGTGGGGAAATGTCAGGCCCTCTAAAAAGGTAAAGGTAAAGGAACCCCTGACCATTAGGTCCAGTCGTGACAACTCTGGGGTTGTGGCGCTCATCTCGCTTTATTGGCCGAAGGAGCCAGCGTACAGCTTCCGGGTCATGTGGCCAGAATGACTAAGCCGCTTCTGGCAAACCAGAGCAGCAAACGGAAATGCCTATTTATCTACTTGCACTTCGTGCTTTTGAATTGCTAGGTTGGCAGGAGCAGGGACCGAGCAACGGGAGCTCACCCTGTCGTGGGGATTCAAACCGCTGACCTTCTGATCAGCAAGTCCTAGGCTCTGTGGTTTAACCCACAGCGCCACCCGGTAGGCATCTCTTATCTGGCCCTCAGGAATCTTCCCCTTGGCTATGCTCCACATCGTTCTCTTTTGTATGGCTGGAATGTGTCCTTGAAGTGTGCTAAAGCCTCTTGCTTGCTTGGATGGAGGGTGCAGAGATGTCGAAACCTCTGACTTTTGCATGGCTGGAATATAACCTATACTGGACAAAGGTAAAATTAACATCTGTTACTCCGCCTACTTCTTGCCTTTGGCCACACCCACCATTGGCATGTGTCTTGGAGGGAATGTAGCCCTCAGGCTGAAAGGGTTTGCCCACCCCTGCCATGAAGGGTGCAATGTGTCTCTGTAGAGAGACGTATTGCCTGATCCCTCACTTGCCCAAGGTTCATGCTATATTCATGAGACATCCTCCATCAAAGCCAGCCAAGGATCCAGGAGAACTCAATGCTGCACCTCTTTCCTGAAAATCCAGGATAAGAGTGCTGGGCGGGAGCAGGGGGGTGTTGAGAAAGAAGGAACAGAGAAAACTAGAGCCTTTAACAAAGATGACTTAGCAGAAAAGGCACTTAAGAGTGAGAAACTGGGACCAGAATCTGATATGAGGGCGACAGGCACAACTGAGCAGTGCTGCGGCTGTGTTGCATTGAGAAGGCCCCTGGTTCAGTCTCTGACATCTCTAGCTAAAAGGACCTCAGGCATGAGGCTGAAGAAACCATGGAGACACGCCATCAGTTGGAGTGGACAACCACCACTAGGCCAGGTAGTACGGGGACCCACACCGCACCCCGGCCTGTCTGTCTGGGACTGATGGGAGTTGGCATCCAACACTGTCTGAAGGGCCACAGGTTCTCCATCCCTGGCATAAAGGCAGCTTCCTAGGGTCCCATGACGGGCATTTCCATAGCCCTGTAGTGTAGGGTTGCCATATTTCAAACAGTGACAAATCCGGACAGCTTTTTTCCGGCAAAGTTGTTGAGCTATTTTTATGCCAAATCGGCAAAAACGACACAGCCCTCATGGGTTGCCATAGGTCAGGATTTTCCCGGACATTTTTGCTGATTTATGCCCAGACGCTGCTGCCAACTGCAGTATTCTGGATATGTCTGGGAAATTCCAGACATATGGCAACCCTACCATAGTGCAGATGTGCATACAGATCCCCCACCACAAGCACATACCATAGACATCAAGTCCTAGAACTTCCCAAGGCGACTCCACTTTGACAGGCCGGGTTTTTTTCGACAGGCTCTTGTTATGCTCTGTGTTTTGGCAGGTTTCACACATCTTGATCTGGGGATGGGGCAGGGGAGGAGGACAGAGAGGGAAATAAATCAATAGGTGCCTAGGATTTTGGAGAGGTAATGGTGTTCCCAGTCAGACCATGCCAACCACTTTGCTGGCACGAGAACAGTAAATGAAGGTAAAATCTGACAAGGAAACAAATATAGCCCAGCTCCTTTTACTTCCAGAAAACTCTGGGAGTTTTTCTGAACATTATTTACCCAGTCCACCACGTCCTTGACAATGCCCAGCCAGTAGTATCTGCTCTGAATCCGGTGCACTGTCTTCTTCTGCCCAAGATGGTTCCCAATCTCGGAGAAGTGGCTTTCAAGGAAGACCTGCCGCCGCCTCTCTGGATCAACCACGACTTCACGCTTTTCCTCTTTCTTTGGACCCACATAATAGAGGCAGCCCCCTGTGGGAGGATGACAGAAAAGCCTAGTAGTTCAGAAGGAGTCATGCAACTGGTTCTGGATGGGGTCTCTGAGAGATCAGGTTCATAGGTTGTTGTGTCCTTCTGGAGTTGGCTCTATCTGTAGAAGCACAGGTGTGTCTTTTGTCAGCTTAGGCTGGTACACCATCTACAACCTATCTGGAAGCAGCAGATCTTGCCTCCATTATTCATGCTCTGCTTACATACCAGCTGGACTACTATAATGTGCTCCACCTGGGGCTGCCTTAAAAGAGTTCCAAATGCAGCAAAATGTAGGAGCCCAGATACTTGTGCAGGCTAAATGCCTGAAGGGATAGCCAACATGGTGCCCTCAAAACTTCAATGGACTACAACTCCCAACAGCCTCTGCCAACATGTCCAATGATTGGGGATGATGGTAGTTGTACTCCAGCAGGCCACTAACTGACTATCCTTGGTTCAAAAGAAATTACAGAGATTCTGTACCAGCTGCACTTGTTTCCTATTCATTCAAAATGCATGTTTGGGAGGAGGCCACCTGAAGTTCTGCTGTCTCTGTACTTCCCAGCGCTCCAAGATCAGCCACAGAGGCTCTCCACTAATAAGGTCAGTTAGGCTGATGGACACAAGAGATGGGGCCTTTTGGGAGGCTACTTGGACCTACGGCACCTACCTTTTTAGGAATTAATCTCTTTCCATTTCCAACTCTATTGAGGGAATTCAAAGCTGTTAAGGCTGCAATCCTAAACACACTTACTGGGGAGTAAGCAAGCAAGCTGCATTGAGCCCAAGGGGAATTGCTTCCTAGTCAATGTGTGCAAAATTGTGTACACTTTGCAATTTCATGGAAAAGCAACTCATAAAATGTGCACAGTGACATCATGTTACTGTGGTTTTGAATCACTGCATCTTTAGAGGTCCCCATTCCCTCATATTAAAGCCTTCAAGCGTAAAGAGAGGGTGGTTGGTCAGGAAAATAAATCCGCTTGGGAACCTGAATAGCTTTGGATAGTCTAGATTCAGTTTCAATAGAAACTGGTCAGGAGTTATCCCTGCTGCTCCGGCGAAGCTGGACATTTTAAATGTCTTGAAGCAGCTCTTTTTAAAACAGCAGCCATCCAGTGACAGGAGCCTGGCTGGGGATGCGCATGTAGCAAAAGCCTTGTTTGTTTTGTCTTCTGCTCTGTCCCCCCCCCGCCCACCCCCGCGTTACCTTCCACAATGAATTTCTGAGCGTAGCGCTTCAGGTTTTTCCTTTTGATGGAGCAGAAACTGTGGGGGAAGCAGCCCTCGGACAGCAAGCGGAAGATGTCCTCGAATTTGCTGGTGGGGCTGCAGGACTCCACCACTTCCTCCTCGGCCACTTGCAAAGCGGAGTCCATGCTGGGGGCTGGGACATGTCCCGGGCATCAGCCCCAGGTCAGGACTGGCTCGAGTCCCCGGGCAGGCGGAGGGAGCTCAGGGGCTCAGTCCCAAGCTGGGAAGGCAGCGACCCGGACTTGTTTCAAGGAGACACAACACCCCCAAGCCGAGGCGAAAGGGGCCGTCTGAAAACGCCCGCCTGCATCACAAGGCCTATCGCTGCCCATGCTGAATTGCAAGTTGGAAGGCATCCTGGGGGTCGTCTGGTCCAGCGCCTGCAATGCAGGAATCTCAACTAAAGCATCCGCAACAGATGGCCCTCCAAGCTCTGCTTGAAAACCTTCAAGGCTTCTGTCCTCCTACATCCCACTTCAGACTTCATGGCGTATCTCCTCCACAGGCTCCTTTTTTGCAGGGCTGTGAGGTGCTTGGGATACCTTCCCTTATACAGATATTTGTAAACCTGCCTGTACCTCTCCAGGGGCTCAGCCTGGACACCTCCCCGCCCCCGCCGCCGCCCACAGCTGTCAGGGATCCAGACACTCCGTCAGGAAACGAACAAGTTAATTGTTTGCCACAAAGGAAAATGACGGAAGCTTGCTTGCTCCAAATGTTCAAATGCCCTCTGCGCTTTCAACCCCTTAAATAAGGTTGCCAGTCTATCCCACTCCCTGCACTGGGTCAGGGCTCCTGTGCCTTTAACAGCTGTATGACAGGCAGAGATCCAACAGGTACAGTTGTTCCCTACATGCCAGGTAAGAAAAGCTTTGCATGTTGCATTCAGCAGAAGAAGGCTAACAGATGCAAACAGTGACGGCCCCTTCAAACCTCTTACTCAAGAGTAGTCTTGGACTAAGTGGAGCCTGCAAGCCTTTGTAGTTGCCACTACTCAGTGGTCTGCAGATCTTACTGCCCTTTCTGCATCGGCATGCCTGCTTGGACAAATTGACTGTTTATATTAATTTATATGTTTAACTTATAACTGATGAAATATTCTTATTGTTAAGGTAGGCTGACGATGCTACCGCTGGTTAGTTGCTATGTTTGCAAATTAAAAATAAATTTAAACACTTGAAAGAAAGAAAGAAAGAAAGAAAGAAAGAAAGGGTGGCCTCAATTGGATCAAGTTAAGGGGAAAGGAAATCCCCTTGCCAAAAAACAAGAGAGAATCTTGTGGTGACTTTAACAAATTTATTAAGGCATAAGCATTTCTGGACCACTACACTAGATGCATGAAGTGTTACCCTGAGATATACAGTACAGTGGTACCTCAGGTTAAGTCCTTAATTGGTTCCAGAGGTCCATTCTTAACCTGAAACTGTTCTTAACTTGAAGCACCACTTTAGCTAATGGGGCCTCCCGCTGCTGCCGCACCGCCAGAGCACGATTTCTGTTCTCATCCTGAAGCAAAGTTCTTAACCTGAAGCACTATTTCTGGGTTAGCGGAGTCTGTAACCTGAAGCGTCTGTAACCTGAAGCGTATGTAACCCGAGGTACCACTGTATATGGATATGGCTGGAGGGAAATGTTCTTTCGCTTCTAACTCTTAAATGTTTGCATGTTTGTACATTGCTCAGTGAAACTGACTATCACAATATGCGGTCGTGGTCATTAGGTGGCTTTTAAAAGCGATAATTCAGCTGTCACTGGCTACCACAGCCATATGTTCAGAGGCAGTGTCCTTCGGAGTGACAGTCAGGGAGAGCAACAAAAGAAAAAGAGTGGCAACTGGTCAGCCACTGAGGTAGACAAGTTGCTGGGCTATGCGGACCTCAGTTCTGATCTGGCGAGCTCTTTTTTAATTCTTACTAGCCACGTGACAGTATAGAAATGGAACCTCCATATGCAGGCATAGCCTACCCCACAGTGGGGAACAAAACTGCTGTGCCATACGGCTCTATTGCCTTCATGCCCTGCCTGTGCGCTTTCTGAGGGCGCCCGATAGGCTACTGTGGGGAAACAGACAGCTTGGGTTTGGGGCGATGTAGTAACAGGTTTCATTCATTCTTCCTTCCTACAAGTCTCAGTGTAATTCGTCGACGCTCCCTTAAGGAGAGCGCTCGTTTCCTACCGGGGCGTTTTCGCCGACGGACCCGTTGCCCCTGGAGATCTGTTCCGTTCCTCTTCGGGGTCCGGCTGGAATCATGGAGCCCAGCGGTATGCGGCCGAGGCCAGGGCCGTTCCTGGCCTGCGCCTGCTTCTTCACCGACAACCTGTTCGTGCCGCGGTATGGGCTTCACCTCCGCTATCACGGGGATCCGGAGCAGCTGCGGAGGGATTATGGACCGGTAAATACATAGCGCCGTGGACGTTTTCTGGAGAGCAGAGACTTTATACACGCGCACCCTCCTCTCCCATCGTTAATCCGGATTGGAGTCATAATTCCCTACACGCAACGAAAGCAGGGGCGCGGGGATAGCACGCTTATTACCTGACTTCTAACAATGCAGTGCTAACTCAGAAGTAAGCCCCATTGGATCCAATGAGGCTTCCTTCCAGGTACGTGGGGAGAGGATGGCAGTCTCAATTCGCACACTTTAGGGAGTAAATCCCTCTGATCCCAGTGAACTTTTTTCCTGACTAAAAAGTAAACACGTTTAGGATTGTACTGCAGAGCTGCTTACAGTTACAGTACTGTGTTTTAGAGTTTTAAAAAAGTTCTCAAAATGAAGCAAATACAATAGCAAGTACATATAAATAGTAAGCAACCCCCTATGTTGAAATGGCCATAGTAAAGAAACATCTTCACAGGGCTTTCTTCCAGGTTAAAAGAAAGAGGAGAATTGGGTTTTAATCCTATAGGAAGTCCTATTGAGCTGAATGGGGTTTACTTCTGAGTGAGCATACAAAGCCTTCTCCAACAGTGTTTAAGTACAAAAAATGGGTACACATCAGAGACTACTGTTGCTTTAATTTTGTCCAGACTGGTGTGCCTTTTAAAAACAAAAAACCCTACTGTATCTGGAGAGGTACAGAAAGAGGTCTTGCCTCTGGCCTTTGTGAGTCTTGTGGGTTAATTTCAGGGACAGTCCCATGCTTGTCTAGACCATAGTGGCATTGGTGTGGAAGGACTGGGACTGTAAAGTATAAAACAAAAACGTGTATCACACGTACAAACTCAGCATTGCTCTATCCTACAGGTATTAAGACAACGGGGCTGCAGAAGCGTGGAAGAATTTGAGGCAGTAGTCCAAGAGGTACTGTACCTGGCTTTGATGTGAGAGAACTAACAGTCTGATCTTGTGTACATGCTATACTTTATGCTGTGCTTTTCAACCAGGTTTGGCTACCAATAGCTACCAATTAAAATTCACACAGATGTGTAATGGAGGCAGGGGGAGAGCCGCTGCTTCTGGCCCCAGATAGTTGGTGATACAGGTCAGGTTCTCAGCTCTTCTCTCCAGAGGAAGTGGGTAAAAACAGTTACATATGGTCTCAGGATTGGCTTTGTAGTAAATATGTAAACAGCCAGAGACAGCCTTTGCATTCATATGCAGAATATTCCAGTGACATAATCCAGGTTTCAGAGCGCTCTGTAGACTGCAGTCCTATACACAGGGACCTGATGAACTCTCTAGAACTCGTAGGGTTTGCTTCTGAATAAAAGCGCACAGAGGTGGGCTAAACATGTATAAATAATATTGATTACACAGCCCTGGCATTTCTGTTGCTTAAATATGGAGCCTGGACCTATCCACCCAAACATGGTGAAGACCAGAGTGATACATCTCCATAAGCTGCCTTGTACTGAATCAGACCTTTGGTCCACCTAACTCCCTACTATCTACACCAGAGGTTCAGAACCCATAGCCTGGGGGCCTAGATGGAAAGATGTATATCCAGGCATGTCCAACAGGTAAATCGTGATCTACTGGTAGATCACTGGACGTCTGTGGTAGATCACTGGTAGATCACTGGCTCCCCCCAAAGAAGCTCAACAACTTTTCCTCCTCCCTAAAAATCTCAACCTTTGACCTGAACCCCCCAGAAAGGGGTAGATCACTGCCAGTTTTTAACTCTGTGAATAGATCACAGTCTCTTGAGAGTTGGGCACTCCTGTACTAGACTATGTAAACATCTGACTTTTGCATGGCTGGAATGCAGCTTCTTGTATGATCACTCACTTTAGTCTCTGGTCTGGCCCATGACTGATATGTGGTCTCAGGAGGGTTGCCCATGGGCTGAAAAAGGTTCCCCTCCTCACCTCTGGTTTACATTGACTGACTAGGCATCGAGCTTAGAATTCTTTGCATGTAAATCAGGTATTCTACACTGAGTTACAGCCTTTCAGCTTCAGAATGAATTTTCCTAGGTTGAAAAAGAAGTCCAGAGGAGAAAGGAATTAGAGTGCCGCTCTAGGGAAAGGAAAGCAATAATTTCCCAGAACTACAAGCCAAAGCATCCTCAACTGTATACTTTACAGGTAAAGAACTTGTTTCTTCTATTTGCATGCAAGTCCATAGCTAGAGATAGTTTAGGAATGGCCTCTACTCTGGTGACATTTCGGTACAACAGTTTAGCAGGAGGGTCGGAGTCTATACTCCTGCAAGTTGGTGCAGACTTGAAGATGCTTAGCTATCACTGGATAAAATGGGACCTGCATAGTCTTAACACACTGGCTAATGTTGGTGCTGATATACTGTGGTTAATGGGGCACAGTTAATGGAGAGGGGTAAATTTTGATTTAATATTTGTATGCTGCTTTTTCAGTAGCAAGGTTTATTCTCAATGCAGCTTAAAACGACAACAAAACATTGAGAAAAAAATCACACTTTCCCTCCATTTAATAATATCAACAAAGGCTAATGTCTCAGCAAAGCAAAACCAAAACAGTTCAGCAAAAAATAAATTAAAAAAAGTGCAGATTCAGAATTCAGAATTGTTCATTAGAAATAGTTGCTGAGTAGTAGCCCATTTTCAGTTGACACCATTCCTCTGGGAAGGGGCTTCCTCACTGGGGAGTGGACAAGACTCTGCCTGTACTTTTAGCAGCACAAATAAGAAAAAGAGTTGTCACAAGCGTTGTCCAAAAGCAATTCTTCTACGAGGCACACAGTGCTAATCTTACTCAGCCCTGCGTGGAACTTGCACCCCCTTTTGGGAATTTGTCCTGGGCGGGGTAGAGTGTCATGTAAAGAGAGGTGCACACCTTTGCAACCCCACTCCTCCTCCTCATGGTTAATTCTGCGCCAGCCGCCATTATTCACTCTGTCCAAGAACAAAATTAAAGTTGAAGCACATTAAAAACAGGTTAAATGGAGGTATCTTTCCCTAATCAAAGGGACCAAAGACCAAAGATTAGGACAAATAAAGAGGGTAAGGATTTGCTGAACCAACAAACTGAACTGGAATACAAAAAAGGGAGATAGGAGGAGGTCCGGGAAACAAGCAAATGAAAGATAAGTGATTGAAAGATTGAATTGTTTTTAACTATTTTTATTTTGTATTTTTCTTTTTTCTTTTTCTATTTTGTAATATTTTGAAAATCCTAATAAATATCTTTAAAAAAATAATAATAAATGGAGGTATCTTGTGTGTGTGTGAAAATAATTTTTTCCCACCCTCCTCTCCTCTTCCAATGCTAGGAATCATTTCTTGCACCAGAATTTTTAGAAACGGTCAGATACTGCACATCCAAAGGTGCTGATCTTCAAGGCCTCTTGGACCGTGTGGAATCTATATCAGGTGGGGAGACTGGGTTAATTTATCAGCAATATGTGTACATGGTAAGGGGCTGCCCATATTAATTATTTTTGAAATATAGGTTAAGCATATGTGCAGTTTGTATTCTTGGAGGGAATTAGTGGTATACATATTACCTTCATGTTTAAAAAGATGCCCAGAAGGTGCTGGCTTTTAAAAGGTTGTTTCCTACTCTGCAAAAGGAAATGACTGCATGCCCCATGTTGTCTAAATGGCCTCTTTTGTTTCGGTTTGAAAAGATGCAGGAGAATTTTTTTTTACTGGTTTTTACTTCGGAACGTTCCCATTGTAAAAATGTTGCAAATCGCAACATGGTCTGTCTCCACAGTTGGGGGTAGCATGTTTCTGAATGCCAGTTGCTGGAAATAACAAGTGGGGAGATTACTGTTGCATTCAGCTTCTCATGCCTTTGCTTGTCCCCTGTGAGAACAGAATGCTCAATTAGACGGGCCACTAACCTGATCCAGCAGAGCTCTTCTTATGTTCTGTTCTTCTTAACATAGATGATCTAGCCCAGTGCACTCTGTTTTGACTGGAAAAGGCTCTCCACAGTCCTGGGCAAAGAGGTGTGTCTACCCCAGACTTTCCAATTATAATCATTTTAATCAGTGCTTTTCTTCTAGGAAAAAAGGTGCTGGTATCCACCATGAAGTTGTTACAATCAGTGCCACACTTTTAACCAGTGGTTTTCTTCTAGAAAAATGGTGCTGGTGCTTTGAGTACTCTAAAAAAAAAAGCACTAGTTTTAACCAGAGATGCCTGGGGCCTTCTGCATGCAAAACATGGTCTCTGCCACTGAGCTAAGGCCCCTACCCATTAAAGAAGAACAGAGAACCAGCTTTTCTTTGCACTTACAAAAACCCCACCACCACCCTTCCCATTCTGGTCGCCAGAAGGAGATTTTCTTCCACTACAGGTGATTAAGCAAGTGGCTATGTGCTAACTTCTTCCAATTTTATTTCACATCCTCCCCACAACAGATAAGAGAATCTACCGACTGCCAGTGTTTGCCAAAGAATTCTGTCAAGCTTTCATTGAGGAGCTAGAGAACTTTGAACAATCTGAGCTACCCAAAGGGAGGCCCAACTCTATGAATAATTATGGGGTAAGAGTCACTATTTAGGGATTGTACTGTTAGACAAGTTGCTTTCTCTTGACAACCCCCCCATCTGTAGTAATGGGGTTAATAGCAATTACAGTCTTGTAGTATAGATCACTGTAAGGATCACAAGAAAATAATCAAGTAGTTCGAACCCTCCAAAGTGCTAGGTGAGAAGAAGGAACATTGTTCCATGCCTGGTGGACTTGCGAAAAATCTAAGGCATGCTGGGGTATGATTCATGAAGAACTTTAAAAAGTGTTAAAAGTGTCTTTACAAAAGAAACCAGAGGCATATCTACTAGGTCTGATATACCACAAAATAAGAAAGGAATTTTCTTATATGCCACAGCAGCTGCCAGGATTGTATTTGCCAGTAAATAGAAGAGCGAGACAATACCTTCAAAAGCCGACTGGCTATACAAACTAAGCGAATTCATGAAAATGGCAAAGCTAACTGCTTACATAAGAATGCAATCAAACCAAAAACTTAGACAAGAATGGCGATGTTTTGAAGAATATATGGATAAACACTGTTCCAAAGAGAACATGTTGATATGCTTAGATTAAAAGAGTAAAGTGAAACAAAAATCATTAATAAAGCGTGTTAGAAACGAAATAAAAGGTAATACCTTAAAAGATTGCAATGTATACCATCCAATCTAAAATATACAGAAGTCAAGATGGGGTGGAGGGAAGTTGGGGAGGAGGTGATGGGTTGTCACAGGGTTGGGCTCGATTATTATATGTGTAAGTTGTAGTTTACTTTTTGTTTGTCTATGTATTTCTTTTTTTGGCATTTTGTACATTCTAATTAACAAACAAACAAACAAACAAAGTGCTAGGTGAGTGCTAAGGTTATTATTATGCTTACCTAGACTCACCCCGTATTATAATTAATTTATATATCATTACTATTATATTATTATTTATTAAAATTGTATACTGCTCTTCATCCATAGATCTCAGGGCGGTTCACAAGATAAAACTGCAATATAAAAGACACAAAATACATAATAAAAATAAGAACAAAAACAATAACAGGCCAATAATCCTCCCTCCCACAACACATTTAAAAGGACAATGGAACCAGGTTCCATTCCTCTGCTGGGATAGTTAAGTCAGTAGAGCATGAGACCCTTGATCTTAGGGTTGTGGGTTCAAACCCCATGCTGGGCAAAATATTTCTGCATTGCAGAGGGTTGGACTAGATGACCCTTGTGGTTCCTTCCAATTCTGTGATTTGTTGATCTTAAAGTCCTTACTGGGCAAAGAAGCAAATCTTTACTATCCAAATTGAGAGAATGTAGCATGTTAGAAAATGGAGGACAGTTTTTAGCCATCGCAAGAACCTGACCACTGCAAAATGCCCTGACCCTTCTGCAAAAAATATTTATTTTGCATTCTGTTTGGTTCCCCTTTAACTCTTTCTTTTGCATGTTCATATATGACCCACTGCAGGTTCTCTTAAACGAACTTGGGTTGGATGAAACTTTCATCACCTCTCTGCGTGAAAAATACCTACAACCCCTCACAGCTTTGCTTTACCCGGACTGTGGGGGAGGCTGTTTGGACAGTCATAAGGCCTTTGTGGTGAAATACGCTTTGCAGGAAGACCTGGATTTGAGTTCCCACTATGACAATGCGGAAGTGACTCTCAACATTTCCCTGGGGAAAGAGTTCACTGAGGGCAACCTCTATTTTGCTGAATTCAGAAAGGTGCCTCTTCTTTTAATGGCTTACTTTCACTTTATTATGCCTATTATTTCACAGAATTTGTAAGAGACATATGCAGTTCACTGCCACAAGATGTGTTAATGACTTTAAACAGAAAAGATGGGGTAAACCAGTGTGTTGGACCCCAACTCTCATAATCCCTGATAACTGCCTGGGGCTGATGGTTCCAAGAATACCCAGAATGCACCATGTTGGCTATGCACAGACCCATGACAGTTACATGGAACTTCCATGTATAGTGGCAGTACAACTCTGCTTTTTGGCTGCTGGGGTCAAAAAGCAGAGAAAGCCTGCTCCTCCCTCTCCTGCCCTCCTAGGGAATTTCCAGAGGCAGAGTGGTCCCTATTGAATAAGTAATGCTAACCTCAATAGACTTTGGTCTAAGGTTCCATTTAATCCAATGGTGAGGAATGTGTGGCCCTCTGGATGTTGCTGAATTCATTCATCCCTGACCATCCCTGGGCTGATGAACTTTGGGATATACCAGGTCTTTTCAAAAACACCTAAGCCATCCACCATATCCACAGCTTGCAGCAGTGAGTTTCTCATGTCAAAAGATGTGCCGTGTGAAGAAATCCTTCTATTTGTCCGATATGCTTTTACCCAAAGCAGTCTCATTTTACTGGACCATCATGAGTCACAGAGGTAGCTGCTAACAAGCAGTGGCCTGGAAGACAGCCCTCTCTGTGGAACCCCTAAGTCAGTGGTGTCCAAACTTTTTTAAAAGAGGGCCGTGAGGGGTGACCGAACGGCCAACCAAAGTTGTTAACCTTTTTTTAGGATTGAAGTTGTGGATTTTACCCCAGGAAATATACTGCCACAGGGGCCGGATTAAACCAACCAGCGGGCCAGATTAGGCCCCCAAAATGGACATTGGACATGCCTGCTATATGTTTTTCTTCTTACAAAGATGTACTCCTTGCTGCCTGCCTCTTGTCACGTTTCTCTGCCTGGCTGGGACAAAAAGAGCAACCCAGAGCCTTGGAACAAGCTGTGACCCAACGACCAGTACAAGGTATGGTAGGAAATACTTAACAAGGGTTATGATGGGTTATGATGATGAAGCCATCCGCACAACTCATACGCTTAAATCATCCACGAAATCTTAAAACTGATTTCACAATTCACTTAAAATTCAGGCATGTCCAAAGTCTGTTTTGGACCCGCTGGTCGGTTTAATCCAGCCCCTGTGGCGGTTGGGTAAAATCCAAAAAAACCTCAACAACCTCAATCCTACAAAAAGCTAAACAATTTTGGGGTAAAATCTTTTTTAAAAAAAGAAAGCTCAACAACTTCAATCCTAAAAAAGGTTAACAACTTTGGTCAGCTCTTTGATCAGCCCACACGGCCCTTCACTTCATCAAATCTGGAACCTCTTTGAAAAAAGTTTGGACACCACTGAAGGGTTAAAGTCAAAGAGTTCAAGAGAAGCAGAGAAGGGGGTGCTGGATACTGACCCCACCCATGCCGCTTCCGTTGGGAAAGGGGTGTGGTTTAAGCAGCCCGGTCGCCCCGCCCCTGCCCATTGTGCCCCGCCCCTTTCCCTGCAAGGGTCCAGGTGAGTGCAAAAAGCCTTGGGGTGCAGCAGGCATTTTGGGGTGGGGGCTGGGGGAGGATGCAATACCAGTGGGATGATGGAGGGGGAGATAGCAGGCAGGGAAGCTGCTGGGCAGAGAGACCCCACCCCAAAATGAAGGGAGGTGGGTGTGCAGCTGAGCCCCCGCCCCATTACAAGTATTCCGAATAGCAATATGGATACTAGAGACACATGAAGAAATACAAACATTTCCTAAATTTCAGTTGAGTTTCCTGCATTCCAAGGGGTTGGACAATCTATTTCTTAATAGGTTTAATTGGGTTTGGTGCTTTGCCTCTGCTTGTCATTCTTTGAACAGCTTCCTGTGCAAAGATAAGGCTTGCTTTCACTGCTCTGTTCATTTGTGCATTTGACTAGTGTTGTGTGAAGGAAATGCAGCCCCTGGGCTGAAAAATGTCCCCCTCCTGCCCCCTTGGGTCTCTTTGTGACATCACAGGCAGACCATACATAGACAGGGCTGGGGAAACCAGGCCTCAAGTGGGGGCACTTGTTAATAAAGACATGATGACTGAGGAGCCCCCCCCCTTGTGACACGTGTGGCATGTGGACTCCACGGCACCCTCAGAAACCCTTCTTAGCACCCACCAAGGCCCCCTGACCCATTTTTAAAAAGTTTCCCCAGAATCTGTTAGTTTTTACAGTGCTGCAAGACCGTTTGTTTTGGCAGCTGAAGGATTGGTATTATTTATTTATTTTGCCCTTTGTGAGAGATAAATAAACTGGTTCCTTTGACTTAAGGTCTCTGGATCCTTTTAAATAAAGTGATCTGGACAAGATGGGTGAATTAGAAAACCTTTTTATTATACACACTTGCAAGTGGGGTAACCCAAGATCAGGCACATCTTCATCAGGAAAAACACAGCTTATAAAGTCCCTTGTCGCATAACATTATGTTTGAGGACTGGGAAAGGCTGTGGAGTAATGGATTGAAATTTACTGCATGTAATGCTTTGAAAGAAAATGTAATGAAAATGATTTATAGATGGTATATGACCCCAGTCAAACTCGCAAAAATTTACCACCTGTCTGATAACAAGTGCTGGAAATGTAAAGAGTGTGAAGGAACGTTCTTTCACCTCTGGTGGACCTGCCCTAAAGTGAAGGCGTTCTGGGAAATGATTTATAATGAATTGAAAAAGGTATTTAAATATACTTTCACTAAGAAACCAGAGGCTTTCCTTTTGGGTATTGTCAGCCAAGGGGTGGCAAAGAAGGACCAGCCATTTTTATGTATGCAACAACAGCAGCAAGGATACTACTCGCAAAACATTGGAAAACTCAAGATCTACCCACACTGGAAGAATGGCAGATGCAACTGATAGACTATATGCAACTGGCTGAAATGACTGGCAGAATCCGTGACCTGGGAGAAGAGAGAATCGAGGAGGATTGGAAGAAATTTAAGAACTATCTACAAAAGCATTGTGATTTGACTGAATGCTGAATAAGATGCTAGACTAAATAACTGAGCACCACTTAACTTAGAAGTTTTTAAGAAAATAAGAAAAACTGTGAAAGTTTAACTCTTTATGAGAACTTTAAGATTATGAAATATCGAAGAGATATAAGAATTTAAATAAGATGATAAATTGCTGACAAAATGTTATAATGATGAAGGTGGGAGGGGGAGATGTGAGGAAGTCCAAAGAAAATGTGAAATTATGTTAAGACGAATGTTATATTGTTTATTACATTTATTCTTATTGTAAAATCCAATAAATTGCTATATTTAAAAAAAAAATAAAGTCCCTTGTCCGCCTGCAAGTTCCTCCTTCCACGCCCACCAGAAGGGAGTTTCAGTTGACAGAAGTATCGCGTCCGCCTCATTAACATTTTACCATCCCACTTCCCATATTAATCATTATACAATACAGTACAATACAATACAAATACCTTTATTGGCATTTCAAATTAAGACATTTCAAAATGGCATGAGAAACAAAGTCTTTCTTCTTGTTGTTTCCGAGAGATTTGAATGGGGAAATATTTTTGATTCCTCAATAATAAGGGGCAGTGGGGTGAGGGAGGCCAGGGCCACATCCACACCTTTTAATGCGCTATGAAGCCGCTTTAAACACTCATGGCAGTGGAATGGACTGTTTTATTTGCGATTCCTGCGTTGCAGGGGCTGGAGTAGATGACTCTCAGAGTCCCAACTCTTCAGTTCTATGATTCTAAATAATAATAACATGTGGTCTTATTCCTTTTCAAGGACAGCAACCCAGTGCCAAAATACATCGAAGTTGAACATGTTCCCTTCCATGGCTTATTCCACCGGGGAGGACAAATTCACGGGGCGCTGCCTATCGCCTCTGGGGAGCGCTGGAACCTGATTATCTGGATGCGATCGTCCACTGTCCGGAATCATCTTTGCCCCATGTGCAACAGAGCGCCTGAATTGGTGCAGGCAGAGGGATTTGGAGATGGGTTCACCAGGAATTCTGAAAATGTACAGATTGAGACTCTGGATGTGTGCTCCTTAACCTAGGGAGGTGATGTGCGGCAAATCCTGTGCCTTGATTTCACTGAAGACGTTGCTAGAGGGGCTGATGACAATACTGGCAGTAGCCCCCAAGCTGTTTTCTGTAGGCCAAGCTGAGAGAATGTGTCATACATTAAAGTCACACATTAAAGGCATTGAACACACTCTGAAAAGCTAACTGAAAAGGTTATGCAGATGCAGATGCCACAACAGCTAATCAAAACACTATGGTTGTGATCACAGATTGTAAAAATCAGCATTTATCCCTAAAAGACAGGTGTCTGTTTTGCAGTATAGATGGCACACAGTAGGTATTTGTCAACAGGAGCAGGAGAGCAAATCTGAGGGCCTGGCTACCATATCGTCAAGCGTACATAGAACTCCCGCCAGGCTCAGAAGGCTTGCGGAAAGCTGCCTGAAGCCTGGAGAGCGAGAGGGGTTGGCGCGCACCGACCCCTCTTGCTCTCCAGGCTTCAGCGAAAGCCTGCATTCGCTCCATAGGACGCACACAAATTTCCCCTTCATTTTTGGAGGGGAAAAAGTGCGTCCTATAGAGCGAAAAATACGGTACATGAAATAAAAAGTGGGACTGTGGCTAGTGCAAACAGACCTACAGACCACAGGTTGCTGACTAGGAAGATGATGCCAACTTACTTCGCTTGCCAATTATGCTGGAGCTAAATTCCTGATGTACAATTCATTTTGAATTTGCCATATTTTGAACAAGATGCAGGCAGCAACGAGCGCTGGAAGTGCAAAATGGGAAACAGAAGCCTATCATGTGCATGGTGAGAAAGGGAGTTAAGGATCTCTTTGCTGGGTTCCAGGGAAAGGTGGTTGCAGGGGGTGCATTGTAGCCAACAGTGTGCTACATGAGGATTGGAGCCTATGCTGATGGCTAGATGTCTTCTGTGACTTACAGTTGACAGTCACCACGTGAAAGGGTCAGTAATAATCTCTTACTCTCCCCTCCACCTCCTATCAAGCTGATAGCTCTTACAATTGCAATTATCTCTAACCTTAAAAAACATCATTTTATTTTTAATTCATTTCCAACTGTCTACCTTGATTTCCCAGCAAACTAATTTCATACAATTTCCAATTCAGAGGCCAGCTCACAGCTGTCTTTGCTTGGTGCAAGCCTCTAGAGGCAATCAAATGTCCACTTTGAAAATTAATCTGCAGTTATTAATGCAAAATTAACCTGATGAAAGGAGGCAAAAAAATCTCCAACACCATTCATTTCCCTGTGAGTGGGATGAGAGAATGGTTGTGTGTTTTGAAATGTCGGTGTTCTGAGTCAATTATATTTTTGTCCAGCTCTATTCTGTCAAAATCACATCTGGCCATTACAGTGGTGTAAAATAAAGGGTGTAGGAAATGAAATAATTGTTGCCTTTTCATTGTTTAAGGATGTTTTGTTAAGACTTTTGATTCAACACACTTATTTCAATATACAGTTGTACCTTGGTTTTCGAACTTAATCCGTTCCGGAAGTCCGTTCTGAAACCAAAGCGTTCTTAAACCAAGAAGTGCCTTCCCATAGCAGCAGGGGACTCAATTTACAAATGGAACACACTCAACAGGAAGTGAAACATGTTCTGCATGCAAGGCAAAGTTCACAAACCAAAACACCTACTTCCGGGTTTGCAGCGTTCTTAATCCAAGTTGTTCATAAACAAAGCTGTTCTTAAACCAAGGTCCCACTATATAAGCGTCAATAGACTGACCTTTTAAATAGGAAGCTACTCTTTATGTTTCTAAGCAATTTTTTACCTTTCAATTAATTCACCAATTTTATCATGGCTCTTAGTACCATTAAATAATGCCTTACAGTGGTACCTTGGTTTACGAACTTAACCCGTTCTGGAGTCTGGTCTTAAACCAAAGTAGTCTTAAACCAAGGCATGCTTTCCCTTAGAAAGTAAAGGAAAACGGATTAAATCCGATGATGAAAAACAACCCCTAAAACAGCAATTTTACATAAATTTTACTATCTAATGAGATCATTGATCCATAAAATGACAGCAATAGACCAGGCTGCAATCTACTACCCAGTATATAAGCCCTTCCCCTGCCCATGCCATCCTGTGAGGGAATGCCGCGACAGTCACTTCTTGTCAGCGAAGCTCAGACGCTGACAGGAGGAGAAGAAGCAGGCAGAGGGAGAGAACCCTTAGCAGCGGAAGGCAGAGAGGAGGGGGAGAGCAGCTGTAATCTGAGCTCGTTAAGCAAAGGGGGGGGGACCAAGGTGCCAACAAAATTCTGTTTTATTTTTTAGCTATGCTAGAAAGACCAAAGCAGGTTGCAAAGAATTTCGTTTTATTTTTTAAGTAACAGCAACACTCCTGAATCACCCTCCCTCTCTGCAGCAGTTGGAGAGATAACCCTAACATACAGTGAGTCATATAAAACTTGTCAATAAATAATGGTCAATTATATTTTTGTCCAGCTCTATTCTGGACAAAGGGAGGGGTGGCTAACACCCCAGAGGACAGGATCACACTTCAAAACGACCTTGACAGATTAGAGAACTGGGCCAAAACAAACAAGATGAATTTTAACAGGGAGAAATGTAAAGTATTGCACTTGGGCAAAAAAAATGAGAGGCACAAATACAAGATGGGGGACACCTGGCTTGAGAGCAGTACATGTGAAAAGGATCTAGGAGTCTTGGTTGACCACAAACTTGACATGAGCCAACAGTGTGACGCGGCAGCTCAAAAGCCAATGCAATTCTGGGCTGCATCAATAGGAGTATAGCATCTAGATCAAGGGAAGTAATAGTGCCACTGTATTCTGCTCTGGTCAGACCTCACCTGGAGTACTGTGTCCAGTTCTGGGCACCACAGTTCAAGAAGGACACTGACAAACTGGAACGTGTCCAGAGGAGGGCAACCAAAATGGTCAAAGGCCTGGAAACGATGCCTTATGAGGAACGGCTAAGGGAGCTGGGCATGTTTAGCCTGGAGAAGAGGAGGTTAAGGGGTGATATGATAGCCATGTTCAAATATATAAAAGGATGTCACATAGAGGAGGGAGAAAGGTTGTTTTCTGCTGCTCCAGAGAAGCGGACACGGAGCAATGGATCCAAACTACAAGAAAGAAGATTCCACCTAAACATTAGGAAGAACTTCCTGACAGTAAGAGCTGTTCGACAGTGGAATTTGCTGCCAAGGAGTGTGGTGGAGTCTCCTTCTTTGGAGATCTTTAAGCAGAGGCTTGACAACCATATGTCAGGAGTGCTCTGATGGTGTTTCCTGCTTGGCAGGGGGTTGGACTCGATGGCCCTTGTGGTCTCTTCCAACTCTATGATTCTATGATTCTATTCTGTCAAAATCACATCTGGCCATTATATTTGTAGACAAATCCCCATGACAATTGCTAAAATGGCTGTTTTCAACAATAATACAGAGTTCTTTCACCAACCCACTGGGGTACAGTTTGACATGCAGGGAATTTATAGCACATTTTCATTAAAGTCAAGGGTAAGATAATAGTGGTACAGAATATAAATTCTATTTTGTTGCGTTTTGTGTGGAAGAAATAAGAAAACTGAAGAAGCAGGACCCAAATATTCACTGTTTGTATAAGAGCTGGACTAATTAAAGGTTGCAATCCTATATACACTTTCCTGGGAGGAAGCCCTATTGAACTCAATGGTGCATGCCTCCGAGTAGACATACTGTACCTTAGAGTGTACTGTATAAAATCATTATAGTAAAGCCTTTGTGGTTAAGAGTGTTAAACAGAGGTGGAGCAGGTTTTGTTTTGTTTGCTTATTTAGCGTTCAAATCCAGGCTTGAACCGCTACTGACTCAAAGTCTGCTGCCAGATTCTGGGCTGTGCTCAGCCTAACCTACCTTACAGTATTGTTGCGAGGATAAAAAAGTGTGTTGCCTCGAGTTCTGTGATGAAAAGGTGGGGAAAAATGTAAGAAGCAACTACTAAATGCATGTTTTGCCAGTTGTTAAAAATATGGATTATACTGCTTTATTTTTAATAATATTTATTTTAAAAGATGCACGCTCCACCTTCTGATCTAAACTGATCCCACAAAATGGTTTACCATTTTATTTTTTGCTTCTTTTTATGATTATTGTTCTTGAAAGCCACTTTGGATATTTTTGAACAAACACGTACAGAACACAAAAGGAGAAGTTTCCCCCTTAAAAATTGAAAGAAAGAAAACGGGGATCCTCGATCTTCGGCTCCGCTCCCCCGATTTTTGTGGTTGCAGGGATCCCCCTGGGCCACTCGGCGCCCTCCAGATGTTGGCCTGACCTCTCGCCACTCGCTCCCGGGGCCGAGGGAAGCGGGAGCCCAACAACCCAGCGGCGCTTCAGGGAAGGCCGGGAACTAAGATGCTCGGCCTCCGTGTTCCCCGCCGGACACTTCACGCGACGGACGAGGCGAGGACAGGAAGTGGCCGAGGAAACTCGAAAGAGTTGCTGGGGGCCCCGCTCGGTTTCCGGGGCTGCGGAGGCGCAGCCCAGCCCTAGAAGGCCGGCCTCTGCAACGACGCTTCTCCGGGCGCCGCGCCGCCTTCCCTCGGGGCGAGGCCCTGGCCCGGCGGGGTGAGTCCGGCGGGACGGGGCGAAATTGGTTCCGCAAAGGTTCTGGCGAGCAGGCACCCAGTGCGCATGCGCGTTGGCTGCCTGACGGAGCCCTTATCTGGCAGGCGGCGGGGCGGGGCTTAGAAAGAGGGCGGGGGGAGACGGAGCGCCGGGATTGGGTGGAAAGGCTTTGAAGGACAGCAGAAACCGCGCGGGTTTTCTTAAAAGGGTCAACGCGCGGCTGGGTGTTAAAGGGGCCGAAGTGCACGAATTTACAGAGCAACGCTAACGCAGATTTGTGTTCCCGGAGTGGCTTATTATTATTAAGATCTGTTAGTCACTTAATTTTGCCCAAGGCAGCCCAAAGCGACTTACAAAGTAGTAGGGAATAAAAAGTACAGTTATAATGAAGAAGAAGAATATCAGGCAAACCTACTACAGCCAAATAAAACGACAAACTGAAACGGCAACAGCCAGTTTAAAGAAGACAATAAAATCAAACTGCTCTTGAATTACGAAAAAGAGGGTTGTGCACTAGAAATTATCCAAAGCTAATGATGAATGAGTTATTGTGGTTATTTTATTTTTAAATTTTCTCTAGTCAACTGAGGGGAGAAGCTGTTGCCCTGAGAGAAACAGCCTTGGCTGCTTTAATCTGAGGAAGGTTGCCAAGCTTTAAAAACAAAAAAAACCTGACCCCCATTGTGGCACATGAAAGGCTAGCAAAGATATTGTGTTAGGCTGTAGGGCAGGGATGTGGCCCTCCAGTTGTTGTTGGACACCAGCTCCCATCAGCCCCAGCCTGCTTGGTCAGGGATGGTGGGAGTTGTAGTCTAGGAGCTTCAGGAGGGTCACAGCTTCTCCCTCCTTTCATTTTAAAGAATGAACCACTTGCCATAGAATTAACCTATAGAATTTTCAGGGTCTTGCAGTAACCTGTAGCCCCAATGGCCAAGGAAGGATTAGATGACTACATGCCATGGCTTCACATCTGAATAGGCCAAAGTGCAATCCTTGGCTCTGACTAGCAACATGGATGGGATGCTGCTATTTTGCAAACCTTGCAAGATCAAATTTCCCTAACCAAGACCTTTCTAAATGGACATTTACTTCTGGCTGGTTTGAAACTTGAGTAAGACTGAGTGTGATCTTCAAGGGCAGGATGGTCATAGGTAGCCAAGCAAGTAAATAGATCTCCTTGTTTGGAACAGACCTGAGAGTATGATGGCTCACAGCCAGGTGAGGAAAAGGTTTCGGAGCAGGAGCCGAAGCGACTCCCAGAGCAGGCGAGATGTGGAGGAGAAGGAGAAGGAAAGGAGGAGAAGCAGCAGAGAATCCCAGGGGAGGATGAGGAGTTTGTCTCCCGCCAGCAAAAGAGGATCTGAGCCCCCAAGGGTCCGAATGGGCTCAGCCTCCAGCAAAGAAGGTAAGGATGTGGGAGAGGGTGTCAGCTGCTTCTGAAGCAATAGCCTAAGAAATGCAGAACTCCGATCTCTCAGTGGGGTAGCATTTGCCAGTGTTGGCCAGTAGTGCAGTTTCCTGGGGGAGCTATTGTCACTTTCTGGTCACTGAGGCTGCTCCCTGCACCCTCCACCATGGTCCCCTTGTTTGCTTAGGATGAGACACTTGTGTAGAATGCAGCCTGCAGAGCAGAATATTTCTCCCGTAGTTGTTTTTTTTTTAATTATCACTCCTTTTGCTTTCATAGAACTTCCCACCAGAACCATCAGGGCTTGAAACTTTGCCTTCTTAAGCTTTGTCCCTCAAGCGAGTGATGGCTGCACACTGACAGCTGCCTTTTGTAACATCCAGGTGTGTCTTAAAATCAGTGCCTCTGATTATATCATTCGTTGGGCACTGACTTCAGAGCCACATCTATGCAGCAGATTCAAACCATATTAATGGGTTAGAAATATGTCCTGGCTGCCCCAACCCCAGGCAAAGAATCCCATGAAGACACTAGACTAGTTGCCTCCCCAACCCCAGTTACAATACCTAGGTTATTCTTGGAGGTGAAGCCACAGCAATTAAGCCAATCAACAAGTTCCAGTTCTGGGTTCTGTCCAGGGCTAGAAAAGAGAATTCCCTCAGTTTTTTTCTCCCTTTGGGTAACAGTTCTGGTGATGTATTGCAACATGATAGATATTCCCTGGTGACTTCTGATTGATGCTGGGTTCCAGTGAAAAAGAAGAAGAAGAAGGAGAAGGAGAAGAAGAAGAAAAGGAGAAGAGGCAGCAGCAGCAGCAGCTCCTCTGAGACCAGCTCCTTATCTTCAGGATCGTCCTTCTCTTCCGATTCCTCTACAGATGTGTCAGGTGACGATGAATCCAACCGCAAAAGGAGGAAGCAGAGCAAGAAGAAGCTAAGCAAAGAGAAAGATAAAAAGCAAAAGAAGAAGAGGAAGAGGAAAACCAAGAAGAAAGCAAAGAATAAATCAAAGGGGAGGGAGAAAGAGGGAGCAACAAAGGGGGAGGCACCCCCTGGCCCTTCCCTGGACCAGTGGCAGAAAGAGACCCTGGGAGACTCCGGGCCAGGTAAGATCCTCCCCCAGGCAAGGTAGGATTGGAAAACAATAACAACACTGTTGGTTAATGAGTGGCAAAATGAATGTTGCAGTTTTGCAATAGGGACCTTAATTAGATCCATTTTCTGTAAGTTTGTTTATTACTAGATGGATTTTTAAAAAATCATTACTAAGCTATTTGTACTTTTAACTGATAGTGCAGTGATTTCTGAACACACTGGAGGAGCCTTTTTTCTGTGGGATTGAACAACAAAAATGCTCTCCCTACCAGTGGTAATACCAGAGCTATTGGTGAGACCACTGTTTTCTGACTTGGGTCTGCCTCTCAGCCCTGACAGATGAGCAGAAATCCCGCATCCAGGCAATGAAGCCCATGACGAAAGAGGAGTGGGACGCTCGGCAGAGTGTGATAAGGAGAGTCGTTGACCCTGAAACAGGAAGAACAAGGTGTGTTGCGTGGAGGGGGGGGTTGTCACTAGAAGATTGTCACTAAGTTAAATTTATGTAAACCCTCTAGGTTTTCTCTCCTGTATCTGCATTATCCTCTGAAACGACCACATAGTTCAGTTTCTTTACAGAGCTCTTTGTATTTTCTGTTCTAAAGTTCCTTCATTGGCAGTTTCTTTTTGCAAATGCTGACCCCGATTAATAGTATCGTTTTAAAAGCACCACGCAGAGAGCTTTTACACTTTCTTTTATTTTCCCCTTGCAACATCACCATGTGCTCAGTCACTGTTGGTCCCATCTTACAAATGGGGAACTGGACTGTGATAAGCGAGTGGGCACAACAAGCCATGTTCTTCAGCTTATGAACCTTTTCTTCCTAAACTTAAAAGCCCCTAATGTAGGGAAGGTGCTCCAAACTTGCGGTTATGTTGTGTCCCCTTTTCTGCACCGTTCACCTTTGGGGTTTGGTCCAAGTGTGGCTGCGCCATAGACAGGGGGAAGTGCATCATGACATTGGTAGCTATGGATTGTATACAGCCTTAGTCATACTCAGAGAAGGCCATTTGAAATGTGACAGTTATGTTTCTTCTCTGAGTAGAACTTCGTTGAATACAGCCCTGCTTTTAATCCTACCCCTCATAAGCTCCAGCTTGGAATTTGCTTTTTCTGCTGCAGCTGAGTTGGCATTCTTTGTGGCTGGCCCCACTGCAGCAAGGTGATCCCTACATTCTCACATTCTTAACTATGGGAGGCAGCTTCATACTGGCCAGACCACTGGTCCTCTTGGCCCAGTATTGTCTACACTGACTGGCAGAGGCTCTCCAGTGTTTGGGGCACAGGACATTCCCATCCCTTCCTGGAGATGTAGTTGGGGGTTGAGTCAGGGACTTTCTGCATGCAAAGCAGGGAGCTATGGCCTCCTCTGTTGATAGGAAGGGCATATAGACATCTACTGTTTGTGCAAGTTGGCTGGACTACAATCTGGGTTTCAATTCCAGACTTATTAAAGGTGATGGCGAGGTCCTTGAGGAGATCGTTACTAAGGAGAGGCATAAGGAAATTAACAAGGTATGTGGCTGTTTATTATTGCAGAATCTAACGGATGTAATCTGGCAACTGTAGACTGGAGTATTTAGAGGACAAGGCTGGGCTTTGTAGGCTGGGTTTTGTTTATAACTGTTCAGTGGCTTATTAATTCCCCTAAAGTGGTTCCACTGACTTCAGTGTCATAGAATCATAGAACTGTAGATTTGGAAGGGATCCTGAGGGTTATCTAGCCCAACCCCCTGCAATGCAAGAATCTCAACATGCAGTCCCCCATCCAATTTGAAACTATACCAGACCCTGCTTAGCTTTGGAAGTATGCTAGCAGTTTTATTGCTAAAAGAGAGAATAAGCTGACTTTTGGGTTGCTCAGACTTTCCCATGTAGGTCCACTTTGCCTTTGTTTCCATCAGTTTGTAGATCAATACTTTTTCATATCCTAGATGAGAACTTCCTTCCTTCCTTCCTTAGAAGCCTGCAGAGTGTGGGGACATTGATGCTGTTCCCCTTAAAAGAATAGAACTTCAGAAATTGCACCAAAGACTGATACGATTTGCAGACCTTTAATGCATCTACCTTTGTTCACAGCAAGCCACGCGGGGAGATGGCCTTTCCTTCCAAGCGAGGACGGGGATGCTGCAGTGATAACTGGAAGGTTTTCAGAGATGGTTTTATTCCCAGCTTCAGAAGCTTTGCTGAAACCAGGCACTGCACTCCCCACACCCAACACCCGTCCCCATGGAATTTGCATGCCAGTGCCATCAGGACTGAGAACTGCTGGGGCAGGAAGATGCCCAGATTCATCAGCTCTTAGTACAAATCCTTCTGTTTTGCAGTTCTCCCCTGTGAGGCTTTCCAACTGCTGCCTCCAGCTTGTTTCCTCATCAAGGCACCTCCCTTAGCAGTGAAAAACAGTGAAAATAATTATCCCAAAGCAAAAGGGAAGTGAGCAAAAACAGAAGACCCAGGTCACTGGAAAGGAAGCGACGGAAGTCTGACAACAAATGCTGTGGAGATCTTTTACCGCTCTGCCTGCCTCCAAGGCAGATGGACCAAGTGCAAAGTGGGCTGGAGGCTTCTGGCTTTGATCCTGCTTGCCTCTATCCTGTGTGGGAGGGGACTTTTTTCTAAAGCTCAGCCCAGCTACTTCCCAGCTGGCTTCATGGTGTCTAGGCTCTGAAACCTCAACATCAGCTAGGGTGCATCTCTAAATCCGCTGTCCTAAGAAGGCGGTAGGAGGAGCACCAGCAGCTGCCACCTACCTCCTCCTGCTCAAGGCCGAGGGAGTTTCATGCTCTTGGGTTCTGCTGGGAAGAGTTAGAGCAGGGTAAGGGCGTGCAGTTCTCACACAGGTCCACTCTTGCTGTGCCCCACCTCTAGCATCTCTGGCTGAGCAGCATCTGCTCAGGTGTGGGGCTTGGCAAGGTGGCTGGTCAGCCATGTTCTGCTGCTACCTCACCTTTTCTTGTGCTCTAGCCTGACACAACGCAGCCTCTGCTTAAGGGCAGAAGGGCACCTTAGTGGTGAGATCTGGATCGCACTTCAGGCTGTTCTGGTTTCCATCTTCACACTTACACCTACCTAATACAGGAACAGGAATGCATTGAGGCTTCCTTAACAGGTCCACATGGTAACCCTTTTCTGCTGCAGCGTTAGCTAGATAGGCTGCATTAAGCTCTGGATTCTGAAAAGTGCTGACACCCGCTGTGTTCACGGGAAATTCAAAGCCTTGACCCTTTAAGGGTGCCACACAATTTGCTTCCTTGCTAGAGGGCCCTTGTGTGTCCTTGTGCCAACAGCTATGCAATTGGCAAGCATGTCATCCTTTCAGGAGCGACTCTGTCCATGCTGCTTTGCTTTGTTTCCAGGCTCCATTTGGGCAGATTATATATCTGGTGTATCTCTGTATGCCAGGGGTAGCCAAATGCTTTTGGCCCGAGTGCCAAACATTGCCAATCCTCTGAGGGTTGCATGCCTGTGACACACTACACACACAATCACACAGGTACACAAAACATCTCCATCACTATGATGGTTATTTCCTTAATGAAGCACTGGGCTAGGTGGAGAGGTTTAAATCTCTGTTCTCAGGGCAACACTGTGGTAGGATTGTTGCAGAGGTTTAAACTGCATGTTACTGGCACAAGCAATTGATTAAGGGGGGGCACGAGAGAGGCTACAATGCCAAAAATGTCCAGGGGGGGAGCAGGAGGAGAAGCCTGCTGATTCTGCCAGCGACCCTTAGAGCAACAGTGTTGTTGCTGGCATGGTAGACCTCACACCCACCTCTTTCCTTAGATGTATGGTAAGGGAACTGATAAGCAGGTCTCCTGAGGCAACACGGTGTAGGAGCTGGATGTGGTTGTTTGCTCACCAACTTTTGGTAATCAAACAAACGTCAGTCAGGCATGTTTGTGTGAAATTCATTTTAATTATATCCTGTTAATTATTTACCCAGTGCTGAACAGTAATTCACACTTTGGCCTTATTCCTCCAAAGAAGAGCCAAGCCAATGAATTGTTGCTTTAACTCTTTTTCATCAAAACTAACAGAATGATTAAAAAAAATGCTTCACTTTACCTGGATTGTGCCCTTTAAGGGTGTGGCCTTTGTTTTGCAAAATCACAGCACTCCTATTTAACCGGTAGCATCCAGGTTTGTCCAGGTAATAAATGTCATGTCATCAACTTGCACAGGCTTGCTGATGCAGGTAATACCAGGCCTGTTCATTATAACAGCCTTCCCCATCTTGTCTGTTTTAGGGTATCATCTGTTTATTATGGTTTTGTGCTGTTCTGGGAACAGGGTTGTTCCACTGAACCAAGAAGAACTTCCGACTCAGCCACGTGTAACCAAAGTCATGCACATAAGACCGAATAAAGCTTTCCTGCTTTGCTTCAGCGATTCAGAGTGGGGTATAAATGCATCCATATTGCACATACTGCATAACAGCTCCGTAAAATAGGTAGTGCTGAGAAGTTGGGACTCGCCCAACCCAGCTTCTGAACCTCCAGGCTGAAAGGGGGATTTGAAACTGAGATGCTTCCTCTGGCTTCCTCTTCCTCCTCCCTGACAAGTGGGGACACCAGAGAACTGGACCAATTCATACTTGGCAGACTGATAAACAGATTGGATTGCAGTTATAATTTTTGCACTTCTCCATTTTTTCCAATACTGCTCTGTGCTCAAAAATCTCATAAAATTTCTATTTTAGGTTAAAATATGCAGTGCAATACAAAATGCTCATTTTAGGATAAATGTGCAGCACAATTGTGTTTTTGCTTATGGAAACAAGACAGAACCGACTTATTAATGAACATCTGCTAACCTGACACTGGGCAGAAATAGACTGATCCCTACTGACAAGCAGCTCTAATTTAAATGCATTTCAAGCTCTCTCCACTGCATACTAGCTGGATGTTGCATGAATATCTTGCAGGGCACGAAAATATTACTGTAACTCTTAGCCATAATAGCTTAGTGCAGGAATGATGATGAACTTCAGGTCTGGAGGCCAAATATGAGTCCAGGTCTCGTCAACTGGCCCTCAGAAATTGAGCCAGGCCACACACACTGCATCTTCAGACCATTCCTCTCCTCAGTGGCCCTGCTTTGCCCCCTGAATAATTATGTTGCTATCACATTTATATCCCACTTTCTCCAAGGAACTCAGGATGGTATACATGGTCCTCCAGCTCTGCATCTGAACTCCACAACAGCCCTGTGAGGTAGGTTAGGCTGAGAGGCAGTGACTGGCCTAAGGTCACCTGGTGAGCTTCATAACTCAGTGGGGATGTTAACCCTGATTTTCCCAGGGCCTAATGCCTTAGAACGCTGGAAATCTCTCGTCTGTTTGGAGGAGAGATAGGGGTGTTATGGGTATGTAGAAACAAATGTATAAAGGTAAAATTTATATGGCTCCACCCACTTTTGCATGTGGCCCTCAGAAGGTCGCTCAGAAGAGAATGTGGCTCCCAGGCTGAAAAAGGTTCCTTGCCCCTGGGCTTAATGGCATTGCTCTGTAGAGAGGCTCTTTGTGCCTTAGGGAAGCCCATGCCATGGCGTCCCGATTGCGGATTTCCCCCGGAAATCTGGCTGTTATAAAGACAGAATGCTGGGATTTGGTCTGATGCTTCAGGGCTACTTTCTTGGGCTCTGAAAGCAAGTCGCTTTGAAGCTTTATGCCTTTTGTGGACTTTGCAAAGAAGCAGACACAGCAAGAGGGCCTTCCCGTTTCTTTTAATTGGTGTTAACGTACAAGGGATAACCATATACAAAGCACAACCAGGTGGCAGGACGAGGCGGCAGGACCAGCAAGGAAGAGGGTGGTCCTCACATACAAGAGCAAGGAGACAGACAGGATCATGCAGACACAAACGCAGGTAGCTGGACTCTGGGCTGATTTGCCCTTGTGACCTTTCCATAGGGAACGTTCTTGGAGTGCTGCCCCTCCAGCCGAATCTTTGAGAAGCCTGCCCTCCGCCCACCATTCAACAGAATGAACATTGTTGAACACAGAGTAACAGTCAGGGAGGAGAAGGAAGTGTGGGGTGGGGTCTCAGTGATGAAGGAGAGGGAGACAAAACCTTAATGCTTTTGGAACTAACAGGAAAAACTGCAGCAATGGTGGTAAATACCTGAACTAGAGGGATGACTCCAGTAAAGCCCGGGATAAAACTGTCTCGGAGGAGGAGGGTTTTGTTTGTAACTGACGTCGCTCCCCACCCTGCCTTTGGCAGACAGCTTCCCTTGAGCTAGCTTTAAGATACAAAACGTTCATCAAAATTAAAGTTGGCTTGTCAAAAGATGCTAACAATCCGGCCCCAGTGCGAATTACAGGGAAGCTATCTTGTTTGGGAAGAATGTATACAACAGGTTGGGCCTCTTTTTCCATCAAACCATTGATTGTTTTGTACATTTATATCCTAATTTTCTTTGAATGGAATTCTGGGTGGTATTTATGGGGCTCTTAGGTAGACTCCCCGCCATCTAGATCTGCTTCATTCCAGCAGGCTGGTGTTGTCAGTGCCCTTTTGTAATGTTTGGATATCTAAGGCTTCAATCCTAAACACACTTAACAGGGAGTAATGTGGAGCAAGGCCACAGAACACAATGGAAATTACGTCTGGGTAATTATGTATAGGATTGTGTCATAGGAATGCCACCTAGAACCTATGTGTGTGCTTTTGTTTCATTTGTTTTCTCAGACTGCAAACATTTTAGGAGCTTTCCAAAATTTAGCATGCCCTGGCAAACTTGGGGGTTGTGCAGAGGCAAGCTTTATTAAACTCCACACCCACTTTGGCTTTTCAGAGCATTAGGCTTTCCCCTGCCCATCTGCAGCCTTTTTTGGCTTAAAAGAAATGAAAGTTTAGTCCCATGTGATGCCTTTAAACATTTTTAGCCAAGTTTAAACACTTCAGCACCAAATTACCCTGCAAAACTTTCCCCCAAACGCAAGGTCTGTTGATACGAAACATCTGAAAAGAGTAAATTAAGTCTATGTTAAAAAATAGACCCAAACTCAGCAAAATTCTTGTTCCGTACCAAGGCACCTCCAATTGTGCAGTGTGAATACATGATGTAAACCATACAGCACTGCATTATGCAAAGTTCCTTGGCTTATGGCAGGAGGATGGGGGAGATGTGGACAGAGCACTTGATCTCGTGGGAATTCTAAATGCCACCCAAACGCCAGGTTGCTGGTGCAAGCTCCTCTAAATATTTGCAAGGGGGGAGTTCCTGATCTCTTGACCACTCCTTTCCTCAAATATCACCCCAATATGTTCCCCTGTCTTTTAAAAGAGGAAACCACTTCAGAGTCCAAATTACTTGCAAAACATACTTCAAAGACAACAACAAACAGAAGTTATGTGATCCCAAGACAAAAAGTGCAAGTTTTACCTGTTCCTTGGCTGGCTGGGCCTTGCAGCTAAAAGCATCTGGAAGGTCTCAGGTTGGGAAAGGCTGATCATCATACTGGCTGAGTCCTAGGCACGTCCAGGTGGCTCTAATATACGCAATGTACTGAAACTGTTCTCCCTGACCACTCATTCATTCACCCGGCTGAGAAGACTCTTGAGGGGCAAGTCTGCACACCTGAGGTTCCCACAGCAAGTTTAGCAGACCTGTCCTTTCCGGGGGCATTCCTGCCTCCCCACTCCATTGAGCTGTCAGAAAGTGCCACAGAGACAAAGCCTCATAATAGACACTTACTGGCCCTTAAGGTATAAACTGGATCTGGGGCACTGATCTCAAGGAAAGACAATCACTGAGGCTACAGCATTAAATACAGATGGCTTCAGATTCCACAAATCAGTCTTTGCATTTCCAACTGGGATGGCGAATGCTGCTCTCCAGATTCATTCCAGAGGGAGCCACACTACTTTCTAATGAAGCTATTGCTATTGTTTGTTTAATGCCAGAGTAGCAAGTTCAGCTTTCAACATCAAGGACAACACACGAGGGGTATACATACATAAGTCATGGACCAGAATGATGGCATCCTGGAGAGCTTAAAAAAATGAAAAAAGCCTCCAGCCATAATGTCATTTGCTCGCCACTCACTTAATTCAAAATTATTACAATTGCAAAGAAGGATGAAGAACCACCCCCATCCCCTTACACACACAAAACAACCGTCTTGAAAAGAAACAGGGAGAATGGCTGGAAGAGAGGAGACGCCTGGCCAAGGGGTGGGGGTTGTACACAGGAATGACTGTCCCTCTTACGGATCATTTGTTTCAAATATGGATTGGCGAGAGGCAATGAGATGATTTCTTTTAGCATCCTTGGACAGTTTAAACTTGGTCCATAAAATGAGTTTGTTGTAAATTATGCCTGAAAACAAGGGGGAGGGGAAGCTAGGTCTTGAAATGTTAACAAAACCTGAAGGTTTATTTCCCTCCAGACATAGGTTTTGTACATAAAATAAATTACTTTCACTGCATATATATATATATATATATATATATATATATATATATATAACCCACTTCCTCCCCAACCCGTATCCAGGCATTTTACATTGTTTTTTTCCTTTACACTGTCTACTCACACACACTCACACTCACACACACACTAAAAAGGAGCCACTGAACGTCTCAAAGTTTGAATAATGTACATGTCTTGAATGTTCAGGGGAGAGGCCAAATCAATGAAACTCAAATCCAGATTATGTGGCCGCCTAGTCTGTTTTTGCGATGATGGTCAGATGATACACTGAGCTAGCAAAGAGCTATAATGCACTCCATGTGGATTCTGCATGTCAAACACCCACCCACTCATTTTTTTTAATGTATATTTGCAAAGAGCTAGGCTGAGGAGAAAGGGAAGTCAATAGTGCTTGGGTTCTTTTTTTTTAGAAAAAAGTAGTAAAAACTCGCCAAGATTTTCTTGTTGACTTCATCTGAGACAAGAGGCTTATAATCTTGCAGTATGGCTCATCATCAACCATTTAAGAAATGTTGGGAGTTGCAAGCTTCATTTGAAAAGAGCAGCAGTTTCCATGGATAAATAAATGGATTTTACCCCTTTTGGACAATCACATTCATATGGATGGAGCACACCATTTTAAATTTGGTGTTGAAACCCATGTAGCAAAGTAGCTTTTTACATGTCCAGGTGAGTTGCTGAGCCTCGTGGCTTGGAAAGAGGCTGTAATTCACAGTGCTGCCGAGTCTTGGTATTGAAAAGAAGAAACAATGAAAGAGATGTTGGTCTAGGGGGGGAAATGTTTTACGTATAAAGTGGAACACTGAACAAAGAAGCACACCTGTGCAAATATAAAAAATGCCAGAAGCTATAGGCAAGAAAGGGCAACCCCAACTCTTGGAGAACTAGTCCATTATCTCAGGCTAACTGTGTTCTGCAGCAGCTGGAAACTGAATCTGCAGGGTGAGGTGGCGTGATGGTGGCTAGGGAAATTTTGCAGACCCTTCCTTGTAGGTCTATGTTCCCTTGTGCAATTTACCCCCATTCTCAAACAGCTACTATAAGGTGTTGTAAACCAAGCACGTTCTTTAGAACTCGGGGCAGAGCTCGCAAATGTACTTCACAGAACTTTGCAGCAAATCCAACCATCAAACCTGCAACTCCTGTACAGAGAGTAGTTAGGGAAATTTAAGATATGTCTATCCTCTCCTTTTAAAAATTGCATTTCCTTGGTTTGTACCTCTCAGTTTGTTGCACTTGTTCTTTTTAAATCTCCTGACATTGTTGGTGGGGAAAAGCCCTGTGTGTGTGCATGTTTGCATTTGGGTAGATGCATCCTGGCTTAGCAACATTTGACTGTCATGTGCTATAAATAGGGAGGGTGTAGCTTCATAAAATAGTAATAGGCCTCCTTTCTAAAAATTATCAGTGCAAAACAAATAAAAACAATGAGGTTTTACAGTTGCATAACTATAGTTAAAAAGAAAAGCAAAATTTACATCCTCTGCTGAAAGCCATTGCAAAAGTTGGAAAGAAGGACGGACTCCCTTCTGGTCAAGAGGTCAAGAGGCAGAAGAGAAGTGGGCGGAGTGGGGAAGAATTTGGACTTCGCTTTTTTTAGGCTGAGCAAAAATAGCACACTGCTATTTGTTTCCTAGATGCTTGAAACTAACTGTTGGTACTTTCCAAAAGTACAAAGTAGTGACTGGGTAACTGCCCAACTTCTTTCACCCTGCCCCCTCCCTCACACACCAAGGAGCAGAAAGCAGCAGATAAAATCCTTTCTCTGCATTAGTACAATCCACCAGTTTCCAAAATCTGGTTTTTGTTTTCCCTCCTTTTTTAAGATGTTCACTTAAAAATAATCATAGGAAATTGTACCCAAATAAAACAAACTGCTAATCGGATCCCATGCTTCTTGCACCAAAGATGCCTTGAATTAGCCATTGTCAACATGACTTTGCTTCTTAGCAGAATAGGAGTGTGTTCTAAGCATCCTTTGCTTGTCTTGAACTCTTCCCTGTGTCCAACCCGAGTCTCTCCAGATTCCTGAAGTGGAGCAACTTATTTCAAAGCGGTGGCAGGATGCAGCTCCTTTCACTTCAGATAGCAGAACAAGCCCACAGTCGTGGCTCCCCCGCCTGACTCCTCCAGTTCTGCCCGCACATGGCACTGGGATGCTCCCGCCCTCCGTTGCATCTTTGACTGATGGCTAAGAAGCTGAGGAGGCACATATTTACAATCACCAAACCTGGGTAAGAAAGGGGGGGGGCAGGAAAAAGCTGCACCCAGAAGCTGCCAAAGTATTCATCTTCCCCTTCCTGATGCCCCTCTGCTTGAAAAGGCAGTTTTCTTGTTCCTCTTTGCACAGTGCTCTGCAAAAACCCAGTGCCCCCCGTCACCAAGGCCTGTGTGTTTTGCATGGAGGGGGGAAAAACCAGTCTGTTATCGCCTCATAAAGTTATGACTGCCTCTCTGGCAATGAGTAGCACCATGTTTGCCCCACTACCCCACACCACAGGCCTCGGTTGTTTCACCTCCCCTGCTGCTGCCATGCACGATTGCCTCCTGCTGCTGCCGTCCGGCTGCTCTACTTCTGCCCCAGGCCCCCCGGCTCCAGTCTGGAGGCTGTGCTCCGGCCCCAGCACCCTGTGGCAAGGCTCATGCTCCTCTGGCTGCGCTCCCTCTCCCTCTCCCGGTCACTCTCTGACTGACTCTGGGTTCGCTCCGGCCTGTAGCCACTGCTTCCGCTGGCTGCCGTGGCTGGCTGAGAGGAGATGGTGCGCAGCAAGTGGTTCCTCTTGCGCAGGAATTCCGTTTGGCCCGGGAGGCCAAAGCTGCCTTTCCGAAGAGCCATCCGGGTGGTGTTCTTGGCGGGGCGGGAGCGATGGGTGTATTCCAGCTGGGCCAGGTGGGCTGCGTATCCCTCGGTAATGAACTGCAAATTTAATTAAAATGAAAGCTTATTTTTGGAAGACATCTGCAGTCCAAAACTTCAGTCTAGTTTCATTGCCAAATGCAATTTCACAGCTGCCATTTCAGATGCTGCCAAGGCAACTGTTTACCAAGTGACAAATTTATCTCAGGTTGCCAGACCCAGAGAATAATCTGCCATACAGGATGTGGTTCTCACTGCTGAAGCGGGGTAAGTGGAATGTGTGAACCCCTCCATAAGCTGGTCATCTCTACCTTCCTGCCAAGTGTCAAGGAGAAGTCTCTCTGACACACTAGTTTAGAAATTGAGAAGCAGGCACCAAAATCTCCTCAGCAGCTGGCAAAACAATATAGGCAACCAACTTACTTGTATGTGCACCAGGATAAGTTATTCAGCAAAAAGTCATCTAAATGTCAACCCAAATAAGCAAATTTGCTAAACATATTAATGCTGTTTCTGCAATGGCCATTATTCATCTTTGATACACTTTGTGTATATATGTATTTTATTTAATATAATATATGTCTAAACTGTGTTTCATCAAATGGATTCCAAGGAAGTGTACAAGATCTGCGTACTCAGTTCTCCATCGCCTAAGCTTAGACCATGCTATTAAAAGACCCAAATCAAAAATTTTAAAAATCTCTTAAAGCACACTGGTAAATCTTGATAGTACAAATGTAACACTGATCCCCTGAAAATTTTGACTGAAATATGCTTCTGTTTTCAGAAAGGCACATAGCCAGGCAAGGCATAGGCAGGCTTGCTGCTTCTCCCCTATCCAATGACTTCCCATCTTGTTCCAGGCCTACTGGGCTACTTGCCTGCTTTTCCTGCGCATCCCCTGACTGGGTCCGTTTTTGTCTCTCCATAGATGAGGCAGATACCTTATATGGAGTCAGCATTTGGTGCATTTAGCTCTGGCAGCGGTTTTAGGCAGGGGTCTCTCCCAACCTGACATGAAGATGCTGAAGACTGAAGAAGCTGGAATTTTCTGTATGCAGAGCAGATGCTCTACCTCTGAGCTACAGTCACTTCTGCAACTACCTCAAGAGATGCTTGGCTTTCTTTCCACCATTCCTCTCCTCCATGCCAACAAAGATGGCACCATAAAGGTAAGATCTGTGCTAGACTGCTGGTGCTCCAAAATGCCACCCTCCTCTACATCTTCTCTGGGTATCTCTTCGGAGCCACTTCTCGTGAGCCCCACTGACACAGAAGTGGCACCAGAGGCATAGCTGGGGGGGGGGGAATGGGCACTTGGCGACCACACCACTGGGGCAGCACTGACCGTGGGGCCTGCAGCATGCCTGAGCCACACATCTCCTCTGGGAGTGATGTGATGCACTGGCTCCCGATGGAGTACAGGATCAGGTTTAAGGTGCTGGTTTTAACCTTTAAAGCCCTATACGGCCTAGGACCCTCGTACCTACGGGACCATCTCTCATACCGCCTCTCCTGGTATGTCCCACAGAGGACCTTACGGTCTTCAAACAATAACATCTTGGAGGTCCTGGGCCACAGGGAGCTTAGACTGGCCTCATCCAGAGCCAGGGCTTTTTCGGCTGTGGCCCCAATCTGGTGGAACGTTCTGATTTTAGAATGCTGTGTTACTTTTATTGTTGTTAGCCGCTCTGAGCCTGACTTCGGCTGTGGAGGGCGGGATATAAATAATAAAAAAATTAATTCTTCTTCTTCTTCTTCTTCTTCTTCTTCTTCTTCTTCTTCTTCTTCTTCTTCTTCTTCGGTGGCTCAGGCACCTGCAGGCTCCGTGCTGCCCAAAATGGCAGTGTGCGGCTTTGCGTCTGCTCACCGCCTCCCCCTCTGCTGCCCTACAGCTGAGGGGGAGGCAGTGAGCAGACTCCTTGGAGGCTCCGTGCAGCACGCCCTGCCCCGGCTTACCCTGCCCTGCCTCCAGGCACAGGAGCCACCCCAGGCGCCCGAGCGGCTAGCTACACCGCTGAGTGGCACAGCTGTAGGGCTTGGATAGGCTGCACCCCCAGCTTCACCATACAGGCACTTATCTATCCCTTGTGAAAGCATCTGAATTCTGAGGTTACCTGACAATGGTTCTGTAACTTCTTGGTTGGCCGCCCAACAATGTAGATCTGCATAGGCGGCAGGCTGATGGAGGTGTAGACCGAGACATCCTTGGTGGATCCATAGGCCGCATGGATCTTCATGTCTAGCTGCAGGGTGTGGGGCAAGAAAAGGCAAATCATTGGCAACTGGGAGGGAAATGTACCCTCTGGAATAGCACCAGACCCTTGGTTTTCACACAAAGATGTTGCAATGTAGCATCTTTTGTAGGATGCCTTGGGAAAAGGTTGTAATGTTAAGAGTAAGGATGCATTTGAGGAGAAGTGCTCGGGAAGGCCAACACCCTCCTTGAATGCTCAAAAGCAGGACTGGTGTTCACAAGGTTCACCCTGATCCTGCAAGCCCACCGGCACAATTTCCCCCAGTAACTTACGCTGGGCCAGGAGGAAGGCAGCGGTGCCAGCAGCAGCTGCTGCTTCAGGGCCTTCCATCTGGGAAGGGCACAGCGAGGGGTCTTGGTCACAGCCTGCCCAGAAGTGGTGCCACTTTGGGCAGAGTTTGGGGGCATCATTCCAGGGCTTCACCTACCAAGATGAGCAGTCTGGCCAAGTATACATGCTGTAAATCACTCTGATTTTTTTTATGAATAGCGGCATATGAAAATAGATAAATAAAAGTAATGTGCTTATAATAAAAGCTGCATAAAAATGTGTATATTATAAAATCTCATGCAAAAAAGATATTATAAAACTGCTTTGTGTACATTAGACAAAAGTGCATTAAAATGTGTACAGTGGTACCTCTGCATATGCACACCTCTAGTTGTGTATCCTTCAGGATGTGAACGCAGCAAACCCGGAAGTATTTTTGTGGGTTTTGCTGCGCGCGCATGTGCAGAAGCGCTCTACCACGCCGCATGCATGCGCAGAAGCAGCACCTCCGGTCACAAATTGCTCGGGATCTGACCGGAGCTCCGGAACTGTGCGCAACCAGAGGTACCACTGTATATTGAAAGAGAAATCTGCACTAAAATGATGAATTTTCATCAGGCTTCTTTTTTAGAAGTTGCAAACTGATGTTGCATTGTTGAGAACTGAAGAATGGAAAAATGAGAAACAGAGAGAAACTTGAACCTGACACATTTTCCTATTTCTATTACCAAAGAGCCTCTGAAGACACTTGGAGTCTAACATTGCCTAACTGGGCAACGGCCCCACAGCCTGCAGCCGCCACCTCTGCTTCTTCCTTGCCTGCCCAAAGGGAAGTTTCTTTGTCTACTGGCAGGGGAAGAGGGAGGTGGAGGAGAGTGCTCAGCGCTTTTGGAGGGATTTCGCACATGCTCACTTAGAACATACACCATCCACAGCACCTTTTTGGGAAAATGAATGGATGCTCTTGCATCCCTAGTTAAAATGTCTCAGGTGGATGTAATGAAGAGGTTGGATGGCCATCAGTCATGGATGCTTCTGTTGAGATTCCTGCATTGTTGGGGGTGACCCTTGTAATCCCTTCCAACTCTACGATTCTATGAACTATGGTTAAAAATTGAAGCTCAGTGAACCGAGTTTGTCAAAACTGTGTTCGTTAGATGTTTAAGAGGTTCTGATCAGCTGATTAGTTCTGAGGGAATTCTCCTCTGCAATAGTAAATATTCCTGTTATGGACTAGAGCTTAGCTACTAAGAAAGACAGAACACCTCTCTATTTCTCCTCATATGATATTCCGGGGGTTTTCTATTCCCCAAAGTATTATCAGTTTCTTTTCTTTCTGGACTCTGTTTGCTGCATTTAAGTGACTTCGCTAACAACTGGCCAGTGCCTGGAACATCACCAAAAATCTTCCAGTATCTGTTGGATACTTAGTTTGCTTCAGGATGACACCTCCCCACCCTACCCACAGATATTTCCGTGCACTGTTTGGATAGACACAGCCTCTGGGCCTTTGAGAAGTTTTCCCTAAACCTGTTGAGAAAGAGAGAGAGAATGAACCCTGCTCTGCTTGCTTACGTCTGTGAGTAGGGACTTCAGGAAGTTGGCCTTGTGCCGCAGTGGGTCGTGAACCAGACCATCGCAGAACGAGACGATCCCATGGGGGAAGTTGTGCTGTGCTAACCAGGCAACCACCCGTTGCTTCTGCATGTCAGGCCGGCCCGTGACGTAGATAATGAGGTAGCCAAGGTCTTGCCAGTGCCTAAGAAGGGGAAGGGAGAAAACAATTAATAAGAACAGGAGGGAGGGAGGATGTATGCAGCACATTACAGGCTGGGGATCTGGCAAGGGGGAGTGGGAAGGGAACCATTTGCCCGCTGCCGTAGTCCTGAACCATCTTGGCACATTCACGAGCCTATTTGTATTAGAAATGCTTCTGACGAGATGATTTCAGAGGAAAACTCTCCAAGTGTTGCCAATAGGTGCTTTGTTTGCACCTTCCCCCAACTTATAACCAACACAAGAAGCTGCCTTATGTTGAGTTAGGCCGGGAAACTCCCAGACCTAAATCATGATTTCAGAGAATGAACCTGGGAGCTTCTGCCTGCAAGGCCCTTCCCCCACCAAGCAGCGGCCGCTCCCTAAGTCCTGGGAAATAAGTCCCTTAGCACAAGAGAGAACATGCCCTTTCTTTTCTTTTCTTTTTTACTAACAACTGAGATGGAAGTGGAATCTTAGCTGTCCACAAATATAGAGAAGATTTTGCCAGGAGCCAGCCTGCTGAAGCTGCTATATGTGAAGCTAAGTGATCAATAGAAATTTCTGTAATATTTATTCCCTTGCACAGCACTTTGTAACAAATAAAGGAGAAATAAATGCTTGCTCTTCTATCCCCACAAATACCTTTTGTAAACATATTATCCTAGTCTTTCATTCTTAAATTGGATATATTTGCTAAATTCATTCAGGACATTTGTAACCTACTTTCCAATCTCATCTTTTCTCATTTTGTGTTCTCAGATCTTTTTGTATGTGCAACTAAAAGGACCAGGAAATAAATTTTGGAACCCCAAGAAACTTGGGTGGGGAAACCATCATCTCTAAGAGTCTCAGGCCACAGAAAGGGGGCCTTGGAACAGGGATGTGCTATGAAGAAGTTATGCCCCTGGAACAAAGAATGCTATTTTAACCCCCCCACTATTTTATTATTAACAGTGGGGAGACAGGAGTCCTAGATTTCAGAGTATTTGTGCCACGAAACAAAAGTAGCTCTTTAATATGTGGCAAAGGAGGAGAGAACCATCCAATATACGATAATTAGCCCACTAATGCCAGAATAGGGACGCAGGTGGCGCTGTGGGTAAAACCTCAGCGCCTAGACTTGCCGATCGTCAGGTCGGCGGTTCGAATCCCCACGGTGGGGTGCGCTCCCGTTGCTCGGTCCCAGCGCCTGCCAACCTAGCAGTTCGAAAGCACCCCCGGGTGCAAGTAGATAAATAGGGACCGCTTACTAGCGGGAAGGTAAACGGCGTTTCCGTGTGCTGCGCTGGCTCGTCAGATGCAGCTTGTCACGCTGGCCACGTGACCCGGAAGTGTCTGCAGACAGCGCTGGCCCCCGGCCTCTTAAGTGAGATGGGCGCACAACCCTAGAGTCGGACATGACTGGCCCGTACGGGCAGGGGTACCTTTACCTTTACCTTTAATGCCAGAATATTTATGTTACTGCTAACACAGTTTTGTGAATTGTCACTGTCTGGATTCCCACCCCCCTATTTTATGTACATATCAACCCCTCAGGACAAATACTTCATGACTCTAATGGACCCTGGCTCACAAAAGCATATGCTATAATTAAGGTTTCTCCCTGAAACCCTGAGGGTCAGCAACTTCCCTTTTAAAAATGAAAGGGGATATTTTCATAATTTTGCACTCCAAAGCACAACTGCAGACCCAAAGCATTTCCAAATCCTTCATACCGTACTACATCAACTGCTCCAGCTCTGACTTTGGGGTCACTGCCCATGATTGAAACACTGGCTGCAAAGGAACCGTCAATGCTGAAGACCACAAACTCAGTCCCCCTGGGCAGAACAGTGATGTAGCTGTCGGCATACGTGTGGTCGCCTCTAAAGGAAAAGGGAAAAGGGAGGTACTGAGTTAGTTAAGAGACTGATCAGGGAGCAAACATGTTTGGGCCAGTCCCTTGCCCTCAAACATTGTAGCTCCAAGTTCAAGTTACTTATAAAGGGATGCAGAAGCCAAACATCCTGCAGCAAAACTTACCTGACCACCATCTTGACAGGATACACGCCAATGCCCAGCCGCCTGTTTTCGGGGATAACGTAGGAAATCCTACCACTGCTGTTGGTGACCTCTGTGTCAAAGTAAGCCCATTCTCCTGATGGGGGTTGTGTCATGATATGGATATCCACCTATGGCACAAAGGAAATTGGGAGGAAGAAGTATGTGGAATCATGAACATGCGTAGCAAGTAACAATCTAGCAAATTATCTTGTTCTGATTTCAGGGTTTCAGGACATTCATTCTTTGTCTACTATCTTCTTTGTCTACTATCTATGGTCTTCAGCATGTCTGCACACAGTATTAAAAGTATCTTAGGTAGCAGGGCCAGGAATAACTTCCAGCGCCTGAGATCTTACGAGAGTCACTGCCAATCATAACAGACTATAATAAAAATAATAATTTGTTAAATTTATTAATTTATTATTAATTAATTATATTTATATACCACCCTTCATCCTAAAATGTCAGGGCGGTACACAGGGGGGAAAATGTATACCGCCCTATACCTGTAGATCTCAGGGCAGTTATAATGAGGGGGGTGGATCAATTGTATACCGAGGTTTAAGCTATGTCTCTTCCATTTTTGAAATGAAGACTATGAACTCCTTGGGGACATTTGACATTTATCTAACGCTTAGGTTACTTTGCAGAGCACCCTGAACACTGAGGGTGTTACTCTCTCCTCTAGCACTCTTATGATCCCTTCCAATATTAGCCTCAAGACTAATTTCAAACACCCTGAAGCAAGGCTGAGTGTGCGCCTTTGGTGAAAAAACAGGACGCCAATTATAACAAATAAATATATACATGCCACCATTCCTGCCAAGTACAATGCAGAAAAGGTGCTCATTTTATCCTACAATGAAGACAGGGCTTCTCAAACTGTGGTCTGTGGACCATTAGTGGTTCTCAGGTGGTTAGTGAAGAACACATACAATTTGAATTTATGGAATTTGAACTGTAATGCAAGCAAATACAATATAAGCAATAAAAGAAACAACACAAATGTGATTAAAAATCAAACAGCATCTAGCACAGCACACTGCAATTGCTATAAGAGACAGAAAAACAATGAGGTGGTCTGCCAAGAACCTCAACGATTTTAAAGTTGTCCGGGGGGGGGGGGGGATTGTTTGGAACCACTAAACATTTGACATTCCTAAACAATTTCTCCTAATAAAAAGAGAATATGAATATTGGATCCTGGCCTGAGTAAACATGGGAACTACAGAGAAGAAAAAGGATGACAGCAGCAATCCCTAATAACAATATTTGCTATGCGCACATCAGAGGCAAAAGCACCTTCTCTGTATCACTTGCAAAAGTGACCTTATATGAAGTCACAAATCAAGTTTCTGAGCAGACAGAAGCAGACCCAGTTAATTGATAGAGAGAGTATTACATAGCAGCACTATATAGTAACTTGGTGCCTTGTGGATGTCTTAGATTACAATTCTCACCAGTCCCAGCCAGCATGACCTCATTTGACAATAGACCTCTTGGATTCAGGTCATCTATAGTGTGTGTGTGTGTGTGTGTGTGTGTGTGTGTGTGTGCGTGTGTGTGTGTGATGATCAGGCTTCAGGTTCTGATTATGTTGAATAGCACCAAGCACACTTCAGTTTCAGTTGATCCAGATATTAAATCTAACTGCAAGTTGGGCATTTAAGATTTATACTCTGACCAAAAAGTTATTGTAGAAACATAAATGGAACATTTATTTTCTTCTTTGTTTTAAAGGGATCCGATTAGATCTGTAACAAACAATACCTTTTCTCCTGTGAGTGTGACCATGTCCAATGGGCCATACATAAACCTTCCAGTTAACATCTGGGGTCCGTCCTCATTGGCAATAGCATCATTTATTCGGTGATTGGCTGTGACGTTCTATAAAGAAAAGAAAAACAAGCTTGTTTTTTCCTGCTCTGGAGGTGAGGAGCCAAAGCAATGGATTCAAGTTACAAGAAAAGAGATTCTGACTAAACATCAGGAAGGACTTTCTGATGGCAAGAGCTGTTTTGACAGTGGAAAGGACTCCCTTAGAAGGTGCTGGACTCTCCTTCATTGGAGGCTTTTAAGCAGAGGTTGGGATGCCATCTGTCACTTTATTGAGATTCCTGACTTGCAGGGGTCTGGACTAGATTACCCTCAGGGTCCCTGCCAGCTCTACAATACTATGATTCAAAGCCTGTCCTTTCTGCAAGTTAGGTCCATCACCTACCAGCCTGAGGGTGCTGTGTCTTTACCACAGCATCACAATTATTTATTTATTTACTTATGTAGACCCACCAATGTGCATGGTGCAGAGAACAAATAGTTAAGGAAGACACTGTTCTAGAAGGCAGGGCATAAACATTTAAAATAACAACAATGACAAATATTTATTTGTAAAATGTTTATGTATTTACATATTTCATTTTAAAAAATCGAAGTGGTTTACAACAAGTGCACATTAAGCCATACAATAAAAAACACATAAAATGTTAAAATTGGACGCCAATCAGTTATTGGAAATATTGGAGTACAATATGTGGAATGCTTTGAGAAGCAAGACAGGCTGCAAATCACTCACCCATCAACGGGAGAAGAGAAGAAGAAACACAGAGGGGAAGAGCAGGATGGCGCCAATGTCCCTATTTCAAATCCTGCCTATGCATGAGTGGCTTGGGAGTGCATGAATGGCAACTGAAATTGTTAAGTGGCAGCCAAGGAGACCTCATTTCCACATATCTTATAGGACTTCTTATGCCTTTTACAGAGTTGGACCATTGGCTCATCTACCTCAGTACTGTTTATATGGACTAGGAGGTGCTCTTGAGGGTTTCAGACAGGAGTCTTCCTCACCTACACCTGGAGATGCAGAATTGAACCAGGAATCTTTTGGATGCAAAGTATGTGCTCTATCACTGAGGTACAAGCATATGGTTGATGGTTAAACTAGTCAGCAAGATGTATGTGGGGGTGTCAGACAAGGACTGGGGAGATCCAGGTTCAAGCGCCAGCTCAAGTCAAGAACCTCACTGGGTGTCCTTGCATCAGTTCCTAACTCTCAGCCTAACAGGGTTGTTGAGACTGAGGATTAAAAAGTGGAGGAAGAGGAACCATTTACAAATAAAACAAATAAAATTGTTTCATGCTCAGTAACAAGTTTCACAAGCGACTGTCTTTTTTTCATGGTGACACAATCAATGCCAGATGCAATTTGCTAGAAAGCCATGGAGCAATGACTTAGAGGGGGAAGGTGTTCCTCAATGAAGCCAGTGAATTAACTCGTGTTAATGAAACCCTTGGACTGGCCAAATGGAGTGCATATTGCTTTCAATATAGAATAAAATTAAATTTTTCAAAAACAACAGAAGACTGTCCTTACCCTTAGCTTCACATGGGTCCTCTTGCGAAGCCACTTCTCCCTGGGCTTAGAAGGAGTAAAGACAGAGACCTCCTTCCCATCCAGCTCCAGGATGCTGGCGTTCTCGTGCCTCATCACCTGAGGAAAGCATAGCCTGATCAGGGATTTCCACAAAGTGCAAGAATCTACTACACTCTGTTTGCCAAGTGGAAGATGCCTAGCTCTGGTGGCAGCAGAAGTCACTGGAGCAGCTGAAATCACTGGACAATTCTGTTATCACCAGATGGGCTCTCCAATATCCAGTTCTTGCCCTATGCCTAGCCAACCCTGCAAACTTGTTGTAGCCTGTTTTTGTGTAAGTTGCAGCCTGTTTGCACCCATATCTGTTTCTGAATGTCCTTTGTTCCATTACTGGGGGCCAGGTGCTTTGCACATGTTGCACAACTGAGTGGCACTAGCTGGGGTTCTGCACTTATTTAAAAGGAAAGGTTTGGTTTTTTGTACTCCTACGTTTTCCCTCTGCCATTTTTATTTTTAAAGAACTGGTAGTTATTCTGGATTAATTAAAACAGAGCCATGGGGTGAGTGTGAGCAGATGGTATTTAAAACAATTAAGAGATGGGCAGAATTGAAGTGGTCAGGAGAACACTTTCAATTGCGGCTGGAGTTTCCATTTGCGTATTGAAAGTGCTAAATGAATTATTAATGGCAACAAGCAACACTCTGAAGTGTCTTTGATGTCACTGTGCTGATATAATTAACATTACATTTTAGCACATCTGGTGACAATTGGTCAGTTGAAAGACCAATTATTTTTTAGACTTGTCCAATGTCCAATCCTGATTACTTTCAGCTGTCACAACCGTCACTCTGTTCTACACCAGAAACACCAACACAATCACAGTTTTTGCCTGACGCAGGCACTACCTATCAGCTCCACAGATATGGCCACTCTTGGAAGCTGCTGCTGCTGGGGACCTCATCTGCTGGAGAAAGTCTGTTTGGCTCTTCCTGTTCTATTTAGCAGGGGATGGCACCCCAGTGGTGGCTTATGCCCTCAACTATGGTCATTCACAGCAGCTTCCAAAACTTCCTTCCATTCGTAATGCTTCTTGCAAATTGAATGCTGGATCAGGTCTCTGAATCTTAATGTCTCTCCACTTGTTTTAGGGAGTGGATATACTTAAAAAAATATTTTAAAACAAAGTATGTATACTTTTATGCCTATCCTTCTGTTAAAAATGTATGTAAGTTTATGAACATTAAAAAAACAGTTTGACAACTGCTTTAGGGATAGAGGAAAGCATGCTGGTGACATCACACGTGCTAGCCTATAAGAACCCATCGTACTCAGCTTTTCCCTGATTTGCTGAAACACTTGCAAAACTCACCCATCCCTTTCTTGCAGCTCACTCCAGGATGAGAAGTATGTATGTGTGTTTCTAGTACAGTGAAGTTGTGTGCAGCCATGTCTGCCACATTCTGCAAATGTTTTATTCCTATAGCAGGAAAAGCTTTCTCCTAAATGTCATCATTTGGTCTGCTGTCCTCGTGCTAAAGCTGTGTGCTCATTCTGATGGCATCCCAACCCTTTTCTCCCTGCTCTGGGGAAATCTTTTCTTCAGAAATGCATTATTATCACACATTGCCTCCAGATCCACTGACCTCTTGACTCAGCCCTGCAGCACCAGACACTTCCTGGGATGACATAAGATTCCAGCAGATTCAGCAATCTAACTAAGGCAACTCTGGCTCCAGGATTCTGGGAGGAAAGTGTTTCAGAGACCAATCTATCCTCTTGCCCCTTTTCCTGATTCTATCATATTGAGGATGGCAAGCGCCTAGAAAACTCCATGAACAGTGCAATCCTATACAAGGCTTTTTCTGAAACAAGGCCTGCTGAATTCAGGGGGACTTACTCCTAGCCGAATGCATATAGGATTGCAGCTTAAAAGTAATGAATTTCATGAACTGGCCTAAACTATGCAAAACATTCATGCATTTAAACTGCACGCTTTATTTTAGTTAGCCAATCTTAGAGGTTTTGCTTTTACAGAATTTTTGTTCCAGTTATTTTTTGTTATGATACTGAAAAGTTGAAACTAACAGAAAGTTTGTGAGGGGAGGGGTATGCAGGCAAGAAGGCTAGAAGATGTCACATCACACACATGCTCACAAATACTTAAGTCAAAGCCCCCACAGTCCCCCCCCCGCTACCATCATGAGCACTAGAAATATGAACACTTTGCCAAGGGTATCATAAGCTACATTTATTAAGAGGGAGAGTCATTCATTATATTTGGAGCTTTGCATCAGATATTTTCAGCTTGCAAAAATGCAAAGCAAAATTGATGATAAATTAGCTGTGTCCAGTTTCCTTGAATAACTGTGAGTTCCCTCTGCAATTTAATACTAACAGAGGACTGAGGGTGTGTTCACATTAGAACGCAGTGAAATCGTTTCACCGCTCTATCCCTCTGGCTGCTCACATCAGCAGGGTTTCATGAGTGTCAAATTAATTTCTGTTTGTGTACACAACAGAGGATGTTGACAGGGAGGGGATGCATTTACCCTACGGCTTGGCTAGAGATGGACTAGGAACTTAAGGGCTCCAAACTGGTGCGAAGCAGGCTTGAGAAACAGTACATCAAAGAGTTTTGGATAATGTTGTGTGAACATGGATTAAAGACCGGGGCTGGAAGCACAGTGAGTGCACAGTAAATGGGAGTATGAGCACAGTCCCTGTGTATGCTGGAGATTTGCAAACCAAATAGGACTGACCTGCCTGAGGAGGAAGGAAACCACATCTGTTGACTCCCAGTAGCTTGCATGGAAAAGGTGCGGTAAGGCCACCGTAGGGAAGGCGGTGAGGGCATCGGGGCAATAGAGAGCATAGTCTATTCTTTTCGTTCCCCACCATTTGGCAGCAACTGGGAACAAAACAAAAGGAGACAAAGCCCCAACATTTGAATTATTCCTTTCATGGAAAAGAAAAGTAAAAAATAATTCAAGTCTACATTTCAGGCCCATTGCTTTCCCAACTAAAATGTCAGAAAACTCTCTTTCTCTGGGTGTAACAACTTTGGCCCCATCTCCACTATACAACTAAAGCAGTGTCACACTGCTTCACACAGTCATCGCTTCCCCTAAAGAACCCTGGGAAGTGTAATTTGGTTTAATAATTCATTCCTCTTCCCAGGGAATCCTGGGAATTGTAGCTCTGTGAAGGGAGTCATCTTCTTCTTTGGTGATCACTCGTAGCCAAGAAGATTGTCTTCCATGAACACAGTCTTAACAGTGAGTACGTGACTGTGGAGGACAATTCTGGATCCACACATCCTTCCACAGTGGGGACACAGGTTTCCAAGCAGGAGTTGATCACAGTGAGGGTTTGCCAAACGTGCCTTCCTCTTTCTCCTTTTTGCCCTGAGTTCAAGCTTCTTCAAAGTCATGACACCTTTGGTAAAGGCTGGTAAAGGCTGTTCTCCAATTGGAGCACTTGCAGGCCAGTGTTTCCCAGTTATCAGTGCTTATGTTACATTATTTTAGGTTTGCCCTGAGAGTGTCTTTAAACCTATTTTGTTATTCACTGGTATTTCGCTTTCAATTCTTGAGTTGGGAATAGAGTGGTTGCTTTGGAAGACGGTAATCAGGCATCCAAACAACATGACCAGTCCAAAGAAGTTGATGCTGAAGAATCAACTGGTGATCTTTGCTTTTTGCAGTACACTGGCATTAGTTCACCTGTATTCCCGAGGAGAGTCGGTTGATGGAATTTTTCAAAGATCTGGAAATGGTGTTTATAAGTGGTCCATGTTTCACAAGTGTACAGTAATGTTGGTAGTACAATAGCTTTGTAAAATGAGTATTTTGGTTTCCCTGCGCACTCAAACACTCTGCGCTTCAATCGGGAGAAAGCTGCACTTGCAGAGCTCAGGCGATGCTGGATCTCGGCATCAATGCTGGCCCTTGTGGAAAGGTAACGGCCCAGGTAGGAAAAGTAATTGACACTTTCCAATGTTACACCATTAAGTTGGATTTGTGGCGCTGCAGAGAGGCTGTTTTGTGCTTGTTGGTGCAGCACTTTGGTTTTTTCGATACTGAGTGATAGACCAAGATTTTCATAAGCTTCTGTGAAGATATTTAGGATGGTTTGGATATCATCCTTTGAGTGTGCACACATGACGTTGATCCCACTGTGAATGGTACATTTTGAGAGCCATTGTTATCTGCGATTGTTGCCGTCATGTTATCATGGAGGAGCCGAAGGATGTTCAAAAATTTATCTGGGCAGCCGATTTTCAGGACAGTCCACAGGGCAGTACAGTGTTGAAGGCCTTATTCAGGTCAATAAACGCCATATACTGGGGTTGATTTTGCTCTCTGCGTTTTTCTTGAAGCTCTCCTGACAACTCTCGGCAACCATAACAAACTCCACTTCTCGGGATTCATATCAGGTTTCTTATCAGTTAAATTGCCATGGCATCTTCCAAAAAACCTTGAAGCAGGGGTGGGGGACTGCGGTGTTCCTCTGAGGATACCTCAAGAGGATTCTTCACTGGTATTCTTCACTATGCATTTGCTTCAAAAAAATCTGCCTCTCTCCCAAGAAACCCTGGAAACTCAAACTGCTGTGAAGGGCAGGGTGGTGCTGGTGTCAGGCTCAATCAATCCTCCTGTCAGCCACATTCAGAGGGAAGTGCTGATCTTTATGTAATCAAACTGGGACCATTCACATACCAGAGGAAGGTATCAACATTATCAGGGGAACCCTGATGTTGCAGAAGAGGAAACTCTTGGGGCGAGCCCCTACTTCCAACATGCCAGTGAGGATGAACATAGCCAGTGCTGCCTATGGGGTGGAGAACTGTAAAGAAAGGAGAAAATTGGGGGGGGGGGGGGAGGAGACAACGTATCCTAGGAGGCTGCTGGCTGGCACTCTGAACAGGAGCACTCCATGCTGCAGCATTTGGTTGCAGATCTCACTTGTAGCACAGCATTCTCAGTCTTGTCAGCACAAGTGCGATTCCTAGGATTCTTTGTGGGAAGCCGTGGCAGTTAAACAAGTATGAAACTACTATAGATTTGTAGCGTGGCCATGTCCCACAGTAAGAGAGGAGAAATTAATTGGTGATTCTTAGAAGTTTCAGAACATTTTATGCTTCCCCCAAACTGGTGCCCTTCAGATGTTTTGGCCTACAACTTCCCATCAGCCTCAGCCAGCACAGAGAGCCTGTCATGGCCTCTGGAACAGAGGTAGCTGGGTTCAAACCACATATTAAACTGGGCACCAAAGTTCTTTAGGAACAAAAGCGGAAATTGTACTTCAGTCTGTCACTTACCTGTCTTATCATTACAGCTATGTGTCAGGAGACCACCACTGAGGCACCTTAGCACCTGCAAACTTATGCAAATTTCTGGGTGTCTAATTTTTAAAACACACATTCCCTTACAAATTTCTAAATCAACAACAGCATCTCAAAAGCTGCTGAGTGTCAAAAGAAAAGGCAGGAAGTGTATTGTTGAGAAAGGATGCCCCTCATCTCACCAATTCCCACAGCAGATCCTCTCTAGACTCCTTGCTATAGAATTTCAGTGCAAAGGCAAGAGGAGGAAACCAAACATTGTCCTGTTAGGAGAACTGCCATTTAGTTGCATGGAGGTCATAAATTCCCATTCTGACAGCATAGCTTCAATTGTCCTGGTGGATTTCTCAAATTTATTTATTTGCCTTACCACAGATGTCTATCATAGAACAGATTGTGTTGTACCAGACCAGCAAGAAAACCAAAACTTCTGGAAAATCCTGCCAAAAAAGACTTCTTTCCCCCCACATTCTGACATAAGAGAGGAGTAGTTATCAAAACAAACTTGCAATTATTTCTACTCCCAAGCCAAAGCCATCTCATAAGTGGAGGTGTTCCAGCTTTCTATTTGCAGTTCAAAGCTGTGATTTTGGGATCCTCCGAACAGGACAGTCAATAATAGGTGCTTCCTCCTAAGAAACAGCAGCAACAGTACTGCAAGTGCTATAGAGGATTTTAAAATTAACCAGAGTGTGCACTACAGAGGCAGGTGGCTGTTAGAGGCAAGAAAGTTAGTCATCAAAGCAGAGTGGAAGCAAGTGTTGTTTAAACTATGCCAAGATGGTGAAGGAGTCCCATGAAAAGCAGACCCATTTGGCTCTGGAGAGAGCAACAGAGGAGGTTAGTTAGTGATGCATCTTGCTCCCCTTGTCTCTCTCCAGAATACCTTTGTCGATGTCCAGGTCCGGGATATGTAGAATGGCATCCACTTCCCAATGGGAGGAGCTCCCAACCCTTCTTCCTAAGGGGTTCTGGGAAATTTCAGGTTTAGGTGCCCTATGCCTTTTGGGCGAGGGTTGGGTGGGGGCCTTGTGTGGGAGGGCAAGCAGGGCTAGAAGGCTAAACCCCCTGGAATGGGTGAGATGGTGTTTGTTTTCTAAAAGGAACATTTAAAACGATAGGGGGAAAGACAAAACAAAAACAAAACACACGCCTGTTAAAACACAAGTCATGCAAAGAATGCAACTTAATTTTTGTCCTTTGATAGTGTGATGGGGCTATGAAGGAAAAGCACCGGCTGTTTAAGAAACAGCTGTAATCCCCTCCCCTACAGACACCATACACATCAAGGGGCAAAGTGTGTGGAAGAGGGCAGTGGAACCTCTAGCTCTGCTCCCAGCAACCTGTGGTTCTTCCTGGCACCATCATCCACACCAATGATCTAAGCATCCAGGCAACTTCCTATGTCATTTCCTCCCCCAACTGCCCCCAACCCCCGCCGTTGCCTCAAATGCTGCTTGCAGGTAGGATGGAGAAGTTTACGGACAGACTGTTTTCTTTCCTTAAAAAAGTAAAAGCGTTTTAGTCATAACCATAAGAAATATTTAACTCTGCAACTAATTAATTCAAACCCATAGTATTATCAACTAAGGTGTCTTTAATGAGGTGATAACCTAAGAAAGTACTACATGTGTACCTTTGTGAGTGTGTGTGTGTGCGCGCGCGCGTTTGTATATATGTGTTTCAGATATGGAACAGCTCCAACATCTGATCCGTGAGATGCAAAGAGCTGGTGTAGAAATAATGGCTAGAGAAACCTGAGCTATGAATCAGCAAGCCCCTGGTTTGACTCTTGCCTGTGTCCGGATGACGTGGCCTTAGGCAAGACACTCTAGCTCACTCCCAATCTCTCCATTTGCAATATGGAGGAGAACAACACTGACTTACCTTACAGGGATGGTGTGAGGATTTCAATCAGATGATGCATGCGCAGCACTTTGAATAAATAAGTATTAAAAGAACTGAAGGAGCACTGAAGTGAAACCAGATTGCAGCCCAGACCCTCCTTCTTTTCAGATGAGAATGCTTGTTCTTTTAGGCCTGCAGTTTGGAGACCCCAGAATCTCAATGACAAGAATGAAGCAGGACAGGACATCGGTCAATCCTTCAAGCTGCTCAGAGACCTGGTGTGGGGGAGCTAGTGGGAAAGGACGACATTTCCAGGGGGGAGGAACACTTACTGTTGGCTATGTTGGAAGCAGTGTAACTGTCTGCCATTCCCGAGACCTGGCTGGCAATGCTGGCCTCGCTGGCTCTCCGGAAGCCCCTGAATTGGGGGGCTGAAATGGGAGCCGAAGGGGATGCACTTTCCATGAAGATGCCACCATGAGACTGAACAACATCCGCTACGGAGACGAAACAGGGAAATCAAAAATATTAGACCAAATGGACATAGAGCATGGTGAGATGAACAGGGTGCAAAAATCAAATAAAATCAAGCAAAACATGCACAACACACAAAGAAAAGGCAGAAAACACCGCAACTGATGTCAAATGAAATCATTCAAAGTTGGTTAGATGGAATAAGCATTTCAACAGCACCCAGATTGGAAAATGAAACCAACACCAGCACAAATAAGCATTTAAAAAAGGTCCAGCAGCTCTGTAGTCGTAAACAAAATAATTGCCTTGGAAGAAAACAGAAATATGTGACTGAAAGAACCTGAGTTGCCTATGGGATGGGCTCACACCAGTATACACCGCTTGCACAGAGCAATGTATATACAAACTGTGTTTCTGGGAAATCGGGGCAGAGGGTCTTTCAGAAGCTCCCCAGGGATTCTTCCATTCAAACATCATTAATGGCAGACAAGTGTTCGTGAAATACATTTTGCCCATCATTACTCATCAGCTGCATTTGAGTTTTGGGTGCAAATTATAACTAGAATGCATTCGAAGTTCGTACATGGCACTCCCAAGAACATGTGAATTGAGACTACACTCTAGAATAGGGATAGCCAATGAGATGTCCTCTAGATGTTGTTGGGCTACAATTACCAGCAGCTCCAGCAGCCAGCAAGGCCAGTGATCAGGGAGGACAGGAGCTGAAACCCAGCAACATCTGGAGGGTACCATGTGGGCTACCCCCGCCCCATAATATATCCTAGAAACATTTGCAATGCAGCTGAGTTGCTCAGCCATTGTAGAAAGGATTCCTTCCATGCAGAAAGCATGAAGTGGTGTGGTATTGGCTGGGAAATATTTATATGTTTAGACAATTTATATACTGCTTAATTAAAACACAATACTCAAGAAATTATCCAGAGATATAATCAGTTAAAAGCCAATCACAAAATCAGAAATGACTTAAAATTTTATTTAATTTATCTAACAGAATTTATATAGTGCTTGGTTGTAGGAAGACCTCTAAGCAGTTTAGGAAAATGTAAAATAAACTTTGAAATTATCAATAAATATATTTAAAAACTGGTATACAAAATTATTTAAAAGATTATTAAAATCAACGTTAGCTAAAATGAAATGAAATATATGTAACTCCTACATGTCTGGACAGGCTCTGAAAAGAATATAGTGAAGGTACCTGCCTGATGGCAAGCTTCCTAGCTGATAGTTACCTGGGTCTTCTCCCCCCCCCTTTAAGATAGGGGCAACATTTGCTTCTACCCCAAGGACCCCACTTGTTCTCCAAAAATTCTCAAGAATTATAGACAGAAGCTCTGAGATTACATCAGGCACTGGAGATTTCAATCCCATTAAACCAGCCAGGTGTTCCATTACCACCTCTTTTCCTATATTGGGCTGCAGCTCTCTCTTTGCATCATTTATTCTTTTATCCCCAGGATAGGCACTGCTTTCCCTTTCAGTGGATGTTCAGCAGTTCTGCCTTCTCTGTCACCCACCTCTGTCTTCTCCATCTTCTCAATTTCTCCACCTACTTGCTTGTTTTTCCTCTTGCTTTGAACATAGCTGAAGAAACCTTTTCTATTATTTTTAACCTAACTATCTTGCAAGTCTGAGTTCATTCTGAGCTTTGGCCCACCTGACCGTGCATCTGCTGGCTACTTCTGTATACTCTTCCTTCACGATTTCTCCTTTCTTCCATTTCTTACACATCACCTTCTTAAAATCTCAGCTCATCTGTAAGCTCCTTATGTAGCCACACTGGTTTCTTTAGGTGCCTCCCACTTTTCTTTCTTGTTGGAATTGACTGCCTTTGTGCCTTCAGTATTTCACTGTCAAAAAACTCCTATCCATCTTGGACTTTCTTCACTTTGAGTATTTCTTACCGTAGGACTTCATACAACAGTTCCTCAAGCTTTTTGAAACCAGCCTTCTTAAAGTCCAGAGTGCATGTCTGACTACACTCAGCTTTCCCTTCCCTCTGTATAATGAAACCCAAGAGGACATGATCACTTCCTCCCAAAGTTCCCAGTGCATCCACTTCATCAATCAGTTCCTCCCTGTTGGTGAGGACCAGGTCCAAGATGAGATGATCCCCTTGTTGCTTCCAGCAGATATGGGGATAGTTGAGGTCTCCTATATCCCTCCTTTTTGACTGTTTGGTAATCTGCTCTAGGAAGGCATAATCCAAGTCCTCAGTATGGCTTGAAGGTCTGTAGCAGACACCCACAGCAAGGTCACTGTTGTTTCCCTCTCTTATATATTTTACCCATCTATTCTTCCTTCCAAGCCCCAGGTCATGGAACTCTTCCCAACTGTATACATCCTTTGCATATAATGCTGCTACTCAGTGCTTTTTCCCCTAAAAAAATGTTCAGGGGTACTCTCATTTTGACTCAAGAAAACACCATTTTATAGTTCAAATCAGGGAAAATAAATACAGTAAAAGGACAAAAGTACAAAGATTCACAAAATGTTTAGGGGTATGCGTCCCCCCAGAAAAAAAGGACTGCTGCTACTCCTCCTTTCTTTTGAGCAGGTTTTACCTCTCAATTTCTATATTCCAGTCACAAGTCACATCCCACCAGTTTTCAGTAATGCCTATTAGGTCATATTTGTCATCCTGTATTAAGAAATTAAGTTCTTCTTGCTTGTTCCCCACACTTTGCACATTTGTGTAGAGACATCACAGGTGTCTGAGGTGAGGGCATGGAATCGATTTTATAGCTCCAGAGAAACAGCATGGCTCCTGACAGTCCGGCTTTTTATGTCATGATTCTCCAGCCCTCTGTCCCCAGTACTGGGCGATCTTCCTCATTCCTGCATCTCTTTTCCAGGACGGTCCACTCTGGTACATCAAAACTTCTTTTTTTTTTTTATAGTTGATATTTATTGAATTTTCAAAAAATAACAACAAAAATTTCCAAAAAAAAAAAATTTAAGGATACAAAAAACAAAATTAGTACATAAACAAAAAAGAAAAGAAAACCCAGCCGCAAAGAGAAAAAAAAAAAAGAGAAACAGAAAAACAAAAATATAAAGTCCTTTACAATCTCTATTGACTTCCTTTCTAGACTTCCTCCTCCTCCCCTCTTTTGTTTCTTAATTTTTAATTTTTACAGCAAATCCTTTCTGTTTTTTCATAACAATCTGTCATTACGTTTCCTTATTCTATTTTCCCTCTTGTCATATAAAAACTTTAAAACTCATAGCTTATATTCAATATTTACCAAATTCTTGCATCATTACCTTTTTACGAATCATTTACCAATCCTTACTTAAGCCATGTAGTTACATTCAACATCCTTCAAACATTTGTAAGCATTCCCAATATTAAAAAAGAAAAAAGAAAAAATAATAAGTCAAATTCAGTCCAGTCAGCTTCCAACCTCCCCTCCCCTGGACCCGGGATTGTCAGTCCTTTTAACCTCGGTAATCCGGCTCCTTAACCTGGTTGTCTCGTATCCGAGGCCCTCAAGTCTCTTTCTTGCCCCTTTCGCCACTCTTGTTGATGATTCCTTTCCAGTCGTGGATGCTCCAGCAAGAAAATGCTTTTGACCCTTTGCAGGAAGTCCATCCCAAACCCATTGCCCAAGCCAGACAGCAAATAATACCACTTCAAATTTCCACAAAGCTTGGAGACTTCGGCTACTCCAATCCTCTGACAGCCCATCACCAGACTCGGAAGGTCCAAATAACCATATGGAGTGGGGTCGATCCATCCCCCCATTTCCAAATCTGACCACATTTCATCTTTCCGAATCTGGTTTGTCCCAAGTTCATTTATCAAGTTCAAAGGCTGATCTTGCCCGTCCAAAGGTCCCTCCATCTCTGAAGCCTCCGTCACTACAGCAGGTTCATATGCTTGTATAGCCTTTAACTGAATTTCATTTGTTTGCTGCTGTGCTCTGGTAACTTCCATCATCAAGGTCGTCTCCTGACGCATCTGGTCCAGCTGGGCACTTAGTTTTGAAAAACCTTCCAGGAACAATTGTTCAAGCCTTTGTACTAGCATTGTCCTTCAAGGTCAAAGAAAATTCTTTCCCACAAGAATAGTCCAATAGTCCTTCTCTTTTAATCTCTCTGCGTTGCAATTTCACTAAATTCCACTAGATGGATTTTTTTTTTTTAAAGGAATAAAAGCAACAGCAACAATCTTTCTTTTTCCAGAAACACTTTATCCAAAATTCCCCCTTCCAAATTCAAGAGGCAACAGTAGAATCAAAATGTTACCCTTCTTTTAACTAACTGTCGAGCTGGATACACTTCAGAACGTCAATTCTGACAGCCCGCTCCTGGTTCAGGGCGGTGGAAAATTGCTTTATTTTAAACTCACTTCCGCAGGATTGAAAAGTCCAAATACAACCCCTTTTTCTCCTGCAATCAAAGGGGGTTCTAGAAATCTTAGATGTTGAATTCTAGTTCACTTAGAATTTAATTTTCAGGCTTTAGTATATTTTGTCTTTGCTTTCTTCACATAACAAAAGAACGGAAGGCGACTTCCTGTTTAGACCTTCCCATTCCGAGTCCCAATTAAGTTCAATTTCAAGTCCAATATTATTTGTTTATTCACCAGTCTTAAAAGTGGTTCAACTCTTCCAAGATCAGGTACTCACGGATAGATGTTTTAGATGCCAAATTGTCCAGGAAAAGGCAGCGCTCTCCGATAACGGCAGTGCGGCTTTGCTGCACGGAGGAAGCAGACGACTCACAGCACCACGCACCTCCCACTCCGGAGCCCGTTACCGGGCTCCTGTACAAGGGGAGAGAGCGCTCTCGGTGCCCGCCGAGTCCCACGTCCACAGGCTTCTTCCGCCTGTGGTTTTTGCGGGTCCCCGCTGCGCCGTAGCGGCAGGACCCAAGCCTCCGTGCAGCGGGTTCCCTTCAGTCCGAAGGGAATTCCGCCATTTTCCGGAGGCGCCACCCCGGAAGTCCTCCATCAAAACTTCTGACCCCAAGTTAGTAAGTTAACACAGGTAAGAAAGGCTGTGTAATTCAAAAACACAATGGCAAAGAAACCAAACTCTTGCAGCTAATGGTATATGACCTGGCCCACAAATCCATAGAGGGAAGATGTAGACATAAAAATCCAAACCCATAAGAAATTGTTCCCCCTCCTACCACTAGATGGCACTGTGTGAATCTGATAGAGCCAATACCAGCTGCTGGTAACCACAGGTGGGCAGAATGCTGCTGTTCGGTTTGCAGGCTTCCCACAAGCATCTGGTTGGCCACTGTGAGAACAGGATGCTGGAATAGATGGGCGTTCAGCAGCTTTGCCTTATGCTCTTAAATACAAACAGTGTTCGTAGAGCTAGGGTGAAAAGGGCATGGGAGACTGTCTTGCAGGGGGAGGACTGTGTAGTTCAGGGGTAGAATAATCTGTTTTGGCTGCAGAGGGTCCCAGTTCAATCCCTAGTATCTCCAGGTAGGCCTGGGAATGATCCCTGCCTGAAATCCTGGCAAACTGCTTCCAGTCAATGTGGAAAAATCTGAGCTGGAGGACCAATGGTCTGACCTAGTATACAGCAGCTTCCTATGTTCCTGAGTCTTAGCTTAAGAGAAGAACCAGACTGCTGCATTCTCCATCTCCATCTCACACATTCTCAGTCTTGGGCCTATTCTGCAGTGGCTCCCTCTTGGCCAGCTGCCATTATTATATATATTTAGGCGGCAGGCAAAAACCTTCCTTGGTAACCACACTTTTGGCCTATAACCATCTGTGGCTTTTAGAAGTGGGAAGGATGTTTTTATTTTTTTATTTTCCTAAAATTTATACACCCCTTGGCAACAAAAAAACCCCCACACCCCTCAAAGTTGTTTACAAAAGATAAAATAGCAAAATCAAGAAAAGTTTACAATCTTACTTTAAAACATACAAAAATTAAAATACTAAAACAGATTAAGATTACCTCAACTTTCTAAGCATCTGGGTAGGCTTGTCTAAACAGGAATGTTTTTAACAGGCACTGAAATTTGCAATGACATCACAGTATGCATAATCTTTCAGTGTTTATTTCTAAATTGATATACTGCCCTTCAGTACACAAACAGACGAGTTCCGTGCTGTTTTGGAAGTCAATAAAGATTTTAAAACCATATAAACTCTATAAAAACAAAAGCAGTCAGTAGAAACAGCAGATAAAATGGTACTAATTTAAAATCCCATCAGATGATAAATTATTAGATGTTATTGGTCAACGACCACCATGCATCCTCTGTAAGCATCAGGTCTTAGTTGGAGGTCTTTACCTTGCTTCCTAAAAGCTGTGATTTGCACAGTTTTGAAAATAAGTATGAAGAAGGAACGATCTACTCCAATTATTTTCACAAGTCAACCGCGATCTTGCAAACACCCCTTTGATGCAAAATTTGAAAAGAAATGCAGCCAGGCAGAAAATCAGCAACGAAAGGAAACTCGATTTTGGAAGCAGAAGCCATTAGAGGCACCAAGGTCTTGAAAGCTTTCCCACATAAACGTTGAATCCTGTACATGATTGGTGTCTAAACTTAATGCTGAGCATATTTGGAAACTGAGCATATTTCAGGACATGAAAGAAGTTCCTACAAAGGGAGCTCCAGTGAGGATGCAGGGAACTTCCTTCTGCTTTTAGACTTCCACAGGAGCAGGAGCTGCCTAGGGAGGGACAAATCTGCCAATTTCAATCTCTCTTTCTTATTTTCCACTTTTAAGTTGAGTTCCCCACATTTCCACAGTGGTTTCTGATTTTTAAAAAGTCTTCACGCAAATTAGTCTGCATTTTAGTATGAATTTCTTCTGATATATGCATTTTTGCAAGGCAATTTCTCCTAAAACAATGCGTTTTGTATGCTATTTTCACAAATATATGCACATTTTGTTCCTATTTTATCCTAGCTATATTCATTTTTGCACGCATTGCTTGGCAGAGGAACTCCACACCTCGGCCCCCTAGAGTAGATACATATCGCATAAGCAAGCAGTGCAATTTTACAGGGATTTTAATAGCACAGGAGAGGTGTGGGGGAAGTGGATATTGCCAGCCCCTTCCTGTGCTATAAAAGGGATGCTGGATGACCACCACCAGAGAGCCCTTCAGGGAGTTTAAACTTCTACGGAACACAAAGCATGCACTTCATATCCTAAACAGCAGGGGGAACAAGTGGAATCCAATGCCAGGTGGATAAAATTTGTATATGCTAATTTATATATACAGATGCAAATTCAGAAATAGTGACTAAAGTACCGCTGCATCCTAGTAGAGAAGACAGTGCTGCTATTTTTCTGATGGGCAACTTCAAGGTTCCCTCTGCTGCTCTCCCTTCTTAGGGCTCTTTATCTTTGAGCTGGATTGGGCAGGCAAGCCCTTCAAATAGAGAACTGTCCTGTGTAAAGTAGGGCAGATGGCCACCCTAATCAGAAACATTTAACGCAAAGTCACGAATTCTCAGTTCCTAGACCTAGCAGTGGGAATGAACTAGGAGTGCAGAGAGGAATCTCTTCCTTCCGCTAGCACTGCAGGCTGGATAATGAGTCAGCTAAATGCTGAGTCACTGGGATTTTCACCTTCTCCTTTTTTGCTGTTGTAGCATCACACGACCTCCCTTGCCTTGGTTCCTCCTGCCCAGATAGAAAATGTCTCATCACTGTGAACATCAATCTGCAACTTTGCACCTAACCACACGCAAACCCCTCCGAAGTGGACTGAGCGGCAGCATGAAAAACTGCAAGCCTATACATTTGTGTTGAGCACCTTGGACGAGCTTGTCTGCGTGAGCTAGGCTGAATGCAAGCAAAGGATATTTTAAAACTCCCCAAGCAGAGGTGGAGGTGTGAATTGGTTCTTCTCGGCTCAGCGGGCATCACCTTGCGCACAGTGTGTACCTCCACCCCTGCAGAATCAGGCATGCGTGGCCAAGGGGAGGAAAGAGGGTTGCTTTGCTTGCTTGTCACTTATCAGAAAGGGAGGTATACCAAACAGATGATGTAGTGCCTATGCACTAATGCTAAAGGTGCTGGAGGTGAACTTTTGAGCAACACAGAGTTCTTCTTCAGGTACCAGTGTCCAAAATAAAAAATTAAAAAGGGGCAGGGAATATTACTCCCAATTTTAAACATAAAATTGCTACCTGTTTTTGTATTTGCTTGTTTCCCATTTCTGCTGTGTGCACTATATCTGAAAAATTCTGTGTAACTCCAACATTCTGTACAGGTAGTTGGTCCTCTGAAAGAATACTGTCCCTGCCTCTGCCAATTTTGTCCTGGGGGAATCAACCTGGCCACTAAGGCAGTAGGGAAAGCTTTCATGATCCTTGGGGGCGGGGAACCAGCTGTTTATCAAGCATCACCCACAATCCCAAGAATATATGTCACAAGACAGTATGGGGAGGGAGAAGGGCACGTTACACACACTCAGCAAATCCAGAATTTTTACTGGAAATATCTTGCCAATTCAGGATGGGAACAGGGATACTGGTTTCCATGAAGCTGTCGTGGTTCTGGAGAGCAACCAGTGGGCTGCTTTCTACGAGGAGGACAGGGTTGCTCTGGACTGTTTCAACTAGAAGCAGATGAGGAAGAAAACAAATAGGGGCAAAAAAACAACAACAAACCACAGAAAGTGTAACAAGAGACCTCACAATTGATGTCAACAACAGCTCAGGACCTTGCCTAAAGGAATTCAGACACAGGAAAGAAAACCAAGGGCTCTAAGGTAGATGTGATGGTGGTCAGGTCTGAACAGGTGTTAAGAGGGTGGGGTGCTAGTGGCTTACAGCAGAGAATCAGGAAGGGGTGCTGAACCACTTCTCCCTGCCAGAAATAAGAGATTTCAGCACCTTTTCACACCTACTTCACCCAGGGCTTGCTCACATTTCTGCTTGTCCTGTGCCTAGAAAGCACACTTCCAAGCAGTTTTCTGCTTGATCCACTTTTCTAGGCATGGGTCCGAGCGGTTTCCCCCTTGTCCTGCTCCATTCCCAGGGAAACCTGCTCTTTAGCTCTAAACTGGAATAAATGGCAGCCCATGGAAAACCTGATTGCTGTTTGCTTCAATTGAGCACTAAAGAGCAGTTTTCCCTGGGGAAAAGAGCAGGACAAGAGGAAGTATGAATAAGCAGACAAAGCAAAGTCATTTGCAGATAAAATCGCTCAAATTTGGAAGGAGGCAGACTTCACAGTGGGGCAGGGCTGGGGTGGGAGGGTGCCAGCACTCTGTCTAGTCACGTTCATGGGATCAATTTCAACCTGGCCAGGCTGCTTGAATGAGTCTTATTGACCCTTGCCCATCCTGGCCCACAAAAGCGAGCCAGAAAGGGCTGGGCAATGGGCTCTGTGGAGTAGTAGAGTGTGGGTGAGTCTTCCTGGAACCCCTTAAAGAGGTGGTTATTGAACCGCCTCTTAAAAAAAATCTTAAAGAGCCAGTGTGGTGTAGTGGTTGAGAGCGGTAGTCTTGTAATCTGGGGAACCGGGTTCGCATCTCCGCTCCTCCACATGCAGCTGCTGGGTGACCTTGGGCCAGTCACACTCCCTTGAAGTCTCTCAGCCCCACTCACCTCACAGAGTGTTTGTTGTGGGGGAGGAAGGGAAAGGAGAATGTTAGCCGCTTTGAGACTCCTTAAAGGGAGTGAAAGGCGGGATATCAAATCCAAACTCTTCTTCTTCTTCTTCTTTGGAACTGGCCACCATGGCCAATTATCACCAAGTCTCAAATATTCCATTCCTGGGCAAGGTGATTGAGTAGGTGGTCATGGAACAACTCCAGGCACATCTGGAGGATGCAGACTATTTGGACCTCTTCCAATCGGGTTTCAGGTCCCACCATAGGACTGGAACTGCCTTGGTTGTGCTGTTCAATGATCTCTTGCAGGCTAGGTAGGGACAGAGGTGGAAGCTGTTTGCTAGGTCTGCTGCATCTCTCAGCAGCTTCTGATACTATTGACTACAGTATCCTCCTGGACCGTCTAAGAGGGCTGGGAGTTAGGGGCACTGTTATGCAGTGGTCCCACTCCTTCCTCCTGGGGCATGTCTAGAAACTAGTGGTGAGGGATGAGTGTTCAGACCTCTGGGTGCTCACTTGTGGGGTGCCTCGGGACTCTGTCCTCTCCCCCATGCTTTTCAACATCTATATGAAACCGCTGGAAGAGATCATCGGGGGGTTGGGCTGGGTGTTTACCAACATGTGGATGATACCCAGCTCTACCTTGTTTAAGCTGGAACCAGTGAAGGTGGTGAACTTCCTGTGTGGGGGTCTGGAGGTGTTTGGGGGGTGGAGGGTGATTAACGGATTGAGGCTGAATCCCCACAGAAGTATTGTTTCTAGGGGACAGTGGGTGGGCAGGTGGGGAGACTCCCTAGACCTAGGAAGCTGTGGCTGGATGGTTTCGTGGGAGCCGATTGAAACTAAATCCTTCGAAGACAGAGGTCCTATGGCTGGGTTGGGATGGCATGGGGATGAGGGACCAACTCCCTTCTCTTGTGGGGGCCCAATTAGTGCCATTGCCTTCCGTTAAGAATTTGGGTGTAATCCTTGACGCCTCCCTTTCCATGGAGGCACAGGTTACAGCAACAGCCAAGGCGACATTTTTCCACCTTCGCTGCATCAAGCAGTTGGTCCCTTACCTTTCCCACCCCGACCTGGCCACAGTGATCCATGCGACGGTCACCTCCAGGCTTGACTACTGTAATTCGCTCTACGTGGGGCTGCCCTTGAAGCTGTCCCAGAAACACCAGCGGGTGCAGAATGCTGCAGCGAGGCTCCTCACGGGGCCTCTGCCATGGGAGCATAGTCACCCAGTGCTTTTCCAGCTGCACTGGCTCCCGGTGGAGTACAGGGTCAGGTTCAAGGTGCTGGTTTTGACCTTTAAAGCCCTTCACGGCCTAGGACCCTCGTACCTACGGGACTGCCTCTCCTGGTATGCCCCCCGGAGGACCTTAAGGTCCATAAATAGCAACACCCTAGAGGTCCTGGGCCCTAAGGAAGTTAGATTAGCCTCAACCAGAGCCAGGGCCTTCTCAACACTGGCTCCGGCCTGGTGGAACGCTCTGCCTCATGAGACCAGGGCCCTGCAGGATCTGATTTCTTTCCACAGGGCCTGTAAGACAGTGTCGTTCCACCTGGCCTTTGGCTTGGAGCCAATTTGATTCCCTCCCCCTCTTTCTTTTCTTTTTCCTTTCTCCTTCTGTGATGAGGCTGCATTTTAATATTTTAATGTTTCAGTATTTTAATTGTTGTATTTTAATCTTGTTTTTAAGTTGTATTCATTCAACTTGTTTTTATTATTGCTTGTTAGCCACCCTGAGCCCGGCCTTGGCTGGGGAAGGCGGGGTATAAATAAAAATTATTATTATTATTATTAAATAGGCTAACTGTGCCCCCCAAAGACCAGGCGCACAGCCTGGGGGTCATTTTGGATTCACAGCTGTCCATGGAGGGGCAGGTTAATTTTGTCTCCAGGGCAGCTATCTTAACAGCTCCATCTGGTATGCAGGCTGAGGTATCTGCCCGTGCACTGTCTTGCCAGAGTGGTAGACGCTCCGGTTATCTCCCACATGGACTACTGCAATGCACTCTGCGTGGGGATACCTTTGAAGGTGATTTGGAAACTACAACTAATCCAGAATGGGGCTGCCAGACTGGTGACTGAGAGCGGACACAGGGACCATATAACACCTGTCCTACAGGATTTACATTGGCTCCCAGTATGTTTCCAAGCACAATTCAAAGTGTTGGTGATGACCTTTAAAAGTCTTAGTTGGCTAAGGCTCTGTACCTGATGAAGCGTCTCCACCACCGCTGTTCGGCCTGGACACTGGGATCCAGCTTCGAGGGCCTTCTGGTAGTTCCCTCAGTGTGAGAAGTGAGGTTACAGGGAACTAAGCAGAGGACAATCTTGATAGTCATGCCTGCCCTGTGGAACGCCTCCCCCCCATCAGATGTCAAGAAAATAAACAACTATCTGACTTTTAGAAGATATCTGAAGGCAGTCCTGTACAGGGAAGTTTTTAATGTTTGATATTTTATTATGGCTTTATAATTTGTTGGAAGCTGCCCAAAGTGGCTGGAGCAACCCAGTCAGATGGGTGGCATATAAATAAAAATAATAAATCATTATTAATTATTATTACTATTATTGGCCCCTAGTGAGGCTTTTCCCCAGTCGGAGTTTAAATGGGAGACAAACAAGGGATGGGGAGTAGTTTCAAGGGGGTGGGAGTGTGGTGTGGGGAAAGGGTTCAACACCCTCTTTCACACGCTCCTCCACATGAAATGACTTCAAACTCTTATATACCTGTTCAGCTGCGACCAGAATTCTGTAACATAGATCTGCTGACATCACATATACTTAGACCACAAGGAATGTTCAAGTCAGGGTTATTCACATCTGTACTTGCCTGTGCCACGTGGAACAAAATTAGGGCACATGGTGGCATGCAATTTTGGTGTCTTTTGGGTTATGAACTAAAGCATGCTCACTTGGAAAAAATTCAATAGACATCAATGCACTTTACTTCTAAGTAAAGTTCAAGGTATCAGAATCACCCACTCTCCTTGCTCAACAAGGCACATTTCTAGATTTCAGTAGTGCAGAGAATATATATATATATGGTTGTTGCTAAATCTGAAGAGATTCCAGTGGGACTGGGTCATGATGAAAAAGGTAGACCTCTGAGACTTAGGGCTTTTTATACCACAAATGTTCCAGTTTATTATTTGTCCTGCTCCTCCAGCAGGCAGCAATGTGGTAAGGTTGGGGAAGCATCACAGAACAGCTAAGATGCGTGGAATAATGTGAAGACCGTCAGATACAGTCCACCATTAAAGCACTGTTATTGCATCAATAATTATTGGTGCAGAATACAGCCGCAAAAGAACCAAACAACCCAATCTGGAAGGACTCCAACAAGCAACAGAACACATTGAAAAATGTAAATGTTTTCCCCCAAAAAACTATTGGAATTGTAGTTTGGGAGGGTGCTAGCAACTCTATCTTATCTCCATCTCAAAACCACAGTTCTCAGGCTACTTGGTTGGGAAATTATCATGACTCATGTCAGCAAAATAGGTTTGGGAGAGGCTTAAACTTGTAGCGAAAACACACACACACACCCTGCATCAGCTGGGATTCTTTTGCTCTATACCTGTGGGCTCATGGTGGGGAGAGGGGAGGAGCTCTGAACTTTGCAAAGTGCCCCTCCCTTAGCACTGAGTCAACAAAGCCAGATCACACACTTCTGGGGTAAGAAGGCGGGTCTGCAGAATCCAGTGAGGTGGCCTAGAGCCAGGCATATTCAACCCAGCAGCTCTAATGCTAACTCAAACACTGCTCCTACAACCAAAATGCCTGTTGGTCTCCGTTACTGTGTGTTCCATCTTAGACTGAGTTCTTCCAGAGGTGAGAAACCAGTGCATGAGGTATACCACTTCAAACAGCAGACAAGGGTGCCCATGATTAAATACTTTTTCAATACACTAAAATCCCCTCCACTTGGAAAACTAGATGTTGGGGGGAAGGGAGGTCTTAGCCTAACCTTCTTCCTGACTCACTGGCTTTCTACGTGGAAGGATTTTCACTCATGTGCCTCCACAACCTGAATGCCGAAGTGGCTTATCACTTCAGTGTGGCCATAGATGCCTTTTGGCTTTTGGAATCAAAAAGCTGACTTACCCAGGAGGGCTGAATTGCCATCCCCGAGAGGAAACCTCTGGTAGCGTGGGACATTAAAGGGTGGTAAAATGTGGAACTTCTTTTCCAGAAGAGGTTCCAAGCGTGAGGCTGACGGGTCTGCAGGGTGGAACAGGTTATAGACTTGCTGACAGGCTGGTCTCAACTGGAAGACTGAGCAATAGAGAGGGGAAGGTGCGGTGGAAGATACAGACAAGATATTAAAGCTGGAGACTACCATCTTACTGCTGATCTCATCACATTGACAACATTGGCTGTTTATGCAGGCATACCTCAAAGATATTGTGAGTTCGGTTCCAGATCACCGCAATAAAGCGAATATTGCAATAAAGAGAGCCACACAACTTTTTTTTGTTTCCCAGTGCATAGAAAAGTTATGATTACACTATACTGTAGTCTTTTAAGTCAGACTGCCCCCCACCCCTGGCTGCCAGGGAGGGAAGGGAAAAATCCAGCTTCAGCCCTAGCTAGCTCCACTCCCATGGCCAGAAGAGGGGCAGTGGGATTCCTTCCCCTGGAAGCAGCCAGGCTGCCTGCAACTGCACCCACATCCTCGTAAGGAGAAATATCTGTGAAACACAGTAAAGCGAGGTGCAATGAAATGAGGTGTGCCTGTGTATTCCCTGGACATAGACACTATGATGCTGCTTACTGACACAATATTTTTCTTAATGTTGGCAATACAGAATTTTTTTGCTAAGTAAATAAAAACAAAGTATTATTGGTCAGCTTGTCAAATCACAACATGTAAGTAATATTTAAGTCAGCTGATATTTATGTGCACAGTTTTTACTAAGCCCTGGTCATACTGTTTATTGCATAGTCCTAAAGCATTATGAAGTAACTGCATAACCAACATTTCATTTAATAAATCAAACAGTTGCTTATTACGGAGGGGAAGGGTTGTATCTGCTTTGCATGCAGCAGCTCCTGGATTCAATTCCAGCACCTCCAGGCAGGGCTTGGAAGCCCTGGAAGCCACTGCCAGTCAATGTCAGTATAAGGCAGTGCCATATGTTCCCATGAAGATGGACCTAACACTGAAAGAGAATTCCCAGTGGATTCTGCACTTATTGTGTAAGTCTGGCTTAGCAATTTGCACAAGAAGTCTATGTTCCACCAAGCAAACTCAGGGTTGGTAATCAATCTTACTCCACCGCCCCTCATTATTTATGCAAACTGCCTGCCTTAGAATAATTTTTAAGTGCCATATCTCATTTATCACCCTTTTAAAATGGAAGCACTTTGAAGAGTTGAGATGCTCAAGGGTTTGAGGTGGGTGCCATGGTGACATCATGGACACTAGCCAAAGCAGGTTTGCTGAACATTTACACAGCTCATTATTCTTCAGAACTCAGCCACAGAGAGAAAAAGATACATTCGGAAGTAGTTACAGTGCTTCCAAAACAACTTCACCGCTCTAAAAACCGTACATTTGTCTGCTTTATAGTTTGAGTTTTCCATATTGGCGTCTTTGCTCACAAAACCTTTTAACAATTATTTTACAAGTATGTACAAATATTTTGCAAGCATTTTGAAATACCCTTTTACCCAACACGAAAACTTACTGTCAAGAGTTGGAATGACGGTTTTTCGCAATGCGAGGACCAGCCCCAAAGGAGATCCAAACAGGAAGAAGTCTGTGATCTCAAACTCAAATTTCCCAAGATTTCCTCCATCCAGCACAGTGGAACTGCTTGATGTCCTTGATCCCGCATAGTTTTTCAGAGCACTAGAATGTAAACTGGAGAGAGGTGAAAACAGACTGTAAGCAACAGCGAAGAAAGCAAAACTACAAGACAGACAACCATGGATGCGTATCATGCTGTGGTTAATGCTGCATGCTGTTCTTAAGAGTTCAGAACGCACAGGATGATGCTCATAAGGAAACATGTTTGCTTGGACAACTGTAGATTCAGTGCTGGACTGCGGACACTTAAATTGGTGGAAGAACATTTAACACAATGTAAGAATTATTTTGTGCCAACATTATGCAAGATGCTGTACATCATGTGAAGTTGTTTCTAGTAGCAAAACAACAAAGCAAAATGAAACATGGTACCCAGGCTGCTTTAAAAACAAAAAAACCCTCAGTCCTCTTTGCATATGTCATGAAGGGAAGTATCACTGTTTGTTCATATAAACACCACGTGTTGCAGCCATATTGGTCCCACAGAATGTAAGAGACATAAAAATGATGTACTATGTGGCCCAACTAGCTTTTCCATTCATTTATAACCCTTTGAACTGTACTATCTCCACCCTCCACCACAGTCTAGACATTTCGGAGAAAAGCTGTTTACATTTCTCCTGACATTCATGATGGGGGGAAAAAATCATAGTAGGTTTGAAAGTTTGCAGAACATCTAAGCAGTCAGTTGGTCCAAAATAACTTTATCTTTTAAAAATGTATTCTACTGTATATTCCTCTGCATGCTTACTTGAAAGTCAATGCCAATGTGTTTATTGGTGCTTGCTCCCAAGTAAATATGCAGAGGATTACAGCTCAAGAGTCCCCCTTTTTCCCACGTGGTCCTCCAATGTTCTAGATTTCTCTACATTATGGAAAGCTGTGAATGGTGCTTACCTATTTCTTCCTCAAAGAAGTTGTTGGGACACAAGTGTTAAGGGATTAATAAAGGAGAAAAGAAAAAGAAAAGAAACAATAAGAGAGGAAAGAGAAATAGAAAGATCACAATTGGTAGGAAGGGAGTCTTGCATCTTTGCATGCTGCCTCTGTCTCATCGACCAGCTCAAAATGTATATGCATCAACTCACAGATTTATAGCATGTGTGATATGAAGCCTTGTACAGCTCATATGATCGATTATATGTCACACTACGCATCCTGCCCACAGCCTACCAAGGTCAGGAGAGAAAAACACTCCCCTTCACATTAACTGAGTTATAGCAGGAATTTTGATCAAGCACTTCTGCCTCTGTGACATAGCTGGGTCTCAGCTGGGTCTCCCATCCACCAGGAATGCCACAAACCACTGCTGCCTTTGCCACTCTGCTGCAGGCTGCTGGACACTTGTGCTTTAATAAAGTGGCTTCCAAACTGTTCTGTCGGGCACCCCAGAGTGCTGTGATAGCAGGTTACTGACAATGCACAAAGCTACTGAGTTGAAAGACAACTTGCCCACTGCCACCAATCTTCCCTTGCAATGTACAGATGCAGGAGAGAATCAGGGATATTCTACAGTGCTCCTCCTTTGCACATGGGACAATTGAGAAGGCCCAGCCAGTGTACTCCATGAAAAGTGCATTTGACCTACTACCTTCCCCAGAGTCCCCTGCGACATGCAGGAATTTTCTTCACTGATGCTCAAGGGATCAACACAACAGGTTTCCTAAAGGTAAAAAAGTCTGAAAGAACTATTGCCTCCCAGCAGCTTCTCAAGTATGCCCTTAGTGGCTGAGCACATCTGACTTTAAAAATGCCCACTGTTTCAGGTCTCCTACTGGATAGGTCCCAAATCTCCTAAGGGCAGGTGGGAATTTCCTCCTTTTCATGGGCCGCAGCCTCTGTTCAGTGTAGTGTAAAATTCCAAACAACCAGAAGCCCCATCTGCATGATTTACAGAGCAACACGCAGAGTTAATAACCATGAAAGGGTCTGGAGGCAAAGGAGATGTAATTCCCTACTCCCTCCAAGGTTTGGAGAACTGGTGAAGACAACAAGCCTGTGATATTGTTTAGTGCCAAGAGCAATACAAACAGAAGCTGCAGAATCCACTAAATCTTTTTAATATTACCAAGAGGTACTTTTTCCCTGCAGAAAATACGTGGGATAAATAAAATATATGACTTCATGGTTGGAGAGAAGAGTTTTATGGGCACAGGCTGGGAACAGTCGACAACACAAATTTCACAGCAGCTATGCATGAAAGTATTTGTGGGTGAGGCTTGTTTGCATGTTAAGCTTTTGGTGAGTTCCCCTCTCCTCCCACCAAGGTTCACGTGTTCTAAAAAAAGGCTTAGCAAATACGTGGGACACAGCATCTCATAATCTCTTTATCATTCCTGGAACTTTCAGCATGGTGTCATTTAAATTTCTTTTACAGAGAGCTGTTCTTCTGCAACCTTGTAAGGCAGAGCATAGCTACTCCCATTTCACAGATTAGAGATTGAGGCTGATAGATAGGGAATTGCTCAAGACCACTCAGTATTTTTTCCCTCTCTCCCTTTTCTCCCTTTTGGGGAAGAGCAACTTAGATCAGAAAAACAGTTAAACACTTGCTTCCAAAATGGTTTGGGTTTTTTTGCTGGGGGAGAGGGGTCATCACGGGAAGGGGACTACAGCTGAATGCTTCACCTATAAAAGGTTCCAGGTTCAACCCCCTGCATCTCCTGTCAAAAAAGTCCAGATCCTTCTCAGTCTCAGACCCCCAGAAAGCCAAGTTCTCCTGGGTTAAATGAACCATAAAGGTAGCTTCCTGTGTCCCTATCTCATCACGGATCTCCTATTTTACATGCAGCTTGGCCCTAAAGAGGTGGTCATTTACGTGCCAGGTGTGGGGAACCTTTGGCCCACCAGATGTTGCTGAACCACTGAATCAAGCTTGCTGGGGCTGATGGAAGGTGTAAGTCCAGGAATGACTGGAAGGCCAAAGGTTCCTCTATACCTGGTTTACATATGCACAAGAATGTACAGAAGCATCCATTAATCTGAAAATGAAAATTATAACAATACTACAAAGCACAGTCTATTGGCAACAATCCCCATCAGCCAATCAGCCGCTCTTCCCTCCCGTGGCAAACCTACCTGGAGAGGAAGGCCTGGTGCTGCTTGATGGTGTCCACTTCGTAAGTCGACGAGTCGCTCCTCTTCCGCGGCAGCTGCTTCCTGGACTCCTCCCCGTTGCTGCGAGGGATGTCAATGTTGCTCCGGCTGAGGTGGCGGCTGGCTTCCAGGCTGGAGCCCCCTGAGCAGTAGCTGTTGTTCACAATGATTCCAGGAGACAAGAGGTCAGTGTCCTGGAATTTGAAGGGCACAAGGCCTAGGCGTCAGAGCCCTGACAAAGGGCAATCGCGTTGACACTCCGTCGGAAAGCAAGCACAGAAGACCCTCAGCCCAAAGACGTGCCCCGTGGGCTGTCGCTGGGCTTGCCGGATGTCAGTGTTTGACCCCCAAGCTCCTCAAACTGTTGCAGGCCAGTGACCCAGCCATCAAAGTAATTAGCTTTAGTGTAATCATCATCATCAACAACATCATTAATACACTGTCGCTGTAAGAACATAAGGGCCTGCTGACTCTTGTAAAAGTCATTCAAGTTGGTGTCACCACTGTCTCCTGAGGCAGGGAGTTCCATAGTTTTAACTAGGTGCTGCATGAAGAAGTACTGGTTTTATCTGTCCCGCATTTTCCAACGTTCAGCTTCATTGGATGTCCTGGAGTTCTAGTGCTATGACAGATCTCAATCCTTCTCTCCCCTTAGAAACCCTGCAGGCTTCATTACGGGCCCTTCGCCACGTGTTTCACCCAAGGGATGGGCAGAAAGTTGCCATATGACAATGTGACTTTTCAGTGGTGTCCCCCCAACCCCGTTTGTGGAATGCTCTCCCCAGGGAAACACGCCTGGTGCCACCATCCACCAGTTTTTAGGGACCAGGCCTCTGGGAGATTAACTAGGCCTCCTCCACAGTGTTCATCCTTTAGTCAGGTGGCGTAGGACCTGTTCTTTTCATTGTTTTGTTCAATGAGTATTTTAAAAATTTTGTATTATACACCATTATGCTTTTTCTGGATTTTAACTGATTCTGTCCATTCATATTTTACCTTGTTGAGATTTTCTTTTTTGCATAAAGCAACTAAGAAATGTAGTAAATTATGATGATGATGATGATGTAATTAAGAGAGTGGGCATGATACTTCACAGTGCCCAAAGGAGCTATCAATCTAAAATTCAACACAGGGGAAACAATAGAGGAACAAGAAGGAAGGGGAGGCAAAGGAAGAATCAGATGGTACAATTATTTCAGTTACACATGGTTTGTCTTAGACTGTGAACACACCATACATTTAAAGCCAATGAATTTCCCCAAAGAATTCACAAAACTATAATTCCTAGCGCCCTTAACAAACTACTGTTCCCAGGATTCTTTGGGGGAGGGATGAGTGCTTCAAATATACAGTGTGTATGCAACCTTAGTTATAGTGGGGCAGGGATAGCAAACAAGGCACCCTCCAGATGATGCTGTGCTCCCAACTCCCATCAGGGATTTTGGGAACTGTAGTTCAACAGCATTTGGAGAGTACTACCTTGGCTACCCCTGCAGTGGAGCTTGAGGATGTGGAGGTTATGCCAAAGGGCTCATGGAAAAGGCGTGTTTGGAGGAGCGGCTTTAAGAGGGGTGGCAGCAGCACAGAAGGCATTTGGGAGGTGGTTCCAGATACATGAGCAACAAGAGAGAAAGCGCTGACACTGTTTAATGGAGCCGAAGTCCTTCAGATGGCTGAGGATGGAGGCTATGGATGTGCACTGGCGGAGGACGAGGACTGCGGGGGGAGCGCTCCGCCCCCGGCAGCGCGACCCCCAGGGTGCCCTCGTGGCTTCTCCCAGCCCGCCCCTGCAGATGGCGTACCCTGCCCCCCCCCGGACATGCGCCCCGCCCCCCAGGACGTGCATCAGCCCCTGGTGCAGGAGCATGAAGCTCCGCCGCTGTGGATGTGTGAACGTAACAGGCAGAAGTGTGTCAGGAGGCAAGAGCCCAAGAAGCTAGAGCAAGGAGAAAGCAATGGAAGTCTTTGAAGATAAAGACAAGCCTGTGTGGGATCTGGAAATGGATAGGAAGTCAAGGGATTTAAGGAAAGGCGTCAGATGCTCAGATGAATGAGAGAACAGGGGAGCACTGAATTATGTGAGGCAACAGAAGAGGACTGTACTTGAGGCCAGAGATGGTGGTGACACAGACTAGCATTTCACTCAGTGGAAGTGTTTTTGTACTTTTAACATGCCCTGTGCGTGAAACAGGTAGTAAAGTACAACAGAATACTGACAGGGTTTACTGCGTCCACACTGAAGGTGTAGAGCACAGTGTCGGTCAGGTGTCCCTTGGACCGGCAGACTGATGCTGAAGGAGAAGAAAAAATGAAGCAGTGTCTCTGCCTCTTTTCTGGAATGGAGGGAGGCTGATGGGATTATTGAGACAGCACAGGCAGAGCACCCTTGAAACGCACCATATAAATAAACGTTCAGTATTCTTCTGCGGTGAACAGTGAACTTCCTTGCCGCCCCAGAATGGAGCACTGTGGGTGGGTGTATGCCTTTACCTGCACACTTACAACGCTCCCACGCCGGCTACTGTTCTGACTCTCTGACATGGTCTGGTTGCTGTAGCACAGAGCGTCAAAGGCCAGGATCCCTCCTACGCAGTCCCCAACCAAACACACCTGGGCAAGGGAAAACAAAAACCCATTCATTGCTCTTTTTCAAGGAAAATTCATTGTTCAAATTCCAGGATTTAGAAGTTTCCCAGTGATCTCCCTGCCAGCTGGGACAGTTGGGACCTCTGGGTTATGCATATGTTAGCAGCTTAAAAATCCATCCCTCTCTACCAGTGAGCTTCAAATTTCATTTGCACTTGCTGTACACACCAGGGAGAGGGTGGGGTGTCATCACCCAACATACATTACCTCATTTGTTTCCCCACCCCTTCAACTCCCTTCAACTCTCCTATTCAAGGCAGCTGGCATCTGCACATGTGCAACAGCTGTCTGAACTGTATGCACTTCAACTTAACCATGGCTTGCTTTTTCAAAGGATGCAAGTTGGTTTGAAGGGGAAAGTGTCAAATACAGGATATATATGAACTGTGGCTAACACTCTGTGTACTTAGCTTTAAACACCAGTGGTGGGAACACACTGTAGCTGGAGTAAATGGTAACATGTACACAGCTGTAGCTCAGAGGGCACCAGTCTGGGGAAGGCTGGTGTAGAATTTATTCAGTTTATACAACACTGCAGCACAAATCACACAGATCCATATATTTTGCTCACTCCTCCCCAGCACTCATACAGACAGCTGTCACCTGTGGTAAAGGAAAGGTAAAAAGACTGGCGGTGGAAACCTATATAATAATAAACGTTCTTTTCAATTGATCAGAAGCCTTGGAACCAAACGTGGCTCTTCAGCCCCTCTCTCACTGGCCGTCAGAACTCTCCCCAGTTCACCGCTCCCACAGCCCTGCATCCTACCCTGAGTGTTTTTGCCTGTCTGAAATGTGCCCTGGAACACACTCTTGCCTGTCCGTGTGGAGGCTGAGAGGGGTGCTGAGCATGCGTACAAACTAGCATGCTGTACAAAGATAAAAGTAACTTCAGTTGCTCTGGCAAGTTTTGCCTCTGGCCACTGGCATTTGGGGCCTGGGCTCTCAGAAGAAAATGCACCCCTGGGGTTAAAAATGGTTCCCCACCCGTGATTTAAGATGAAGTGCCTCTTTGGAGATATTGCCTGCTGATTCAACGTTGGAAAAACAAATGATTTCCCTCCTTTTCTCTAGAGCTACTGCTTTACTTACACCCCAAAATATGCAGATGTATTCAACTTGATTAATCTATTAAAATTCATTATTTAATCAAGTGATAGACTTAATATAGAATTTTATTTCTATTTAATTCTCCTGTGTTAATTGGGACGTTTTGTTTTATAAACTTTCACACCAAAAAACAAAATACAGAAAAGCTTTCTGCTTGCTCTCCAGTTCACTGCCACCAACCAAGGCAGAATGCTAACCTGGCCGCTGAATGAGGCGCCTTCCTGGGATTTGATGAACTCGCTGTACACCTGATTGGCTCTCAGGATCACCGTGGCAACTGCCTCCTGGTACTGTGGGGACGATGTGGCCAGCAGAGGAAGTGCTGCGAGTGGAATGTGATCCTGGCTATTGGAAAGGCAGCCTTCATCGTAACTGTAAGGACTGAGGCTAAAAAAGAAGAGAGATAGTTAAGGACTTTTCCTTTCTGTGGGCATTATGGAGCAGTGAAACCTCTAGTACAGACACCAAATCTGTGTTGCATGGGTCAGCCACAGCCATACTGGTTGCTAATATTGCTGCTTTGAGCTACTTTGGTAAAAAGAAAAGTGACTAATAAGTTTAATTCATAATCATAATATATGGGAACTTGTGGAGATGCACAGCAATGGGATTGCATGGTATTATTATTATTATTGCTATTGCTATTATAATATATTGTCTCACATGCTACGTACCCAACTGATCACCAAAATATGCAGAAGGGGGAATCCTCTATCCACCATCCTAGCAGGAGGGCAGCTACAAATTTCAATCTCAAACCTTCATTAGCATATAGACAAAATTCCGAAAGGTTCAGTACTATAAAATCACTCAGCAAAACCTGAAGGCAGCTACATGTGATGTAGTAATCAGACTTTTAGTGTAGAAGCAATACCTGCCTTTTGGCACTGCCTTCTCTATTGTCCTTTGCCTGTTGAAGATATTCCTCTTTCAACAAACCTCCAACATGGAGATTTTATCCCACCTGGTATCTGTATTTGAATGGATTATATATACCTGTTGTTGTTTTAAATTGTTTTTATATATGCAATTGTTCTATATATGGTTTTATGCCATTGTAAATTGTTTTAGGAGGCCTCATGGGAAGGGATTCATAAATAAATAAATACATTTTCTGTTCTGCTCTTTCTCTTAAAGGAGCCCAGGGTGGCAAAGTAGCAGAACAATATAATTAAAAATAAAACAAAAACATCTCTAAAGCATTTAGAAAGCAAGGACATCTCAAAATATTTAACGGTAGTTCCCTTACTTCCACTCTCCACCAGTCACATGCATATGCACTGGAAGAAGATGCTTAGCTTAGTTTTTGAGAGAAAACACAAATTTACCATCTTCTCTGCACATTCCTATTTGCTACAAAGCACCCTGTACTTTTTTGCTTCTTCATATTCTGCACCAAAAGAATCAATGTGGTTTAGGGCAAAGCTTGCTGCTTGGGCTGAGGCCACTCACAGTTTATTTTCTCTGTGAAATGTACCTCACAATTTAAAAACAAACATCTGTACACTGCCCAGAGCTCCCTGACATAAGAGCAAGAAGCAAATGTGAGTGAGTCATCCCTTAGTCTTGCTCCTCCTCTCATATGCAAGGCAGGCTCTGTAAGCTGATTTAGAAAACAATTTCAAGGGCACATTTATGCACATATACATCCTTCAACTTATAACTTTCCCCCCAATTGCCCTGGGTGTTGTGTGTGTGTGTGTGTGTGTGTGTGCGCGCGCGCTGTTTGTAATGTTACAGACAACAATCAAAATTCATTTTGAAAACCCATTTATTTCAAGCTGCTTTTAGCAGAGATGCTATCCAGATGAACAAGATATTTGAGACTTGCTTTACCCTCTGCTTCAGGATCCCAGTGTAGGCCCAAAGGGGGACTCTGATTCACAGGATGCACCACTTGCCCCACTCAAGGGGGAGCCCTCAACATCCTGCTCTGCACTGCCCCTGCCTGAGGGATGTGGCTCTTCCACCACCCTCAGAGTCTGAGGACCATTCCCTGCAGCCTCGTTTATTTCACAAGCATGCAGGAAACACGAAATTCCTTTAAAGAGCTCTCCCAGAGGGCAGGGCCATTGGACGCTTAAGCCCTGCCAGCTTTCTAAGGCTTCAGGTGACCTAAGCAAGGGGTTTTAATGCAGCACCCACAAAGGCTTCATTGGTGCCTGCAGGCAGGGACCCCAGACTCTGAGCTTTCATGGAAAAAAAAGCCCTCCTAAAAAGGAAGCTATGAAGGGAAATTTCTGTGACTTGATCCAGCTGACTGCTCCTGTGTGTCAACGGTTTTAGCCAATGAGTGAAGCCAGAGCTGTGATTGAGAAGCGAGCTCTTAGGACTTACTTAAATAATTTGTATGCTGCATGTTGAACCCATGTTGAATGTATATTCTCAGGGCAGCCAGCAGAACAGTATGAAATTTAAAAAGTAGAAATTGAAAATAAAGTGTACACACTAAACCACTGAGCCTCTTGGGCTTGCTGATCGGAAGGTTGGTGGTTTGAATCCCCACGACAGGGTGAACTCCTGTTGCTCTGTCCCATCTCCTGCCAACCTAGCAGTTCAAAAGCATGCCAGTGCAAGTAGATAAATAGGTACCACTGCAGTAAGAAGGTAAACGGCATTTCCGTGCACTCTGGCACTCGTCACGGTCCTCCGTGTGCCAGAAGCGGTTTAGTTCTGCCAGCCACATGACCAAGAAAGCTGTCTGTGGACAAACGCCGGCTCCCTCAGCCTGACAGTGAGATGAGCACTGCAACCTCATAGTCACCTTTGACTGGACTTAACCATCCAGGGGCCCTTTACCTTTTTTACCTTTGGTAACAGCCCTTTCAAAAAGGGCGTAAAAGCAAACTGCTCTAAGTTAAAGAAACCCCAAATGCCTGGGAAACAAAAATGCTTTTGCCTGGCCCATTAAATGACAGAAATGAGGTCTCAATAGGGAGGGAATTATGTGCCATCCCTGGAAAACATCCTTATAGAAGGGAACACTTTGAGCTTATAATACTGAAATGTTGTTAAGAAGCAGACGATGAGACGAATTATCTTTAAGCAGTGAACCAAATCAGAAATAATTTAACTTGCTGTGCAGATGAACCTCATGACAACTAACCCCTGCATGATTCAAGATTGCAAGAGACCTCCCTCCCCCCTCCCTCCCTCCCTCTCTCTCTCTCTCCAATCACAGCCAGTAGGAGGTTAAAAATCAATCCCTCCATCAAACTACAATTTCATCAGCTAAGGGAAATCTTCCAGGGCTCAAGATTGACTTTTTTTCCTCTCATACCTGAAGTGATAGAGTGAGAGCTATTATCCAAGGGCCTCTTGCTTGCCACACAACTCTACAAATCCACATTTAAACCTTCACCTGATTAGTTTGAACAAATCAATTGCGGTTCTCCAAGTACAATGTTATTACATTCATTACAGTCATGCATGAGATCAAGAATGGATAGCTTAGCAGATAATTAATAGTGTGAGCTCTTGACGCCAGGAGAATGGACCTTGTTGGCATTATGAATTGAGAAAATGGGCCTGCACAGGCTGTGTTCCTAAACACACTGACATATATATATATATATATATATATATATATATATATATATATATCACACATAATAATTTTATTAAAGAATTTCTTTGTTAATGACCACTCACATTATAAAGAACTTATATCCCACCTACTCTCAGCAGCCAGAAACCTCACAGCCAGACACTCGAGAGACATGTCAGGAGTGAACATGGTCCAATGGTAGCAAATTGTTTGGGAAACAACCATAGAAAAGCTAACCAATAGACTGAAACTGACACGGGGACAAATAGAAGAGGATGCCTTCACCCTACTATGGCTCCCCTTTATAACATACACAGCCCAACAAGACAGCAACAGGAACCCACTGACAGCATACGAAACACACTGGTTTTGGTTTTGCTACAGTTCCGCTTGTGTAATACTGATATTTCAGGCTGGAAGCTGATGGAGAGGACCAAGGGGATGGCTCAGGAGGTGAGTGAAATAGCTCTGCATGCCTCACAAGGCTATAACTCAATCACCATGTAATAAAACCCACTGGCAGAGACATACCAATATTTCAGCCATACTGTTGACTTCAGCAGGAGACAGAAAAGTCATTTTAAAAAGAGCTGCATATGATCTTTGAAATACGGCCAGCTAGGGACATAAGAAGGCATCATCTTCAGTTCTGTCCTGTCTTCACTGCAATCAGCACTGTTTCCATTCTGCTGCGGTCAAATACTACATTATTCATCTTGCTTGTCATTATGTTATTCCATCCCATTAATTTCAATACAAAGTGGGGGAGGAATGATATACTCAATTATGTATCATTTGCAGACTGAGAGCAACAACTTATTGATTTCCATTCTGGTCATGGGACAAATAAGTGAACATGGGCGATTTCTGTTTTTTTGAAATTTTCCAATATGCCTACAACTCACATGAATGGCATCCATTAGACCACAGGTAACAGGAAGACAAAGAGGTAAAGAGTAAGTCTAGGTGAGTATGAGTTTGTACTGGAGCATGGACAAAGGTCTGGCAGAGATCTAGAGCAAATAGCAAGAGCAGGGGTTGAGAGGCAGAGGCTATGTATCAACCCAAAAGGCCAGCAACCAGAATCAGGGAGCAAGAATGGTCAGAAAAAGGCCCTTCAGGACCCTGGACAGGTCCTAGGGAAGAGACAACTTGTTTCAACAAGTCCTGGAAGCAAGCTGAACTTTAGTGGTGGTGTATTTGTGGTCCTCCAGGTCATTCCTGACAATGGGCCAAGCTTATGGGGCAAGTGGGGTGTTGGCATCAGAGAAGATTCTCCATCCCTGGCTTATATGGTACCTGACTGTTAGTAGTGAAAGTGGCAAATTAAAAAAATGCATGGTCCCTTCATGACAGTCACAGCCATGCCCCTTCTAAGATTATACAACCTTCTAAGATTATGCAACAATAACAATAATTTGGATTGTGCTACCTTTCAACTAGGTATACTATTTTCTGTGCACATTCACCAGCAAATTATTTGGAGTGCTCTAATATCTTCTCCAAGAGAGACTTAAACTGTTTTTTCCTTGAATTTCGTCCGTAACAGAACTTGCACACCATTCTTTTGCAACTAAAGCATGCTGTGTTTTCAGAGTTCCCAAATCCTTAGCTTTGGAGTACACAGGACAACTCCTCTGCATTTGTCAAACACACCTTCTCCAGGGTGACCCTATGAGCTGATCCTCAGCAGCTAACTCACCTTCTTTCACTCTGGCTTCGAACAGCAAAAAGGGAGAAAAATGTTCTTCTCAGTGGCTATAAAGCTCCCTTTTGATGCTGACTGGATGGCTCTAGGACACTGGAGACAGGGACTCTACCAGGACCCTGATGTAGAAATAGTAACAGGTTGTTTACCCCCTGCAAGCCCATACCACTACAACTCGGCCGACTGCCTTTCCTATGTCCCACCTATTTGCTGGAGTTCTTTAAAGGGCCAGCCCTCTGCCCTGGAACCGGACGCTCTCTCACCTCTCTCTGTTAGATGTCACTGGACATGATGCTTACAGTGCTGAGCAGCTTGGCATGTGAGACCCTTGGAGATGAAGATGCTAGGTTTGCCTTGGGAGCCTCAGGTTTGGGGCTGAGGCTGGATAGATATGGTACCTAGGCTTCTGGACTCAGGCTGAAGGACAAGGGCTGGACCACAATGGTGCTTTCACACAGCTGTCAACATTTCCTCTTTCTGAGAAGCAAGCAGTTGACTCTGTCTAGACTAACTTGATTGATTCACAGATTTCTCATCTCCCCTATGGAACTGTGCCATGTGAATTGCAGCGTAATTGGTCCAAAGGGGGCCTCTGCAGCTGCAGTGTAAAAAAGGGTCTGTCTGGAAGAGACAGAACAGTCAGACACAGAATGAGGAAGCCTCTCTGCCAAATCACAGATGCAGCTAAGGGTACATCTACACAACAAAAAAAGATGAGTTTTCTAAAGCTTAATAGTCATGGTTTCCTCTAGTGATTCCAGGTGAGATGCTGCAAATTCTGTTTGAGATGTCTAGCCCAACTCACATATTCATGGTTCTCAGCAGGATATCCTGGGAGGAAGGAATAACTACTGAAATTGGTATAAATGTGCAGCATAGATCCATCTTTGTTCTCCCTCCCTCTTCCTCTTTCCCAGCCCCTTTAAGAAAACTCAGTAACTCACTTAGAGACAAGTGAAAATGCTTCAGAGCAGATGGCTGGGCAAGGGACCAATCTGATGGCTATGCGCCCAAGGGCCGCTGGGTAATGGACCCTAATGACAGTGTCAAAGGCAGTGGCTATGGTGTTGACATCCCCTTGCTTAGAGCTCTGGTCACCACTTCCTGTATCCAAAATGTTGCCTCCATGAAGCACCAAGAGCAGGACATGGATCTTGCTTGGCTGCACTAGTGGAGGCACAACCTCATCCTGAAAGAGAAAACAAGAAACGCAAGACTAGTTTATAATGGCAGATATGGTTTTGAGGATCAAAGGCACTTCCATTTTTAAATATGCTTCATAAATAAAAACAGAGCATTACTTAGGCCCCCAGGGACATACGCCTCTATATGGTGAGGCTACCTTGTTACCCTGTGACTCTTGCTTCCCAAATGTCCCTTTGTGGAATCTTTTTTATTATGATGTCTGCATAATAACTGCAATACTGTGCCCCACACAATCATTATTCATTGTTTCTTTATTGTTAGCCTTGTCTGCACGCTGTTGTATTGAAAACCCAATAAACACTTCTTCTTCTTCTCTTAAGCGCTTCCTGAAGAAGAAGAACAGTTTGGATTTGATAGCCCGCTTTATCACTACCTGAAGGAGTCTCAAAGCGGCTAACATTCTCCTTTCCCTTCCTCCCCCACAACAAACACCCTGTGAGGTGAGTGAGGCTGAGAGACTTGTGACTAGCCCAAGGTCACCCAGCAGCTGCATGTGGAGGAGCGGAGACGCGAACCCGGTTCACCAGATTACGAGTCTACCGCTCTTAACCACTACAGCACACTGGCTCTCCTGCTGCAGAACAATTAATTACACTGGTCAACAACAAATTTGTTGTCTGCATTTTTTCAGTTGATTTAGGACGAATCTGATGTGCTGAATCCAAAAATCACATTGGTTTTGCTCAATCAGGTCAAGTTTTTGAGCTATGGCCACATGTCTTTTTTTACGTTTTTGTTCACATGTATGCTTGTGTGGAGCATTTTAGAAGAAGTTGGTGGGGGTAAATGCCATGTCGAATAATTGTTTTGATTGGAAATGATTATTTTAATGACAAGAAGTATTCAGGTCCGATAGTTCTGGGTGATTATGTCGAAAAGGGATCAGTTTGAAGTCATAAAACCTCAAAATCTTCCATAAATTGGTGCAGCAAAGCATAAAGTTGCTTACCATGCTTATTTGGGTATTAAACTTGGTGACCAGGATAAAGCTTGGGCGCCACGCATGGTGTGCAAGGCATGCACCGAGACTCTACGTGGGTGGACCAATGGCAAGAGGAGTCTGAACTTTGGAATTCCCATGGTTTGGAGGGAGCCAACAAACCATGTCACTGACTGCTACTTCTGCGCTGTTGATGTGACTGGGATCAACAGAAAGAACCGGAGCAGCCTCAAGTATCCTGATTTTCAATCAGCACGTCGTCCTGTAGCTCATTGTGATGAAATTCCAGTGCCTATCTTTGGAGAACTTCCTTCCTGACATTAGTGACGAAGATGCCTCCAGTGTTGAAGGACATGAAGAAGAAGAAGTGGTTCTTGAAGATGATGCTCCACATCCATTTTCCCAAAAGGAGTTGAATGATCTAGTTCGCGACCTCAGCTTGTCAAAGGACTCTGCCGAACTGTTGGCATCCAGATTGAAGGGAAAAACCTCCTCTCTGACAGTGCTCGCATCAGCTTCTTCCGCAACAGGCATCAAGAGTACCTCCGTTTTTTTCTCGGAAGAGAAGGACTTGGTGTACTGTGCAGATATTGCGCAGCTTCTGCTCAAGCTTGGAGTGCCACAGTACGAACCCAAAGATTGGAGACTGTTCATTGACAGCAGCAAGCGATCACTGAAATGTGTTCTGCTACACAACGGCAACCAGTTTGCCTCTATACCCCTGGCTCACTCGACTACACTGAAGGAGAACTATGAAGCGGTGAAGTATGTGCTGGAGAAAATTGGTTATGATCAGCATAAGTGGTTTATTTGTGTTGACCTGAAGATGGTGAACTTTTTGTTGGGACAACAGTCTGGCTTCACCAAGTACCCATGTTTTCTGTGCATGTGGGATAGTAGGGACCGTGCTCAGCATTACACGAAGAAGGACTGGCCTGTGCGGGAGGAATTGGTGCCTTGCAAAGAAAGGAACGTCATCAACGACCCTCTGGTGGACAGAGACAGAATACTCTTCCCACCGCTGCACATCAAGCTCGGCTTAATCAAGCAGTTCACCAAGGCTCTGGACAAGGATGGTGACTGCTTCACTTACTTGTGCCAGGCTTTTCCAGGATTGACCATGGAGAAGTTGAAAGCTGGCATCTTTGACGGTCCTCAGATCCGTCAGCTCATCAGAGATCCAGAGTTCGGAAACTCAATGAACGAAGTGGAACTGGAAGCGTGGAAGGCATTTGTTCTGGTAGTGAAGAACTTTCTTGGCAACAATAAGGCCAGAAACTACGCAGAACTTGTCAACAACATGCTGACTGCTTTCAGAAACCTGGGCTGCAACATGAGCGTCAAGATGCACTACCTATTTTCACATATGGACCGGTTTCCTGAGAACCTGGGTTCAATGAGTGACGAGCAGGGGGAGAGATTCCATCAGGACATGAAAGAGATGGAGACCAGGTATCAGGGTCGCTGGGACGCAGTCATGATGGCTGACTACTGTTGGACTCTGAAGAGAGACCTCCCTGCCGCTGAGCATTCCAGGAGTTCCAAGAAACGGAAGTTCAAGCCCTGAAGTTTGAAAAATGGTGAAGCAACATGCAATTTACGTGTACTTACCTTTATCAATGCCCACCATTCAGTTTACAGTAATCGATGTTTCTATCAGGTAATCAATATATGTTGTTGGAAAAACATTTTGTCTCTTAAAATCATATATAGGGTGATATGTGTTGACAAAAATCAGCTGATAATGCCACAAAAATGTAATCGATTTTGTCACAAGATCTGATTTTTTTCAAATCAACATAGCTCAAAAACCTGACCTGATGGAGAGAAACGGATGCCATTTTCTGATTCAGCAGTGCAAAAATACCCTAAATCAGTTGTAGAAATCTAGACAACATTCAAAAAGTAAAAAATTGTTGCCCAGTGTTATCAATTGACCAGAAACTTTTAGACTGTACAATATTATAGATAAGCAGGGTAGTTGAAATAGTCAAAGCCCCTGTTATTACTGGAAGAATCCAGCAGCACCAACAGTAGATGTTTGGACACTCTAAATGGCTGCACTTGCAGTATGTGAGATGATGATATATAAACAAAGGGATAAGCTGGAACAGTTACACAAAACATGAATTTCCTGGACCTCTTTCAATTCCTGATTGCTTTTATGTTCTGTTTGATGTATCCCTCTGCCTTAATTGTACACTGTGATTCTGCACGTTTACTCTCCTTTATAATTAAGCATCAGCGCACCATAAAAGCTGACGTTCTCATGCAACACAATGTTATTGCCAGGAGGGAAGACGAAAAGGGCAATGGCATTGCAAGTTAATTATGAAATTCAATAAAGTTTAAATTTTAAAAATTAGGTTATCAGGCTGGTATGTTTTCATCCCCTAGGAAGTCAATGGCCTTAAGAACAGAGGAGGCAACAACTTCTCTGCACTGAGGTTTACTTCAAAAACCCATTGTCAAAGCGGAGCCTGCAGGACAACCCTCACAGAAAAAGAAAGCAGCCCATTGCCGGATTTGGGGGTTTTCATTGAATCCACCCTGGATCCAGCACTACCTCTCATTGCTGGTGGATCCCTTGAATTCCTTCTAAACTTGCTCAGGGTAAAGAAATAGGTTTTCAATGAAGACACTGGCTGTGTACACACTGCTGGCTGAAAGAGCAGCTAGGTCGTTCTCTTTCCCAGCAATTTAGACAGGAGCTGGTTTAAGGGGGAAATGCATCAAAATGCAGTATTTCCTAACAACAGGATAGATACAGATAATGGATAACGCCATACATACACCACTTCCCAGACCTGCGGTGGGCATGCACACCATGCAGAGTAAACCAGAGTGTGCATACGCCCACTATCAGTTTCTGGTGCTTTTCCATCAAAGCAGGGGTGGCCAGTGTCTGAAATTCTCAGAGATCACAGTACTCAGTGGCTACTACTCTGAGGGCAGGAACAATTTATATCCTACGTATAATGTTGTAAAGTTCTGTAATAAAATTGGCATGAACCAGCAGCTTCAAGAATGTGGAGCACGTCCCCATGGCAATGCAGCAATGTAAATGTGTGCGGGGGGGGGGGGCAGGATTGAGGGTTTAATGTGTTCCCTAATATATCCCTACCACCACCAAGAGGCAGACTGCAAGTGATATATGATACAAAAGGAGTAAGGAATGTTTCTTTTCCTTGCAGGGGAAACCAGGCAAAAGTGTGAATTGCACTGTGGTCAGATCAATTCAAGAGTCATATCTGGCCACACGCTTCAGGTAGATTCCAGATTTTGTTGCCAGATCACAGCTGTAGGTATGGAATGTTTCCGCTCAGAGGGACAAACGTGGATATAGAACACACATAAAAGCTGCACCTTTAAAAAATATAAGCTGGAAAAGGGAATTTATTTAGACACTGTACCTCAATGATGCTTAGCCTTTCCACGCTGGATCCAACATGGTACTCTGCTGCTGATTCAAGACATGGATCGTCTGGAAGGAAAGACGTATGGTCATATGAATTTGGGTTCTTTCCTCCAAAGACCATGAGACATTCTAATACTTCCCAAGGTTTAGTACGTGAAGGGGTATCTGCCACTATTCTGCCACCATGTTTGCTAATATGGGAAAAGGGGAGAGAGACATGGTGGGGACTGCTCCCAACTCTCCATTTTGGAAAATCTGCATAGAACAAGATCACAAAATGGCCAAACCTATGAACAGATGTAACAGGAGGAGATGTGAATTTCAAAAGTTTTTAAAGCTTTTTCTTGTGAAGGATCTTCCATTGTTACCTAGATTGAGAAGACAGGTTGGGGGCATGGCTTATTAAGTGTCTATCCACATTTATCCAATTTTTTTCAATTAGTAAACGCCTCACTCCACACTTTTCAAGGAGGCATCCCTGAAAATGAGCACTATCCTATCAACTGCAGTGTTCCACTTTTCTTCCTTCTTCCCCACCCCTTTCTCTGTCCCCTTGCGCCACAGTGCAGCTGCACATGCCCTCCTTTTCTGTTGCTTTTTTCAGTCCATTGTGTTCCTGTGCACTTGCACACAATATGTTTTCTGGAACCCCCAAAGGGGTGTGCAACAAGTGAAAAATAAACTGTACTTTAAAGGTAAAGGGACCTCTGACATTAGGTCCAGTCGCGGACGACTCTGGGGTTGCGGCGCTCATCTCACTTACTGGCTGTGGGAGCCAGCGTACAGCTTCTGGGTCATGTGGCCAGCATGACTAAGCCGCTTCTGGTGAACCAGAGCAGCGCATGGAAACACTGTTTACCTTCCCGCCGGAGCAGTACCTATTTATCTACTTGCACTTTGATGTGCTTTCGAACTGCTAGGTTGGCAGGAGCAGGGACCGAGCAACGGGAGCTCACCCCATCGCGGGAATTCGAACTGCCGACCTTCTGATCGGCAAGCCCTAGGCTCTGTGGTTTAACCCACAGCGCCACCCGCATCCCAAGACTGTACTTTAATTGCCATTAAAGAAAGACCACCCATACAGCCCATAATGTAGAACATTCGAGGTGGCAGTAGCACAAGGCACTGACTGCCCCTGCAGTGAAGGAAGGGGGTTAATTTGGATAATGCACATTCCCCCATCATCCCCAATGCTTGCATTGTGGTTGCACATCCAACACACATTGGCACTGGAAAGGGAAAAAGGGAAACTGCTTTCGCTCACATATACCTAGCTGTTCACAATGCCCGTATGAGCACAGGAAGGGGACACCTAAGAAAAAATAGCATGGGGCAGGGAACCAGAAGTGCACAGCAACGGGCTCAGGAAAAAACTGGCCAATTTTACTCAAGGTGTGGGTGGAGACAGAAGGGGTGGAGGGGAAAGTGGAATACCCACAACATTGTGCCACAAGGAAAAGTGTTTATCGTTCAGTTTTTTATATATACCCAAAGACCTTCACAATAAACAAAGATGGCAAATCACACATCAAATGTCTATAAAAATCTACAGCATAAAAGTCTATAGCACAAAAGTTTACAGCATAAAAATTTAAAATTACACTGCATTATCAGAACTGGAACAAAGCTTCTTAGCTGCCAGAGCAAATTTGGCTACCAGATGTATAATTTGTAGATGTTTATCAGCTAAGAGTTCCACTATCACTTCCTGAGGGGATGGACCTGACAACCAATAAAGAATAGACACAAGGAAAAGTGTGTGTTTCTCTGTTCAGGAGTAAAAAAGAAAAAGAAAAAAAGAAGGGGAATTAATTTATATTTGGGTTTTAAGTAGCCTTTCGTTTGTTCTGATACAATGGTAAAAAGCGGGGGGCATGTTGCGTTTCTGTGTCAGGATATAAATGAAAAGCTTTTGGACCAGTTCTATTGTTCCAGTGCAAATTCTAAGTAAGTGCAGGACGAATGGAAGCATGGACAGGCCCCAACAGTACACAACTACACTGCAGGCTTACTCTGGTTTTCTACCTGTCCCCCTCCACCACCACCCCAAAAACCCTGGGAAGGTAACAGCCTCATTCACTATAGAAGAATGGCTGAAAAATAACTGGACTTGGCTAAGATGGCTAAGCTAACATGTTTTAATTAGAGAAATGTTTCTGTACACGTTGGAAGCCGCCCAGAGTGACAGGAGCAACCCAGTCAGATGGGTGGGATACAAATAATAAAATTATTATTATCATTATTAAAGGACCCGTCTTCTATTATTCACCTAAGAGTACAGCCATTCAGTGGAATAACTGTACAATACTCTCAGCTGCATCCCATTCCACACACAAAAATTACCTGGTACTTCTTCAGATTCTGGAGTTTCGATCTTATCCATGAGATCGTTTGAACTCCATTTGGTAATTTCTTTTGGGAACACCTCTTCATTCTCAGACAAGTCCTCTTTAAAGAGAGAGAAGAGAACAATTAGGTTCATAAATACAGACACAGAATATGGTGTCATGTGGTCTTTGTTAACACTGTGCCAGCTCTTAACAGCTGGAGGCTAGAAGGGCAGACATGGAGAGCTGATGGTAAGAAAATCCACAGCAGTTCATAAGGCAGGGAAATCAAAGGCTTTGAAAAATAAATCACAGAAAAAAGCCTTATCTGTTTCAAACACAAACAGGCGTTAACAGAGAATTTAAGGGCAATCGCTTTAAACCATGTATTGACAAAGCAGAATCTTAACTATGGTTAATGTTGGGAGTGGTTTTTTGAGCTGCTTTGGAACTGCTATTGTTACACTAAGTATTGCTTTGTGCTGTATTTTCTGTTTTATTAATTTGTATGTAGCCATTTTACTGCATTTTTAAATTAAAAATTGAAAAGAAAAAGAGAGAGAAAACCTGCTCCAATTCAGCAGTAATGAGCAGGTTTTTCTAGGGGAAAGCAGCAAGACAAGTAGAAGTGTGGATGAACCCGAAGTCACAACAGCGGCAGGCAGAGGTGTGAGGGGGCAAATGGTGGCGAGATGGGGGGTGGGGGTGGCATGGGGCATTTAAAATAAAGCATTGGTCTCTACGGGGACTCTCCTACCTACCAGTTTACCGAGGGTACTGTGCCTTTCTGGAACAGGTTTGGAGGAGGGAATGCGAGGTTGAAGTGACAGGTGGCCTTTCAAGCCTTGGAACACAGGTAGCCCTGTTCCTGAGCACAGCCAGTAGCTTCGCACATGGAGCTTCAGATTCTGATGAAAACTGATTTGGCTCCAATTCCCATCAGCCCCAACCAGCACAGCCAATAATCAAGGAGGATGGGAGTTGCAGTCCAACAATATCTGAAGAGCATCAGGTTGGGGAAGGAGGTTTTAGACAACACCGAGCTAGATAAACCAATAGTCTGACTTAATTTAAGGCAGATCCCTATGTTCCTGTTGTCCTTATAATACACCTGATAGCAACTGTGCACATGGAGAATAGATAAATGGATTGCACCTCCAACAAGGCTATTGACTGCTGAAAGAGAAGCTAGACAATTGAACTCTCTTCCTGTTTACCAATTAATTAACCAGCTAAAATAAAGATTACAAATGCAAGCAACTGCTGAAGTCTTTGCACTGGGGAAAATAACTCTTTCTCTGGGATAATGCCAAAGATAAATCATTAAATAGTCAGAACAGGGTTCAATGAAAAGATGATAAAGCTTGCCTACATCAGTACACTGGTGTCAATCACCCTTCTCACGGCTATGATTAACAACGTGCATATTTCTAATCTGCAATTAATGAAAGTATTGCACCAATTAATCCAACAAAGCTGGTGCATCTGTTGAATGTCATGCACAGGGTGCGGGGAGTATGCATTGTCAAAACCGTAAAGAGCGAAGAGGAGTGAATTTACATTCCAGGCTTGTCCCTGCTACTTTATCTAAATATTGAACCCAGTTGCTTAGAAGGCTTAATTACAGCTCTCTCACTGCTGCTTACCATGATCACTGAATGGCTTCTTGCTCCCATTATTTGCATTTTTATGGAACAGTTATTCAGTGTTAATAATTCGGTTTGTCATACTTTGCCAGCAACTGAGAACATGTGAGAAGTCTTGCAATATATATATATATATATATATATATGATCAAGATCCTTTTGTGAGAAGATAATGCAATCCTCATGCCTCTAATAAAAACAGCCAGAATATGGCTAGGATATTATTTGTTATGTGTCCACTTTCTTTCAAGAAGCTCATGGAAACAGTACACAATGGATTTTTCATGTGACCTCCTAGTGTAAAGGGGCTACCCCCTCCCATCTTTACTCAGCTTCAGAAACAGACATCTACATTAAGATGCCTTATAGGGCAGTTATGCCTGGCTCCTCTGGGGTCTTTTTGGGGACCTATTATATTCCCCAGAAACTGAAGCCCCTTGTGGATCACTTCCAGGAGACCTGTTTATTGAGCATTCATCCTGATGAGACAACACTGGCTACTTATTGTGCATTCGTTTGATTTGTTTGCAGGGAGGTAAGACTACACTGCCTCAAGCAAATGTTATTCTACAATTCCCAGTGCATTTTCCCATCACTTTCCTTATTGCAAAAAGTCTGTGTTGGTTTTTTGTTTTTGTTTTTTAACAAAGAGAGAGTTTGTAGCACAAGAGCACCAAATAAGCTTTAATTGCACATCCTGAATTTCCTGTCACATGAAGGAATTCCATCTGCATAACTGTGACAGCCTGGAAGTGCCATACACAGAGAGGGAGTTGCAGGGTCTATAATAATGCTGGATTCATGGGTATGGAGTACATGATCTTGTAAGGTTGCATTAGGAGACTAGAAATAATTAGATAAGGCACAAAGGTGTGGGTTTAAAATTAGAGTCACTTTATTAAATACAATGGCTGTTATGATCTGCATAGGGGTATGGGCAGGAAATATAAACTATCAGGCTCCTATACCTGTCATTGCTGTGACAGCCTACACTTAAGGGAGGAAAGGTGGTTTTAAATGCACCCCTCCCCTCAAGCCCATGTTAATCTACATCCACTTGGGCCCCCTCGATACATCCTTCATATTGTGCTTTCATGGTCATTTGTGCTCGTGAAGGTATTGAGACAGTTATGTAATCTCACAATACTGTTTGCACCTGCAAAAGTTTTGGGGTGGACTTACTGTTTGGTTTGCACTAAGTGTATGCCTTCCTACTGGAATCCTGTAACTTTTCATACCCCAGGTGTTCCAGTCCCATCCCATCCCCACACCATACATAGTGCAAGAGTGTCCCTCCAAAAAGTAATAATGCAATAATGCGGGAAGGTAAACGGCATTTCCGTGCGCTGCTCTGGTTTTGCCAGAAGCGGCTTAGTCATGCTGGCCACATCACCCGGAAAAACTGTATGCAGACAAACGTTGGCTCCCTCGGGCCAGTAAAGCGAGATGAGCGCCGCAACCCCAGAGTCATTCGTGGTTGGACTTAACTGTCAGGGGTCCTTTACCTTTTTTTTAATGCACTATTATTATGACAACGACATGTTGCAGAATGCAGGAACCATGTTCAAATCCATATCCCATTGTTCTTCAACCTTGAGTCCCCTGATGTTGTTGGACTACAATTTTCATCATCCCTGACAATTGACTAAGCTGGATGGAGATGATGGTTGTTGTAACCCAACAACAACTGGGGGAACCAAAGTTCAAGAACACTGCCTTATTCTATACAGGGTGTGACAGCTCACAAGACAGCCTTCAGCATGTTACATGTATTTCCAAGGCTTGTAATGCTCATCTCAAAGAAGAGGTCTGCATTAGGAACCCTGAATTTTTCTCTGGTTTGGATTTTAAACCACAAAACTATATTCAGCAAGACCTCTCTTGTTCCTTCTCCCTGTGACTGGGGTGCTGCTGCCATTGGCCAGGAAGTGGGTTCCACAGGGAGGGGGGGGCTGGAGGAAGAGTGGGTAGCTGGGTTAAAGAGAGGGAGGCTGGGTGGGAGAGAGCCTTTTTCAGTGTTTACGTTACATTATCTAGGGAGCAGATGAAGCTATTTCACAACTTTTGGAGAAATACTGAGGCTTACATCCGAGCCAATTCAATGCTGGGCAGTCACAGGCAAGTCACTCACATTCCTCCAACATCTCAATCTCAAATCACCTCAAATGGGAATAAACATGGCCCATGCATTGAGAACAGGGCCCCTCTGCTTTTGAGAGCAGCAACAAAGAGGACAGATGCCACTTCTCCCTCTAGTATAGAACTGAAAAGCTTCCTTCAATGTACCTATCAAGAGTGCCTGGGATATTTTTTAAAAAAGCAAAATCCCATGCACAGTTGCTGAGGAGTTCCACTGAATTCAGCAGGGCTTACTTCCAGGTAAATATGCATGGGATCAGGCTGTTAAAATCTGTAAAGCATTTTCAAGTGAAAAAAATGGTTGACAGAACAGAAATAAGAACGTTACTCTGTGTCACTATAACGCTATACTAAACCTATGATTATCTGAACATTCTGGAAGTATTCCAGACCAATTAGAACATAGAATGTTCCCTTGTAAATATAAATTACAATTACATTTATCCAAACGGTTGAGGTGGGGGAGTCCAAAACATTAGGATAATCAGTTGTCTCGACATGAGAATGCTATTGAGCAATGATATGTGGTTTTACCGAAGAGGCTCTGAAGAGGCTCTCGTTGGTTCAGTTTTGCTAGTTCAAGAGATGTGCCTGCTGTATCATGATCAAGAAGTTCTGAAGGGTAGAAACTCAAAAACAAGACTTCCCTGCTCTCAAGAATCCCACTCAATACTCAAGTATAGAAGAGTGGTGGACTTCATCCAGGGACATCTTAGGGCAAAGACAAATGCAGTACTTGCAGAGCAGTGAACAGAAAAACACCAGAGGAATCCTATTGGTTCAAACCAAAGGGCCATGCATTCTGGCAACCTGTTTCACCCAAGGACCCATCAAATGCCTCTGCAAAGACTAGAAGCAGTGCATGAAGGCAACAGCATTCTCCTGCTGTTGTTCTCCAGCATCTGGTATTCAGTGACACACTGTCTCTGAATAATAATAATAACAACAACAAGAAGAAGAAGAACAGTAACAATAATAAGACCTATTAGTTGCTTGTTACCTGAAGGTCTCCAAGTGACTTACAACACATTAAAAACTTAAATATAAATACATTTATAGCATAAAAACAGAACAACAACATCCTCCATAACAGCTACAAGAAGCTTTGGTAGCATGCAAGTATCAGCATCTTAGTCTATCAAAAACCTGGAAAAAATATAAGTCTTTATCTGGTGTTGAAAAGATGACAAGGAAGATGCCAGGCAGACCTCAACAGGAAGAGCATTCCACAGGTGAGGAGCCGCAACTGAAAGGCTCTCTCCCTTGCCACCATCCTCTGAGCCTCTCTCAGATGGAGAATCCAAATGAGCAACTGATTCACCAGAAACAATCTACTGTATTTCCATTATTAAAGCCAGCTAAGCTGGTTGCCATCATTGCATCTTGTGGCAGTGGGGTTGGTTTGGAAGTACCCTTGGGGGAAACATGTGTTAAGGAGACAACCTTCATCCAAAAGCAGGTAAAGAATGTAAAACAACAACAACCCTTCAGTCAATATGAATCAACAAAATATGAAAGCTATATAACAACCCAACTTATTGAACTGCATTTGGTTTACACTTTTACACTTATACCTTGGACTCAACTAGATTGTGATTTATATGCGTTGTATGTGTGATACAACATTGTGCCATCAGATAGCGATGAGGAGCCCCATTTTTCTCTACAGTACCTGTTTTCCCTGTTTAAATTTCCAACACATTTTACTGAAACGCTTCTTTGATGTGTCTAGATCCAGCCTTATTGTTCCGAAGAGCTTCAGTAGGAATCTATGGGGTTATCTTTTTTATCCTTAGAACAATTCTAAGAGGCGTGTTTAGGCTGACACTTTCAGACTGCAAGCTTCCTGGCAGGGTTTTACAGTTTTTAACTATTATTGTACAGCAGCCACTGTTTCAGGCACTTTTACAAAGAAAGTGATGCTAAGGAGGAGAGGCAGCAATTGATCCAAGGCCACCTAACTGAGGAGATCTGAATCCATGCCTTCCTGCTCCAAATAGTCTAATGACTATACCGGACAACACTATCTCTAAAAAATAATCTATCTATCTAATGTCATCTATCTAAGCCAACAACAACAAGGTGACATCAAGCTACACTGAAGCAGACAAGCTGTTTATTACAGCCACACCTTTTCTGTCTGTCTGTCTGTCTGGCTGCATACCCTCCTTCCTCCCTTCCCCACACTATCACTCCCAGGGAAACATAGTGTTTCATAGGCTGCAGGCACATCATAAAATCATTAGGTATGGTAGATTAACTCACTTCAGGGAACAGACTTTGGGGCACCATTAACGGGAAGCAAACTGTTAATGATTAAAAAAACATTTTACTATATTTTTACCACCAGGGGTGGGGAGGGTGGGTGCGGATGAATGGGTCACTTCAGCTAGTAAACAAATGCATGTCTAAACTCAAAAGATGCATCTGGATGAACTTGAAAAGTGTCCACAATAACATAGAAAGGGTGGAGTGAGGAAAGTCCAGGCCTTCCATCTGGAGCGATGCTGAAGTGACACAGCTTCATCAGAGAAAGGACAGCTTCTCTCTCATGCAAATGGCTGCACATATACACCATGGCACTCACACACCCGTTAACACAGCTTAGCAGCTGCTCTTTCTATGCCCCACCTACCGTGTGCATCAAAGAATTCGTCGTCGGAGCTCTCGTCTGAATCTCTTGCAATGCTCTGCATTCTCCACTCCGATATGCTATGGCGTGAGGGGCTTGCTAGGAGAAACAGAATGGATTTGTGCAATCAGCGATGCTCAGGAAAAAGCAAGGGAGGTCCTGTCATGCTCTCTGTGGTAGAGGCACACTTCGGTGGTCTTGGTGGAAATGTGTCCCCTAAGTGGGGCACACAGCAGACCTAATGATGCCAGTGTGATATCAAACTTTCCTCCCTGAGTCCTGCATAGTTTATGATTCTTAAATCCCATCGCCGAGACGCCACAGCAGTCTGCAAGCCTCTGCTGCTGTTTCCAAAGAGCAGCTATTTATAAGCATCGGAAGGATGTGTAAAATCATTTCTGTTTTACAGGTTTGCAATTAAAAAAAGGAAGCTGCCTGATTATACATGGTCTTCTCCTCAGAAATCACAAGGACGGCAAAAGAAGTATCTTTTATCAGGAAAGCAGATATTCACAATGTTATCTGCAAGCTTTTGAGTCACAAAAGACTCTTCCTCACACTGAATATTGAAAAATAAAAAGACAGAAGGAGAGAAGGGAAAGGGCAATGCTGGGACTGATGTTAGACCACATGTCAAAGTATTTACACTTTAAACTCCAGCTGTTGAGTCTTGATTGAGGCCGTATTTTATGGCTTTCTGTGGCAGTTGCCTCTATGAACCAAGCTGTTTGTTGGTAGCGGCATGCAACCAGGTGAAGCACTCTCTTTGAATCACCACATTTTAGTGGCAAAAGGCAAGGTGGTTTCTCCACACAGTGAGATGCAAAAGAGATGAACAGGCATGTGCAACTTAAAGTGACCTCTGTGGGGGTTGCTGTGCAGTTTGTGCCACCCATGAAAAGTGCTCACTGGCCACCATGGAGTGTTTCTGCTCCAGGATTTTGAAAACTCTCCTCAGGCAAAGCATTCCTAGTGGTCCAATTAAAACAGAAGAAGCAAACCGAGCAATCTCTTGCACTGCCCCTGACATCTTGGGTGCTACTTAGTTGTGCTCCTCCCCAGCAGTTAGCTGTTTTATGGAAAGGCAAATTTGGCTGCTACAATCAGGAGCAGAAGAGCAGTGGGCAGCGCCAGTGGTTAAAGAAAGCTTAACTGCGTTCTGCTGTCAGTCCACTCAAAATTACCCTCTCTGTGGGAGCCCTATAACTTTCCCCCTGCAGGGACGGAACCAGCTTGAGTGTGGTTTTGAGTGGACAAATGGAAGGAAGGAAAGGGCTAGCATCTCCTTTTCCTACTCCTGATGGCTACCTCTGAAACAGCTTTCAATAAAAACCACCACCAAAATAAACAAACCAACTCCAAACCCATCAGGAGTAATAAAAATAAAAAGCAAGCACTGGCTTGTAGGAATATTGAGAAATCTTCCAGTTTCACTTTCCTAGTTTCTGATGCTTCCATAGTTAAATTCAGTTCTCCACATCTCTGCAGCAATTTGTGAATTCTTCAGCATTTTAATGTGAATTTCTCCCAATGTACACATTTTTTACACTGTTTTGACCAATACACACTTTTGCAAGCAATTTGACCTAATATAAAGCATTTCTGTATGTTATTTTCACTAATATGAACATTTTAAATCCACCCCCCCCAATATTTGCAGTTTTATACATACTATTTGGTTGGAGAACTGCATTGCAAAATTCAGAGAAGAGCAAATTTTGAACGATAGCTATGTTTTGGTTTGCATATTGATCCAAGAAGTACAGATTAGATGATTTCTGATTAAAATGCAAACAAAACAGAATTTCTCATCCACCCCTAAATGACATAACACTTATAGTTTGGCCCCAAGGATGGCAGTGCTATTGTGCTGCTGGACATTTCGCCAGAACCTCAGCACTCCCCTGAGGAAACCCTGGTTTTGTTCCCCTTTTCCTTTATCCCCACTTAGTGAAGGTTGGCACTGCTCGGTAATAGACACCAGAGAATCCACACTAAATGCTACAACCACATATAATCTAATAAAGGCAGCCAAATAGCTTTTAGCGTATTAAACTCACATGGAGCCACCCAGAAGACATGTAGTGGTTCGCGTTAAATGACACACCAGCAAGAAAAACCCATTTATTATTGTACCACCAGAAGGCAGCCACACATGCTGGGTAATAATAATATATTATTATTATTATTTATACCCCACCCATTTGGCTGAGTTTCCCCAGCCACTCTGGGCGGCTCCCAATCGAGTGTTAAAAACAATACAGTATTAAATATTAAAAACTTCCCTAAGCAGGGCTGCCTTCAGATAACTTTTAAAAATAGGATAGCTGCTTATTTCCTTGACATCTGATGGGAGGGAGTTCCACAGTGCGGGCGCCATTACCGAGAAGGCCCTCTGTCTGGTTCCAATGGCTTTGGATTCTACTTTTACTAATTGTCATGTAGAAAGGTCACTGCTGTAACACTCCCACCCCGCCACTGGATCAACTGCGTAGCTAATTATGGCTTCAGCATTCACTCTGTCACCCCTGACTATTCCACCCCATTCCTTTAGGAATAAGGGAGCCAAGTGATTGACAGCACACAGCTAAACCACACTGGACTGACGTCAAAGGCCCTCGCAGAACAGCTGCTAAAAATAGAACAGATAATAATACAGGCGTGCGTGCGACAAGGGTCCCCGCTTACACCAGGGGTCTCGCTTACACAGCAGAAGACTGATCGAGCCCTCATGCAGGAGACAAAAGAAGCCGCTTTCATCTCATCTGTATCAGCAGGAAACTTGAGGAGCAGCTCCCTTGGTGGTCATGCATGCAAATGTGTGGCCATCTCCTAAAAAAGCTGAGGAGGAGATTAAAAAGACTCTCATGATGTGCTTCCCTAACTTGACTCACTGCAATTCGCTTCTCTCACTAGCCAGATCCAGTCTGATGGGGGCGCCTGGCTAGCAACAAGGCCACGATGCAGAGGGGTGAGCTGGATATGCTCATGGCTTAGCTCTGCCGAGAGTCAGGTGGAGGATGGCTGGGCCTTTCCAGGAGTGGGTTGGCAGGACAGTCCTGTAGTGAACATCCTGCTCTGTGCGTATGAGATTTCATGCAGCTTTCTGCATGCATGCAACTGTGGAAAGTGACCGACCGCTGGGTACCAAAGCCAGTGCTTCTCAAAAATGCTGAGCCAGAGCTCCAGCTTTTAAATGTGTTGTTCCTGGACTCAGCACCACAGATGAGTGTGCAGCGGCCCTTGTGTGCAACTGCAGTCCTCTGTGGTGCACAAAGATCTGTGGATCAGGAGCACTAACCTAAAACTGATTTTAAAAGTGGAATGGAACAAATAACTCCCCTCCCCCATTCTAGAACTAAGCACAGAGAAGCATCCTAAGAGCAAAACAATAGCTCTTTGTTCCAAATCAGGGTGATATGATGAGGCAGTGGAAGAAAAGTTGTCCCACAAATCCACCATAGATTAGTATGGTCTTCTCTAAGGGACGATTCATTCCAATCACACATTGGAATGGGAGAAGGCTCCAGTTGACTCAGGATCCTATCTCCTCTTTAAATTGTCTCTTTCTCCCCCTCCAGTGAGCACAGAAATGCTCCCTTGCGAGACCAGGTTTGCAACGCAGTTTGAGCTCCATTTTATTAATTTTATAATCCTTGGAGAGAAAAGTACGGGGGGGGGGCGGTGTTGATAGTGGAAACACCTTAATGTATAAACATGGTGCAGTACCTTTGCTATGGTCACTGGATTCCAAAGAGCTCCAAAACAGGGGATTAAAGGATCCAAGCAGTAACAGAGCCTCGTGGATGAGTGTCGCTTGTTTTATGTCTAGCATTTCACATTAGACAAGCACATGTCCAGGAAAAGCACATCGCTTGAGGCAGTCATGCCACAGCAGAAGTTTCCATGCCTGGTAAATCGCTAAGCATTTCTATTGCTCCTACCCTTACCCACACTTTCCAGTGTACAACCCTGCTCCTCTTGCCAGATAGAGAATGTGCCCTGACAAAACCCTGATGCCATGAAGCTATGGCTGCCACACAATTAAAGCAATCTTAGCTGATGAATCATATTAGTAGGTTAATCAATTAATTGATTAAATCTGCATACATTTGCACATAAGGGGGGGGGGAACACAGCAGTTCTAAAGAAAGCCGAGAGCTGTTGCCCTCCGTTTCTGCTTGCATTCAGTCTTCCCATGGGCACCTGGTTGGACACTTTGAGAAGAGAGGACTGGACTAGATGGGCCCTTGGCCTGATCCAGCAGGGCTCTTCTAATGCCCCTTGTGATAAGAAGTATATTTTAGTTTTATGGTCATCACATCTTAGAACAGGCATTCCCCATTACGTCTCATATCACAGAATGCCCCTTCTAAGACAGCACTTGCCACCTACAGTTTTTATAAGTACTGGAATGCAAAATAATCTTGGAAACATTAACGTCAGTTGCCTGACTAACCAGGGACACTTCTTTAGACAAACAAATTGACTTTGGCTGACAAAACAAAGCAACCCTAAAAGAAGCACTTGGCATATCTGGATTCCTCTGTGTTCTAGTGGTGGGAAAAAGACTGGTGCTTTCAAAAAGTGATAGCTATAGAGCAAGTATGAGAAACTTGTGACCCTCCAGATATTGTTAGGTCATCATCCCTCACCATTGGCCATGATGGCTGGGACTAAGGATCTGTACATTTTGGTTTTCTCGGTGTCTCATTTTCACAGTCTCAAATCCAGTTCTCTACAATTTGCAAATTCTTTTTTTTTAAATTCCTCATAAAAATTCCTCAGCATTTTAGTCCAAAACCCTCCTAATAAGCACATTTTTATATGCAATTCTGACTAATGGACATGTTTTTGCAAGCAATTTCCCCCAATATAATGCATTTTTGAATGTTATTTCAAATAATATCTTCATTTTCATGCACAACTGTCCTCTAATATATGACTTTTTTGAACATTGTTTGGGGAATTACAGTGTGAATGTTGAAGGATAGGTGTTTTTCAGTTTGTATATTGTTTCAGAAAGTGCAGATGTTATAGGATCAGCTTTAAATTCTTCCTGAATTATTTTTTCCTGCATTCTGATCTGTGACTAATGAGAACTGGTGTCCAATGACATCTGGAGGGCCACAGGTTCCCCACCCTGATTCAGTGCCATGATTGTCCACAGTCTGGACACTCACCCTGTTATGCTCCTCCTTCATACGGTTTGTGTTTTTTTGCAGTGTTTAAAAGATTTGTTTGACCAGATCTTTAGCAGATAGGCAGAAGAACCAACTGTACACTATAGACCATGATAGCTCTATTATACAGTCCATATCGGGGGGGGGGGGGAACGACGACCCAAATCCACTACTGTCTCACAATGAAGGATGGCTGGAAAAGAACACCAACAAAGAAGGGAACCTGACCCGCTGGAACATTTTCTTGGCCTGTAGCTTTTCAAAGGAACGAAACACCTCTAGGTTGTAAAGCTATAAAGAATTCATACTGAAGTCAGTCAGGGAGTATAACATTTCTTCAGAATAGAATCAGCTTCTACCGAACTAAAAGGAAACTCTCTCAGGAATGCCTGCTATGCTCTACGAGGGCTATTCCTGTGGCATGTCCACATGGAAACATCTTTCATTCACTGTTTGAAGGAATGCAAGAATGTTCGTTTTGGGTTGGGATAAACCCAGACTTGGTTAAAGCAAGTGTCCTATCTGGGTCCTCAGAAGCAGGTGTACTTTGGAGAGCATGGCCTATTGGTTTCATCAGAGCTGGGCTTGGATCTTGGAATTGTGGGATCAAATCCTATCTCTTCCAGGGTCGCTATACAAAGCATATCTCCACTGAAGGAAAACGGGGTCGGTAGTCAATTGCTTCCCAACAAACTGCAGTAATTTGAGGGGGTGAGTGGCTAGCAATTAGTGATTGGGAGAAACTGATTCAGTTTTCATTTAAAGCCAAATTTATCAAATCTGTACTTTCCAAACAATATGAAAACTGAAACACAGCCATTCTACATAAATTGCACTTATCTGAATTTTTCGATGAAGTTCTCCAACCAATCAAGTTTCACAACAAAGCACACACCAGGGAGAAATGAACATACAAATCAATGCTGAGGGATTTGGAGGGAGGGAACTGTAATAGGCAGGACGATTCCATAATGCTTCCTCTAGCAGGAAACCAGCCATTAACACCTTACAAAGCGGGAACTAGCCGGTGGTGGCCCTCGGCTCATTTTGGTAGTGTATAGAGGCTGGAGTGTGACAGCTTCTAGCACCCCACCCACCACAACACACAAGTAGGTGCTGTGGCACTGCACTGCATCACTCTTTCAGCTTAATGCCACAACCAAACGCTATGACTCTGTACATCAACCTTCAGAAGTTGTTAGCTACATACTCTGTTCCTTTTGAAACTAACCAGGTGGGTGTGACTCACCTCCTCTTTTTGAAGAGGACTTGGAAGACGTCGACCACTGCTTGGTCAGCACTCTCCCCGGCAAGGCTTCACCGATATTGCTAGCAGTGTCCACCGCCTCGGTGGATGGAGATATGGCCTTTGTTTCCGTATCATTCTCATCCAGAGGGTCTTTGGGAAGGTGCTGCTCCAGCTCGCTCTCATTGCAGCTGAACTGGGCCATCTTCTGTGCCAGCATCAGTTGTGCCTCCTTTTCCAGCTGCCGGATGTCCTCAATGGTAAGCCCGTACCATTCATCCTGCCAGCACCAAGCTTGCCTGTGGGCCCGAACCATCACCTTCCGCAAGCCTTGGGGTTGGGGACAGGGAGACACAAAAATTTTCAGCAGGCCACTGATCTAGCTAATAAGAACACACATTAGGGGGCATCACCACATTTCAATCCATTGTTGATCAACGAAAGCTTCAGTGCTACACTTGGATGCTGATTCCTGTACATACCCAGATCTCCCCTCCTGGAATTCTGGACTTATGAAGGTTTATGTTTTTCTTAATAAATCTTGAATGCCTCCATAACATTCTGGTAAGCTAGACCTCTGCTCAACATATGGCCTGGAGTTCTAGCCTTGGCTTTTCCCCCCTGGGGTTCTGCAAGGACTCTCTGATGTATTTGAGGACATAAAGTTGCAATGCAGTCTCCAGGGCTGGCCCTACCATTAGGCAGAGTGAGACGGCCACTCCCAGTGCTGGGTGCTGGGGTGTGTGGGGCAGCGGAAATGTGTTGGAAGCCAGAGCCTGCCTTGTATGTGTAAGCTAGATGCTGCCCTCAGGTGTGGTGGACAAAGGTGTCTTATCACCAATGTTGAAATAAAGTTAAATTGCTAGCCTGGCTGTATGTGGAATGGGTGTGTGTTTCAACTTATCTTTAATCTCAGACAGCAAAATGTATTTGGCCAGTCCTTGCATTCTCCCATCCAAGCACTGACCAGACCCAGAACTACTTAGTTTCCACAAGGCTGCCATGTCACGTGCCTTCAGATCATGCCCTGAACCAGTTCATGCAGATTTAACTGGAACTTTGTTCTTGGGCTTAGCTCTGGTCTGGCTCTGGGGCCAAGCCCTGCCAGCACCCTCCTAACACCAGCCTTTGGTAGGAAGGTGTGGTCTATGGGTGAGCCCAGGGACAAAAGAAACCCTGTGGCCATCCAAACTGAGTTCAATTCCCATCAGCCCCAGGCAGCTTTTCAAGATTCTTCCATAATGACTGAGCCAGTAGCAAATATGCTGAGCAGAGCTCAATGAGTTAAAAACTTACCAACATCATGAATGAAGCGCTCAATTTTAGACTGCATCCCCCAATATCTGAATTCCACCTTGCACAGCTTGTATGCACACATCATAGGGTATCTCCCAGGGTTGTTCTTGTGCTCTTTGATCCAGTCTTCTGACAGAGGACCCCTTGTGGTCTTCACTGATTTATATAGCTTTGGATCTTCTTCTGATTTGTATTCGTGTGGAGGGATGGGATCTTTAACAATATCAATGGGATCTAAGTCCAGAAAAGTAGTTTAAACAAAAACATTGAAGTGCATGGAACTCCAAACATAATTTCATCAAAGCTTTGTTTTGTTTTCATAACTGTTTAGGTGTGTGTGTGTGTGTGTGTGTGTGTGTGTGTGTGTGTGTAGCAGGCAATCAGAGAATTCTCTGTACGATTTGACCACAACATCTCTTTTGAAAAATGCTATGTCTCAGAGGTTTAAATCATAGAACAAACAAATTGGCTACATCAATATCAATTGACCATTTTCTAATGTGGTTGTAGAACACAGACGATTTAAACTGGAGTTCCACAAGTTTCTACAGTATGAAGGTCAAACAGACCGAAAACAACATGTTGTTGCTCATGTGCACCAAGAATCATTCATATAGGTCAGGACTTGTAGGACATTAACAGCAGGTTGAAATTTAGGATTTGGAAATATCAGAAGCTGCCTTAGTCAGACTATTGATCCATCTACTGTAGTATTGGCTACATCAGTTGTCCCCAACCTGGTGCTCTCCAGATGTTGTTCCTGACCTTTGAGCATGCTGGTTGGGGCTGGTGAGAGCTGGAGTCCTAAACATCTGGAAGGCATCAGGTTGGTGAAGGTTGTATAGAACAGCTTGGGAACTGCTTCTTTGTGGGAAGTAATGACTGTTAAAGTGGTATAAGAGTACCTTAAATGTACAGTGTGAATATGACTTTATTATTTACTGTTGGTGTGGAGAACCCTTGGTCCTTCAGCTATAGCTAGACTCCAATTCCCATCAGTCCCAGCCATCACAGCCAATGGTCTGGGAGGATGGGGCTGAAGTTCAACAGGTTCCCTCATGCCTAATTTAACAGAAGGAAGGGAAGCATCTAAATTTTCTGCATTAGACACAAAGCAGCTGGCAGCCCCACAGACAGTGCAGACACACTGTTTTGTTTGCTAATGCTCCACCACAGTCTTCCTGCAGCTCACATTTTCTGCCTTTTTAAGCCTTGAGAGTTATTTAACAAACACTTAAACAAAGGGAAGAGGTTTCATACAAATGTAGTAGAACTAATTAACTATCCTCTTAAATAAACCTTTATGCAGAAACTGGTGTCAGGGGTACATTTAAAATTCAGGCTGAAAAACGTCTCAGCATTTCAGTTAATTTTCTCAGAGAATTAACTGGTCTGTGGGTTCTGAATGACACATCCATCACCATCAACTGTGCATGGACAACTGAGGTGTTATTGCTACACTAGTGCTAATCAGGTGTTCTTTACAATGAGATGCAGTCAATAAGTTGGCTCCAGAGACTCGCCTTTGCCATAATCTTGGGCTTCCCTGAAGCCTGCTTCTGTGTGGATGGTGAGGCTCCACACTCACTTCAGAACTTTGGAAACAGAGGGAATGATATTTGGGTGAGTACTGGCTGTTCAAACACTATCCCCCAAGGCAAGCTTTTGCCTGATTATGTGCAGAAATGCTTTAAGGATTGAGATACAGTTCAGGGATGCCAGGAGGATTTACAAGTCTCCAAGCAAAAGCACCAGCCCTCCCAAATATTGACGCTGGACAAGTCAAAGCAGTTCACTGACATCACCAGACCCTGTGCTTCCTCTCTGCCTCAGCCAGCAAGTTCTGGTGTGGCAGAGACTGCAGCCAAAACTAATTAAGATATCTGCTGTCACTGGCACACTCACACACCATGTGTTTGAGGCCGAGGAACAAACACCAGATTCACTCTATTTTCTTGGTGGTCCAGAATGCAATCCTTAAGAAAGAGCCCAGAGATTAAGTGCATATTCCCTAGTTCCCAAATCTGTGTTCTGACACTCAAGAATGGTACCTTTGTCACCTAGTAATGCTGAATATGACTTTGATATGTATGGATGGCACAAGGTGAATGTCCAGAATGGGGGAACATTAACATTCAGATGGTGACAAACATGTTTATTCCTTGTCACCTCATCCTCTCTCTCGGCATTTCCATCTATCTCCCAACTTTCCACTGTGGAATTTTATGTGTATGCCCCTCAGGGCAGCGGCTTGCTTTTTGCATATGCTAAAGCACCATGCACATTGGCACTATAATATGCCCTGCACTGAGTTAAACAATTGCTTAATCTAGGGGTGAGGAACCTCAGGTTTAGGGGATGAATGCAGTTCCCTGACCTCTGTCCCTGGCCCTCCTGAGCACTCCTCATCAATCCAAATTCTTCAGCATTTTAATGCTATTTATCCTAATAAACACATTTTTGGATAGTATTCTTTTGAATTTTATCCATATAATCCATATAACAAAATAGAACTTCATGAGACAAACACATAAAAATTGCAGGGTTCCATCCTAGGCCCATTGCTGTTCATTTCTTTTTAAAAAAGTAAACAACTTATATGAAGGAATTGAGGGAATGCTCATCAAATTTGCAGATGACACCAAACTGGGAGGGGTAGCTAATGCCACAGAAGACAGAATTCAAGATTACCTTCTCCTTAATAGACTGGAGAACTGGGCCCACACTAACAAAATGTATTTCAATAGGGACAAAATTAAGGTAATTTAGTCAGGAAGAATCAGCTGCACAAATATAAAACATCTGGCTTATCAGTAGTACATATGAAAAGGATCCAGGGGTCTTAGTAGATCGCACACTTAACATGAGTCAAGAGTGTGATGCAGCAGCAAAAAAAGCTAATGCTATTCTAGGCTGCATCAACAGAATTCCAGCATCCCATTCAAGGGAAGTCATACTCCCGCCCTATTCTGCCTTGCTCAGACCACACCTGGAGTCCTGTGTCCAGTTCTGGGAGCCACAATTTAAGAAGAAAATTGACAAGCTGGACCATGTGCAGAGGAGGGCAACCAAGATGATAAAGGGTCTGAAAAGCAAGTCTTATGAGGAATGGTTGAGGGAGTTGGGTATGCTGAGTCTGGAAAAGGAGAGACTGAGAGGAGATAGCCATCTTCAAACATATAAAGGGCTCACCATACAAATAATTAACACTATAGTTGTTTACATGCACACACAAGCCACTGTTAGGCAGAATGAAAGATTGGGAGTGGGAAGAAAATACTCACCAAGAATGGTCTGCCTTTTCTCTGCAGGGGAAAGGTTGAAGACGTTGGCTTGCTCTCCTGAGTCAGATATGTAATAGGTTTCAATATCAATAGAGAATTTCTCCACAAATGGGCACGTATACCTGAGAAAGAAATAGCATCAGGGAAGCTTAATCTAAAGCTTCTACACTCCAAAGTGCTTCAGAAAATAATTTGAACACCCACATAAATACAGGTGCTTTTCTTCCAGAAGAGAGTTGGGGGGGGGGAGCCTCAATGACTTATAGCGTAGCATAGATTTCATTAGCATCTTAGTTTTCATAAGATGAACATCCAGCGTTTGCTAACTTGGCAAAAATATATTATTTTAGACAATATACTACTTTAATTAATGTATATACTTTTGTGCACATTTTTCCCCAAAAGAGCATTTTGTACACAATATTTGGTGGCGAACTGCACAACAAAATTAATAGAAGTGAGAATTTTGAAGAACAATTGAGTTTTGAATCACACATTGGTTTGAGAAGTGCAAATTAGATAATTTCTCATTAAAATGCAAAAAATTGAAGTTCTACCCTCATTCTCAGGCACCACTGCTACCTGTGGCAAAGTTAGACAACTCCTTTAGCATGAGCAAAATATCAACACGTGCACATGCCCTTGAATCCATGTGTGGTGAAGGTTAATTAAAACAACAACAAGGAGAGTGTTTATTTTACCTGTTAGCTTCATATCTCCACTTTACAAAATGGGACTTTTTGTGGCCTATCTACCACATAGAGCTGTTGTTAATACAAGCCAATGTCAACTGTTAAGTGAGCTACAGAAATGAAAAGCTCTTATAAGAGGTAGTACCTTGTCCTTGTATAAGGATACGCATTCCATGACTCCTCCTCAACTCTTAAAGCTGCCTTTGGCAGTATAGACCGAAACCAACTGGGGATATGCATACCAATATGGTATACTTTGTGGGTATACTGCCCATTGCCACCAGGACCATCTGTATATGGTCTGTTTTCCAAAATCTCTACACCACTGCCTTCACCACATGTCTCTTCTCGGCTCTTTTTCTGAAATTACAAAATAAAACAGAGTGAGCAGATTCAACGTTGCCCCTTGCTGAATCAATCAGGACCTGCCATCAGGTACCACAGTGGTAAATCAAGATCTTCAGAGCTGTTTAGTTAGCCATATCACCAAGGCAGACCTCTTGGTTTAGCTGCGCCTCCTCGCCTGCCTCCATCTTCATCCCCACCTGCAACAAGCATTTAGTTATACATACTGTAACTGTATTTGTTCACACCCATCCACTGTTAGTCCTACTTTTGAGCATCTCTGTTCTCTTTCCATTGCCAACATTGTAAGTTCCTTGGGGTGAGGATCTGGGTTTGTTTTTTGTTTATGGGTAAATGTGTGTGCATTAGAGTAAGGTTGAATATTGCTTCTCCACATTTTAAAATGAACATGTCCTGCAAAAGTGGTGGGACCTTTTTTTGGAGGGGTGGAGTCAGGAGATCCATATTACCCTCAAAATGTTAGTGTTTCCAGAGTACCCTGAGAAGAAGGATTGACTGTAAAAGAGCTCTGGCAATTCTGATTTCTGAGGATATTTTCCTTAAGAATGCAAATTTCTAGCTCTTAGTAGCAAAGATAGGCTACAAAGTGCTGCCTCATGAAATCTCAGGTGCCAAAGGGGTGGCTGAATAAGGGAGAAACTACCTGAGATATAGGTGATCTCCTGTCTCCCAGGGTTTTGCCGGCACAGGCACATAATGACCATGTCAGGTGAAGGGAGAGCCACAAGAATGACACAGGAGACTGGTGTTGGGTTGAATTAGGCTACAACTTTATTGGTTACAGGAAAGAGTAGGTTTGGCTAAGGCACTGGGCATCTGGCAGCCCACCTGCTACCTGATAGGAACCTGGTGGGATCAAACCTGTGCTGGGGAATCGCCTCCAACATGGATTGGATGCCACGATCCTGCACAGGCCACCGTTGGGACTCCCAGACAGAGTCACCCCTCTGGACCCCTCTAATGGGGTATCCTTGTGATTAAGGATCCACCCCAGTGCCTTATCCGCCCAAGTTGTGATGGTTGCTATGAGGTAGGTGAAAACCTGCAAGGCAGCCAATTTGCTTGCAGGAGAAAATTCCTCCCTGGCCCTGAATACAGTGACCGAATAAACCACAGCAAGGTCCATAGGCAATGTGCCAGCTTCCCCCCCCAAGTGGGCCCCTAAAGACTGGGTGGGTGGAAAATCCCAGGGTAACAGACCCTTAAATAGGCTGGGAATGGGCTGCTCACAGCCCCCAGCCCCTGCCTCAGATTGGCTGAGAGGGCACTGCCTGCCCTCACCTGCGGGCCTGACAGAAGATGGTGGCCTCCATGGACCCACCACAACTGCGCCATGCGGCAACGGCCACCCACCTGGAGTCCCAGATGAGTGGATATTTCTTTTTTAAAGCATCCATTCAGATAGTGACTGTAGGGCTGGGGGAGGTTAATTAAATTCTCCCCCTCGGCTCCATTTTCTAAATACCAACTAAGTGAAATTACACATATCTGCATAGTATATCGTTACCAGATTTTTTTCAATGGATCCAGGGACCCTTTTTTTTTATTTCATGCTTTATTATCCATAATTAATGGAGGCACAAGGGGTTCACAATCCACATTAAGCCGAGCTATGGACTGGGCCTTAGAAGTTTTGCCCTGGTGTAATATTATATTCCTGTCATTTAGAAGCACCGCTTCCATCCAGGGGTGTATGTAGACTTTATTTCACCTGGGTCAAAGACCCAGTTTGGCACACACATTTGTGTACATACACACATAGGCAGGGGACCTGAATGGTGCCCCCCCCCCGAGGCTTCATCTGGGGCAAAAAACCCAGCTAGCCACTCTCCCCCAGTAGTTATGGCACTGCTTCCACCAACACAACAATTTCAGCTTGAGTTGGCTTTTGTAGACCTGTTGTGAAATGGAAATTCTGCTGATATGACATATAAAAGTATACTATATTTTTTATTGCTAAAATTCATAATTGCCTCCTCCTACAGATATTACATCCATCCACATAAGTTGCTAGCAGAGCCTCGAGCTCCTTCCCTCTCATTGGTATTCTGTGTTTTCTCAGAATACACAGTTATACACATATTTTTTCCCAGTCACACTCATTTCATGACAAAAGAATCACATAATTCTAGAGTTGGAAGGGACCCATGAGGGTCATCTAGTTTAACCCCCTGCAATGCAGAAATCTCAATACAAGGTCCCCAATCCAATGTGAAACCATACCGGACCCTGCTTAGCTTTGCAAACGTGCCAGCAGTTTTATTGCTAGGCCCATTCCTACCCATGATGCCCTCCTGAATTGAGGGTTCTGCTCGGCTCTGCAGAGCTGTCCCCTTCTCACCCCACTGCTACTTCCTGAACAATGGATGATAAGGTGCCCTTGCGCTAACCACAAGGCCACATGTCCATCTCCCCACTCTTGAGAAACCCCAGAACCCCAAATTCTCAGACAACTTCCTCTAACCTACTACTACGCACTCGGTTTCCAAAGCCCTTTTCGGGAGCCAAGATTAATTTGACTTACAGTGGTGCCTCGCAAGACGAAATTAATCCGTTCCGCGAGAGTCTTCGTCTAGCGGTTTTTTCGTCTTGCGAAGCAAGCCCATTGACGGATTAGCGCTATTAGCGCTATTAGCGGTTTAGCGGCTATTAAAGGCTTAAAGGCTTAGGGGATTAGCTGCTAAAAGGCTATTAAAGGCTATTAAAGGCTTAGCAGATTAGATAAAGGGGGAAAGCGAAAAAAATCTCAAGACTCGCAAGGTATTTTCGTCTTGCGAAGCAAGCCCATAGGGGAATTCGTCCTGCGAAGCAACTTCAAAACGGAAAACCCTTTCGTCTAGCGGTTTTTCCGTCTTGCGAGGCATTCGTCTTGCGGGGCACCACTGTATTTCCAGTAGGCCAGAATGCTTGCAGCTGGGGTTTCAGAGTGCAAGCTCCCCTCCCAGCAAACCAAGACTTTACTCAGCAGTGCCAGCCAACCTCTGATTCCCTTCTGCAACTTGCACGGAGGGCGCAGGGCTTACTCCACCACCCAATCTCCCCGCATACTCTCTTCTGACTTTTTTAAAAAGAGTCATGGAAGACAGAAACTGCCCAGAACACATCTGTCTTTGGGACTCAGGAGGCGCCAATCAGCAGCTGCTGCAGGCAGAAGAGGAGAAGGCAAAAAATAAAAAATAAAAAGAGCCTTCTGATGGTGAAGAGAGAACTCCCAGGCTCTGCCTGGCTCGGATCGAGATCAGCGGGATCATCAGCTGGGAGCGCCGGCGCCCCCCAACTCCCAAGTGTACCCCGAGCCTGGGGGAAGGGGGGTGAGCTCTGCTTTGCCGGTGGTGCTGGTAAAGCCGCGCAGCTCATTCTCTCTCCTGTCTGCCTCCCTCCTCCAGCTGGGAGTACAGGGGCAACAGTGCGTGTGACACAACGAGTGTCACCTTCGTCAGGATGACACCCGGAGCACGCGGCACTTGCCTTGCTCAGCCTCTGCTGCCGCTGCCACGTTTCCCAGGGACAATTAATGAAATCCAGGGACATTCTGGGGATGGAATTTGTCCAGGGACAGATTTGCAAATCTGGGGACTGTCCCCGGGAAATGGGGGTGTCTGGTAACCCTAGCATAGTATCTGTAAGTTTACTTCCATGGAGCACATAGCGCTGGGGGGCTTGCTTTTAATTGGAAAAATGTTTCATGGAAAATAATCAAGTCACCCCCCCTTCAGTACTGCGATCTATGATTCCACCAGCTACTATGAATTTAAAACACCACCACCACAAGAACCCTAATCATGGTTCTCTCATGTTATGTCAAGTTGCTCCCTAAAATTCACCATAATCCATAACTTTGCTGCCCTGAGTCCTGGCATCCCTAGCTGCTGCCATCAAATGTTGCCCCATCTCGAGGAAGACATGGGTTGTATGTGGCGTGCCCTCTCTCGCTTCTAGGACGAAGGCAGCTTTCCTACAAATTGAGTCCTTACAGGTGGATACATACCTTGGCTCTGCCACTCCTGTTGACCCTTCATGGTGATAAAAAAGACAGAAAGCTAGCACAAAGTTAAGAGACAAGAGAGTGTGTCCTTCTTGAAACATCCTGAGGGGAAAGGTTTCATCAACCTGCAAATCCAGTTTGGAAATGTTAAAGGTGAGTTACATCTAATTTTTTATCGTGCCTACCTACTCTAATTATAAGGGAAAATCCAGTCATCCTCCCAGTGCCCATCAAAAGATTTCTAGGGCAGATGGTGACACAGATCTATCCTGGCTAAAATAATAGCATTAAATTACTTGTAACAGGGAACCCAGAGGAGCAGATGCGCTATGATTAGCAAGAATGGCAGTTACTTAAAGGCTCTTATTAAAATAAATCTCTGGGAATAAACATGGAATGGGACATAGCACATGACCTCATGTAAGCAGTTATGGAAAAACAATTCTGGTGAATGTCATTGAAGCATCATGCATCCCTGTTGGTATCACCAGCTCTTCACAACAGAAAATGAAAAGCCACAAACAGCTGAACAAAAACAGACTGAGCCATAGTCTTTTGGATCCACTTCAGCCTTTCCTCCAGCTAAATATGCAGGTCAATGAGGGAAGCCCAATTAAATAGACAAGTCACTAAGGGGGTTCTAATGGCCCCTGTTATTCTGGTATATTGCAGAAGCACAATAAAGAATTTATATGACTGCCAATTACAGCTTTCCAGGATGTTTCCACACAGTAGAACTCAAATACTTGCACACTGTTTTGTGACATTTTGGTTGTCTGAATTTTGGAAATTTTCTTAAGGGCCAACATGGCTACCTTTACTTTTATGTGACACACTTTCTGTAAAGAGATTTAGTAAGGTATAATAACTTCCCTGAGTTTTCTGTAACAAGCACTTCCAAATTCTCTCACAAATATGACTTTATTGGAGATGTTCTGTGTGTGGGAGCCTGTGGAATGTTTTCGCCTGGCACCTAAAGATATGCAACAAAGGTGTCAGCCGAACCTCCCTGGGGAGAGCATTCCACAAGCGGGGAGCCACTGCAGAAAAGGCCCGTTCTCATGTTGCCACCCCCTGGACCTCCATACCCACCAAATGTCTCATTTTAAGCGGGGCACTCCAGATCACAGAAGCTAATCCTGGCTTCTGTTTGGATCCTGGAATGTCCCATTATTTGCACTGGACCAAAATATGCTCTGGCACTCTGGCACAAGTCAGCAGGATTCCACCAGAGCTGGCATGACCCTGCTGACGAGTGTCAGAGTGCCTTCCAGTCCAGCGCTCTGGCAATCATCAGCAGGGGCACGCCAAAGCGTCTTCTGGTCCAGCGCTCTGGCACAACTCTGCTAAAGTGCTGGACCAGAAGGCATGCCCCTCCTAGCGTCCCAATTTTGGGACAAAAATGGACCTCTCATGGGGGAGATACATAAAGAAGAGCCTCAGATGATGATCACAGGGACTGCAGTAGTTCATCTGGTGAGAGGCAGTCCTTGAGGTCCTGAGTCGTTTAAGGCTTTATAGATCAAAACCAGCACTTTGAATTGAGCCCAGAAACTAACTAGCAGCCTGTGCAGTCGGGCCAGGATTGGCATTATATGCTCAAACCATCTTGCCCGGTGAGTAACCTGGCGGCCCAAGTCTGCTGCACCTGATATTTCTGAACCATCTTCAGAGACAGTGCCACATATAACGCGTTGCAGTCATTTCCCCAAGATTAACTGGGGAAAGGGACTAAAGGTAATTGGCTTTTAAATTAAATAGGATCAGGAACTAAGTTTTATCTGGTAGCCTTATGCAAACCTTTGCAACTGTCAACTAAAGAGACAGTAACCTTATTACAACAAATGTAAGTCTTAATGGAGCACTAATAAATTGAAGTATAGTATTAGCTTTATCATACCTTTGTAGTTTATAATAAATAAATAATATATTGTTACTTTTATTAAATTAGGCTGAGTTTGAACCTCTAAACTACCAGAGTTGCTGGAATATATATTGTGTTGGAAAACAATAAATTATAGACATTTGATTGCAGCGGTTAAAAGAAGAATCAACAGTGGCAAATATAGGCAGAGAACCAGCTTTGAAAGAAATAGGTGGCTCTTTCCACACAACCACCACATTTTTGTGGTTTCATCAAACTGGTTAAGGACACTTCTGAAAACAGCTGCATTTATATCATTATGGGTGGAATGATTGCATGTTGTTGCAGATTTGAAATGTATTCAGGGGAGGGGAAGATAAAGAGGAATACATGTTAGAAGATATTGTTTATTGGAATAGAGAAGTCTGGGTTCAATCCCTTCTCAACTATGAATCTCGCTGGTCACTATATCAAACCTAAACCTACCTCACAGGGCTGATGGAGAATAAAATCAGGAAACCTGAACTACCCTGTAAAATGGAAACGCTAGCTTTGTTTGCAGGCTTACAATCAAAAGACAAAGTAAGGGAGAAATGAAAGGGGAAGGGAAGTCACTTGGGAAACCTAGGATTAAAATGCACTTAAATGTAGTAAGAAAAGGGAGCTGCACAAACCCGGGGAGATAATAGCTGAGCCAGGCATTTGCCTAGATTTTTAAACCAGATGAAAACAATTGTTCTCTCGTTTACTGTAGATTACAGCGTACAGAGCAACCTTTCAAAGGTAGTCAAGTTAGACAACATTTACAATCAGCTCAGCACTTTTGTTTCCATGGATCGCTGAGATATATTTTGCTTCAAATGAAAGGCTTGCAGCCTTGCACCGATATATAATCCAAAGTCTGACAGCAATATACTCACGAAATAAAACCTGTTGCTTATAAATACCCAAGTCACAACAACATAAAGGCTGTTTGCTAAGAAAGTCCTTGCGGTGCAAGAATCATAGGCAAGGTCAGGACCGTCTTAAGTATATCCGGCGCGCCGTGGTGCAAAGATTCCTCCCGCCCGCCCCTGTTTCCCAGAGTTGCTGACCTTTTTACAGCGCTGCCAGCAGCTTTGCGGGGCTGGAGGAGGCAGGCAGTGGCTGGAGGGCGGCTCCTCCAGTGGGGAAGAGGCGGAGGCTTTGGGTGCTGCGCTGCTTCAGCGAGGCAGGCAAGGGTGGCGAGCTGATGCCGGGAGGTGCTGTGCCCAGCCTCCGCCTCTTCCCTGGCGCCCGTGCCGCGGTGGCCATGGCAGGCGGAGGCTCCGGGCACGGCGCTGCTTCGGCGCACCATGGCAGAGATGTGTGAGGGCAGCAAGCTGATGCTGGGAAGTGCCGCATCCAGCCTCAGCCTCTTCCCTGCTGCCCTCCAGAACTTGGTGCCCTGGCAGCCCGTGCCACTTGCCTCTATGGACAAGACGCCCCTCAGCAAGGTGTCAATCCAAAGATCAAAAACTTTTTACAGCCTTGTTGATTCCAATGGAAGAGAGTTAGCTAGTAGGCAAAGGGAGAGACCACTATCTTTCCCTCAGAGCAGAAAGAATTCATAAAGCCTGCATACACATCATACATTTAAAGCACATTTGAAGTAACCTCCTTGCCATATAATCCTGTAGTTTAAGGGTTCTGGGAATTATAGCTCTGTGAGAGGTAAAATACCATTTCCAGGATTCTTTGTGGAAGAGGATGTGCTTTAAATGTACAGTGGACGCTCGGGTTGCGAACATGACCTGTGCGGGAGGCACATTCGTAACCCACAGCATTCGCAACCAGCAGCGCCGCGTCTGCGCATGCGCAGGTTGTGATTCAGTGCTTCTGCACATGTGCGAGTGCCAAAACCCGGAAGTAACCCATTCCGGTACTTCCGGGTTCGGCGCGGTGTGCAACCCGAAAACACGCAACCTGAAGCGTCTGTAACCCAAGGTATGATAGTACTGTTCGTACAAAGCCTGTTAGCACTGACCTCTGGGCTGCCAGTTTCCTACCTGTCTCCCTTCCTCAAATTGCCAGCTGTTGCCAACAAGGCTCAGCTCTGTCACTTAGAAAGTCTGCTAGTAACCAGCTGCTTCAAAAGCTGCTGCTTCTGCATGGTACCCAGCCTCAGTCCCTGCCTATGTATTTTCAGTTGCTTTCGCACTGTGTTGGCCTTTCAACTAAGTGAATATGGCAACCAGGTGCGCTGGCTTGCCCCTGCGATTGAGGGGGCAGGCGCTGCATGCTGTACATGCACATGTAATGTGACGATGTGAGCACACCACGAGGTGTGTGTGAGTGACATGAGCACATTTCACTGTGTGTACACATCATCATGGAATATTGAGGCCTAGAAAACTGGGGGAGGGGTGGGTGCCCCTGAGGCCACCAATGCTGCTTATAGCCACCCACATCCCTGTCTAAGGGCTAAAGCTATATTCTCCATCAATATTGTGAGTTTTGATAAGAAGTTAATGGTCCTACACATCCTTTGCCATCTGTCAATATCCTTCTTGGTGTATGGCATTCATTAATATACAAAGAGTCAATGAAAGTTGTTTGGAAATAACTGTTCTGTACTTCTCAGCAAGAATTCTGAGCATAAGGGCAGTACTATTATTTTTAGCACATAATGGAAACAATGTTCCTGTTGACACAACTTCAGATTGCTTTGGCCTTGTGAGCTACAGCAGCACATGACTAGCACATGGCTAACTCATGCTCACTTTGTTATCTGCTATATTGACCTTGAATTCTTACTAAGAAGTGCTGCTCCCCCATGTTTTGAACTTCTAAATTGGACTGTTCTCTTCTGTGACATTTTGGATTCACCCTTGCTCCATTTTTTTGTGCACAGACCCACACCGTACATTTGAAGCACATCCAACACACTTGACTTCCCCCCAAAGAATCATGGGAACTGTAGTTTGCTAAGGGTCCAGGGAATTGAAACTAAGTGAGAGGAACCTACAGTTCCCAGGATTCTTTGGGGGAAGCATGTGCTTTGAATGTATGTTGGGTGTGCTTTAAATGTATGGAGTAGATCTGCCCTCTAAGGTACTATCTGCCCAGCTTCTAAGGTTCATTTCAGAACACAAGTATAACCTTTATCATAGTAAACGTAAGAATTTTCCTTGTACCAGGTCAAATTGGTAATAAAATTCATAAAGCCATGACTATCTACCTGCCTTCTACCCAACTTTGTACTGCTTCTAAATATTTTCCCTTGATGCGTCACTTCTCTATAGCCCCAGTCATTTCCCTCTTGTATATTTACATGCAATCATCATGTTTTGTCATTGAGTAATTGCAGTGTAAGTGAATGAGTTGACAGGGTACCATAAATTGCTGTCTACTATAATAGGCAAATTTGTGTTTATTACAGAACACAGTTCTGCCACGGGAGGGGGAGCAGAGAGGAGAGAACAATAGGAAAAAAGGTACCTCATAACATGAAGAGTCCCTCCTCACCACTGAGGTTCTAGGAGTCTCATTTTGGCCACTGATAACTTCCAACCTGTAACCTGCTCAGAGAACTCTTCCCACACAGACTCATCTGCTGCACATTTGCCACCAATCCCACCCTGTCTATTGCAAAAAAAATCTAGAAGCGTTCTAAGGCACGTTATCAGTTCATGTAGGGTGCTTTCCAAATCTGGAGCCCAAGAACTGAGAGTATGCCCTGCAACTAGGGATGGAATCCAACACTGCTGTGTAGTGCTTCTGGTTTTACTCCAGAATTGGGGGGGGGGGTGTTATTGACACATCTAAGTTTTCAGTCTCTCTTATTCTGCTTCTTTATATTGAATGTTGTTAACATTTTAACTAATAACGTTCCAGTATTTGTTTCCAATTCCTGCCAATACTCAGCTACCTTGCTTCAATTAACAAACAGCTAATAAATTCACTTTCTTATTTTACACCCATTTTGTTCAGATATTCCAGAATTATCTATTTGGGATCCAATGGAACTAATATACAAGTATACTGCACGGCCTCAGGGAGGTCTGCTCAGGTAGCAAATAAGGCATTGCGTTGGGCCTAATGAGTACCATACTAAAGAAGTATGGGGTGTGTATGTCTCTATCCGGGAGCCCACAAAGGGGATAATGGGCCATAGCAACCCTCCAAAATGGCGGCCATGGTGGGATTGCCCTGTCTGGTGTATGTCATAGGATGACCCCTTAATCCAGGACCTACCCAGCCAATTAATCAATCAGCATGCGGGCTGGTTGACCCAGGATACACACCCAATGCCTTCACCAAAGCCTACTTACATCTGTAGTCAATAAAGTTGTGGCCTATTTTAACCCAATACCAATGTCCTGTGTCTTATTTATCTCCCTTGTCCTGCCCTGTGCTGGCTGAACACTTCCTGTACCTGGAAACCATCTTTCTTCTGTTGCAGAATTAAGGCAGCAAGCATGGCATTTCCAAGCAATCTCCATTCCAAGTACTGACCAGACCCAGACCTGCTCCACTTGAGCAAGGTGATTGTAGATGTATTTTCAGATCAGGCTCTTGAAGTGCAGATATGCATGTAATAGAATCCTATGAGGTATGGACAGTAGCATCACATAATCTTCTGCCATATATTTTGGAAAGTTGCTTGTTAGTTGGCTATGCATATGGACATCTCTTAAAATATCATAATCAAGTTTTGCATGATGGTTCCTGAGATCAAGGAGGAGGTCATTATGTTTGGATACAACTGGGCACCTTTTGACTCAATAAGGCTTGAAAGACAGAGCCTTTCAAAATTGCACTGATTTTAACCACTGATGTCAAAACTGCATTGATTGGTTAGTTTCTCAGAATTCCCGAGCAACACCAGGAAGTTGCTGATTGCTATTAAAGCAGAAAACTGAAGGAAAGTAGGATAGATTGAAATAATAGTCTCCTTCTTTCCTCTCCCATTTAGAGCTTTAGAGCTGCCTCTCCTGGATAGATAGATGGTTGCTCAATGTATTGTAATTGTCTGAAATGCAGGTGTGAGCAAAAGGAAACAGCAACCAGCCAGCCTCAAACACTCCAGTCGGTATGTGCCTGTTGCAACAGTAAGATTTGTGAAGTCTAGCAGCATTTGAGAGGCACGAATAAATGGGATGACAACAGACAGCTAGGCTTGCAGCTTCTTGTGCTGGGAGCTGTAATTAAGTAAAATCTTAAAAACAGAATGTTGCCAACAGTTATTGACTGAATTACATGCAACTAAGACACAGTTGATTTTCAATTGGTTTTTACACTGCAAGCTCTCTTAGATAACAATAACTCCTACTTGTGCGGCAGCAGTCATTTGCACGCATATAGGAGTACCTGTTTTATCCTGGGCTGTCTGTTTCCATGATGTTAGTAAGACCTGGGTATCATTAACCACTTCTTTTGAATCATTCAATCTGACATGCAATTCATTAGGAGCAATATATCTACAGTGCTGTCTGCTTTCTGATGCGGGTATAGAGACAATGACAAGACCAACTATCTTTATGTCACACCATTTTTCAGTACTTGAAGTGCTCCAGTATTATCAAAGTGACGGCACTACTGAGGGAGGATTGGAGCAGGTTTATCCTCCCCATATTTTGGACCATCTGCAATTATTTCCTAGGAACACCTGTATTCCAGGTCAATTCACAGACTATTGTTACAAATAAGTAAAGGTACCCCTGCCCGTACGGGCCAGTCGTGACCGACTCTAGGGTTTGCGCGCTCATCTCGCTCTAGAGGCTGGGAGCCGGCGCTGTCCGAAGACACTTCCAGGTCACGTGGCCAGCGTGACAAGGCTGCACTGGCGAGCCAGCACCAGCGCCGCACACGCAACGCCGTTTACCTTCCCGCTAAGTAAGCGGTCCCTATTTATCTACTTGCACTTTGACGTGCTTTCGAACTGCTAGGTGGGCAGGAGCTGGGACCGAACGACGGGAGCTCACCCCACCGCGGAGATTCGAACCGCCGACCTTACGATCAGCAAGTCCTAGGCACTGAGGTTTTACCCACAGCGCCACCCGCGTCCCCTACAAACAAGTAGTCGTATGTAATAAATATGAATGTTAAATAAGTCACAACACTGGAACATAGGGTACACCTCTTATACTAAGTCAGTTCACTGGTCCATGAACTATGCAGCCAAGATATGTCCCTCCCCTATGGAACATCACCAGGACATTAGCTAAAGCCAGTGTGGTCTAGCAGTGGATAAAAGATTGGAGGCTCAGGGAGTCTGGAGTTCAGATCCCCACTTAGACATAAAACACATCACCACTGGGTGGTTTTTGCCTTGTTGCTCGAAAATGGGCCTGGGTTCAATCCTTGGTACTTTCAGAAGGGGCTAGGAAAGATCTGCCTGAGAGGAGAGTTACTGCTAATCAATGTAGACAGTACTAAACTCGGTGGACTAACGTCTGGCACAGCAAAAAGCAGCTTCCTATGTTCCTAAGGCGATTAATTCCCTCTCTATCTCTCTGACTAATTCACAAAGAGTTCTTGTGAAGTTAAAACAGGGTAACTTGAAGGAAGAAAAGGGAACAAAGGAAGCTGCCTTATTTGTACAGGCCACAACAGTCTATATCAACGATTGTTGCATGTTCTATTTGTAACATAGAAATATATTGGGTTGGTAAAGGTAAAGGCGCTGTGATCTAAACCACTGAGCTTCTTGGTCTTGCTGATTGAAGGTTGGCAGTTCGAATCTGCATGATGGGGTGAGCTCCTGTTGCTCTGTCCCACTTCCTGCCAACCTAGCAGTTTGAAAGCATACTAGTGCAAGTAGATAAATAGGTACCACTGTGGCAGGAAGGTAAATGGTGTTTCTGGCTTCCATCACTGTGTTCCGTTGTGCCAGAAGTGGTTTAGTCCTGCTGGCCACATGACCTCGAAAGCTGTCTGTGGAAAAATGCCAGCTCCCTCGGCCTGAAAGTGAGATGAGCGCTGCACCCCATAGTCACTTTAGACTGGACTTAACTGTCCTGGGATCCTTTACCTTTATTTACCTACCTATGTTGGGTTGCATCCAATGTTAGCTCTATTCAAAGCAAACCCAGTGAAATTAGCAGACAAGACTAACTTTTCCATGCATTCTTTTTCATGCATCTATTCTGAAGAACACTAGCACTGGACACCACCCAATTTGTTTTTATATACATATTGTACATTATGTAGTCTTCCCTGAGTGTAAGAACAGAGAAAACCAGAAACCTAAATAAAATACAATATACAAAAGTATTCACTTCTATTGCCTTCAAAAGCTAATTTAAGGTTTGTTTCATTGCACTCCATCTCTTTACCATTCATCATCACTAATGCAGAAAGATACTGATCAGAATTTAAAACAATGCTTATAGTTCAAAATAAAAAGAATCGTTAAAGGGGATTTCCTTGTTTGTAGGCTAGTTATCATATTCATCTACATTTAAGGTTTACTGCCCCCCCCGCCTGTTTTTCGTTTTAGTTATCCAGCCAGCATCCCGTTATAGACAGAAGCAGCCTTAAGCTCCAGCATCTGTTTCCATAGCAATGGATTTGCATCAGCAACCCAATGGATTTGGTTCAGGCCAGCCTTGGTCAGTTTTCTGCGTAGCACTTAAATTGCTAGGACTAATAACAAATTGAATGATGTCACTGGCTACCACACACAAGATCTGTGTACGTCATTTGAGTCAAAACATGCATTTTTTTACATACGACACACAAAAATAAGTTGGATTCCATTTGATCCATGTATGATATATTACTTTAGAAAATGTAATTAATACAAGGAGGCCACTTAGTAAAAACAGGGGCTAAACTTGAGAAAGGGCTTAGCCTTTAGAGATTTTAGACTAACCTGGCTACAATTTTAAAAAAGTTATGGCAGTTACACAATAGTAGTATGCTTAAACAGATGACTCTTGAAAAATAATGTCAGAACTCGCTTTGATACTGTTATAGATAAATCCAACATATCTCTACCGTGGCTACAGTATTGTTATATGTATTAAAATGTACATTTTCTCTATATATGTTTGCAGAATCTTCAGATTAAAATCAGTCGAATTAAAAAAAACCAAAATGAGGCTGAGTAGAGGGAGGTTAACTTTGGCTCAATTCGGTGTTAACTTGAAAATAAGTCCATTTTGTGGTGGTGGTGTTATTAAAATGAATGCTGAAAATTTCCAACAGCTTGCTTATTTATTTATTTTTCAAATAATGTGGTGTTCTCCGTTAATGCAGCTTTTGATGCCCTTTCTACTAGTTACAAGTAAAATCCACAGTGTGGCCAGCCCAGTTAAACCACCTGGCTGACAAAAATCTGGAGGGGGGGGATCCCATTGTTAATACACTGGGTTCAGTGTGCAGGCCAGAAAAATAGAGGAATGACTCAAAGATTCCCAAAGGTAATCTCTGACTCTGGGCAGAGGGGAAAAGCATGTACATGTCTGTTGACTCACATTCTTTTTTAAGAGCAGTGCTTTTTTGGTTAAAAAAAATGAGGTTCTGGTACTCATATCTTGATAAAAGTGCTGTGGGTGCCAGTACAGAATGACTGTCATGGAAAGAAAAAAAGAGGTGACAATACTAGTGATTACTGTCACACACAAAAAGCACTGATTGAGAGTATTATTATTATGGTTTATTTACATGCTGTTTTTCAGCCCCAATCCCCCCCAACAAACAGTGAACAGCATATTAAAACAAATATATGGTTTACAGTGCAATAAAACATCATTAATGAAACAAAATACCACTAGTCCAGTGAAAGATCCATCCCCTATATAAAATTCACCAATTCTCTTTTAAATCAATTTAAGCTATCACCACATTTTCTGGCAGTAAATTCAGTGTATTAATCACTTACTTTATGAAAAAGTATTTTGTCTGCAACACAGATACAAAGTAGACTGAGAGGGAGAGTCAGGTTGTAAAATCTAGCAACCAACTGATAGCCATAGATATGTAGGGCTTGGTCAGTGGACAGACTCTATTTATATTGCAGTTGGCAGCCTTCCAATTACTTTCCAAATCTATGATTTTATGGTGGTCACAAAAGGCTTGTTACTAGTGCATCTGCTGCGCAATCCATGCAACCTTTGCAACTATGACGGCTCTTTTGGTCCCAGCCCATGTGACTTATTCTCCCCATATCACAACTTGGGCAGATGGTTCGGGGCAAGTCTGGCCAACGGAAACTAAGCTGCATTGTGTATTGTCTGGGGACAGTCAGCTAGGCACAGACATGTGTAAAGTGTGTATGAGAGAGTGGGGGACGTAGCTTGCTAATAACAACCGTCAGATATTGCTCTTTTTCAGCATGCCCATAACAGATGGTCACATAATACGGTGCTATTCATCTGGATACCTCACAAGGACATATTCCACACACACCACACACACAGCTGTTAGGAGAGGAAGCCATTTGCCCAGACCTTGCTGTATCTCTACACACACATAAATAAAGAGCAGCTGTGCAAAGGGGCATGGGCCAATGCCCAGGATGAGAGCCTTGGACTGGATTTCCTGGAAAACTGAGAACGAAGATCAATACCAACAGAACTCGGGCAGCTCCAAGACAGTTGTAGGGATGCACGCAGAATACAAACAAGGAGCACTCAGGCAGATATAGCGATGCAGTGCTTATCTAGAGGCAAGGCTATTGGTATAAAAATGGCAACAAACTAGCATCCTGTGGCCAAAGGGGCCTGATTGTATGTGCAACATAAATTATGCAAATCCTTAAAATACCCAGACATTTATCTTACAGAAAAGCAAATGGATAGTTGTGAAATTTTGATTCTCCCCACCCCCCCATGGCGAAATGTGGTCTCTGGAAAAGATGTATTAGTAAATGATTGGCACAGCTGGAGGCCCAAATCTTTATTTCTGTAAAGATGCACGTCATGTGTCAAGAACAATAGGAAGCTACATCCTCTAACGCTGGGGATTTTGGCAATACATTTTGGTACCTGAGGAGAACTGCAAAATGGTGCCCCCAGCCAGGGAAGAAGGGGTGAGTGAAGATCTACATCAGGAACAAGGGAGTAAGAACCGCCCTGAGACCTTGAATAAATAAGTTCAAAAATTAATGATCATGTGCATCAGGATGCTGCCCCTGTTGATCCTGTCACCTGAGGAGGCCGCCTCACCTTGCCTCATGGGCAGGCTGGCGCTGCTCTGACAGAGAAACAATCCTCGCCCTAATGGGCATGCATATGCTCAGCAGCCATGTCTTCTTTGTATCATTCCTTATACTCCAGGACTGAGCCCTGGCTTTCAGAACGGTTCTGGGGTTGAGAATAAGATACCAAGGGGGTTTCAGTCTGGATACTACGGCCAGCCAGACCTGAATAGCATTGTGTCGCCAGAAGAAAAAGTCTGATTTGCTTTCTGCTGCACTTGGCCACTACCAAAGTAAATGGCTAGAAGGTGTTACTGCAGCTCATTAACCGTGAACCCAAGGGGTCAACTGAGTTTCTTAACACCTCAGCCTTTGGCCTCAGCCTGAGCAGCTCATCTCCTGAGCAAAGACAAAGCTGCTGTCAACCTGCTTGTACCTCTTCCTCAGTGTACCTGCCTGCTTGCCTGCCTCCCTCAGCTTATTCAGTAGCAACCAGGCTTCTGATTTTCCCACTCACAGCAATGCCTTTGGACCTCTAGTCACATAACTAAGCCTCAGTTCAAACTGAGACCTGTGGAAGCCACTAAGGAAGAAGAAGCAGCCATTTGATACACTGAAGCTCTTAGCTTCTAAAACACAAGAGTGTTTTATTTAGCAGCTTGTGCTTCTTTGCTCTACGCAGCTGTTACTGGGTCTTCACAAGGCGTTCAAGTCTCTACTGTAGTCACACGCAGCACTGTCACTTTTCTGCTGCTGTTTGTCTTCCATCAAAAATTACATCGTTTGTCATTGTCACTCTGCGGTGAAATTACATAACCTATGTAAATTGCATAATTAATTACGCAAATGTCAATGTCATTACATTATTCCAACCCATTCATTCAAATGCAAAAGAAATGCAATGCAAATGGAGATGGGGAAATGTAATCAATTACGTTTTGTTTGCAGGCTGAAAGCAACAATGGCTTGATTTCCATTCCAGACATGGGTCACAAAATACAAGTTTTGGCAATTTCTACTCATGTTTCCATTTTCATCAGAATGATCTGACACCCCTAGTAGTCACTGAATGAAACAGAGAGAAATGAAAAAATGAGAAGCTGCTTTGGGGGCGGGGGAGAGAGAGAGATTTGGAGCAAAGAAGCAGCTGTGGGGGGTAGGAGGAAAGATACTTGACCCTTCTGCCCTCCATTTCTCTGCTTCAGATTACTATCCAACCAATTCTCCCTCATAAACACATGATTTGTTTTTGCAGAAGGCATTGGGATCCTCTTACAAAGACATTGTGTAGTTGGTTGGCCACTACACCCCACTGAAATAAATAGAGCACTTAAATGCTTATGAACCTTTCGGGTATGCCTTATTTTAATTTTTTTAAAGCAGAGATTCACAGGAATTTGTATCAGATTCTTTGAAAAAGATGACTAGCCCTAATTATATAGCTCCCGCTGTGTTCTAAGACAGAAAAGAAAAATGTGCATTCTCCAGATGGCCGAGCATACCAAAAGATCAATTGCTTCTTGATCAGCATTCAAAAAAGAAAAACACACACACACATGCAAGAAAAAGGGATGAACTTTCCAAGTAAGTGTCAACCACCAAATGCTAAGAGAGGAAATGCAAACATATTTCAAAGGCTGTAGACAGATGCTCATTGCTTCAGGGATCTGCAGGTGCACTAAGGGGGCCATCATTGCTCATGCTTGGCACACTCACTTCTGTGCCACTATCATCTTTGGTCAAATAGGGTTTCCATCCGACATAAATGGGGTTCTTAAATAGCAAGCAGATTTATGGTTACCTAAGTTTTCGTGGAAGCAAAGGGCTGTGGTTCAGCAGCAGAGCATAACATTTGCATGCAGAAGGTTCCAAATTCAATGCCCAGCATCTCCAGATAGAGCGAAAAAGGATCCCTTTCTAAAACCCTGGAGCAGAGCTTTTCAACCTTTTTGAGTCCATGGCTCCCTTGAGCAACTACATTCTTTCTGCAGCACCCCATGGGGCTCAGGAGCCCAGCTATGTCACTCCTTGCCTACAGAGCTGGCAGCTTCTTACCCTTTTTTAAGCACTCTCTCTTGTGGAGTGTTTCTTCAGCCTCCTGTCCCTGAGAGACCTCCAGGTGACTGCTGCTGCTTTCCCTGGTCTCTGGGCTGCCCCACCCCAAAGAGAGGTGCCTCCTGGGATTTGTCTGTCCATTCCCAACAGCAAAGGCTGGTGGACTGGGGTCCCTCACCCGCTTGCTTGCTTGCTTACCCAAAGGCCACCTCGGCTCCTGGCAACCAACACCCCCCAACCAGCCCCCGAGGCACCATTCACCTGGGAAGCTTGTAGTCAGGGCGGCTGCAACACAAGCCTTTGGGAGGCAGAAATGCGAGAAGGCATCAGTGGAGGGAGGGAAGGAAAGAGGGACAGAGGCCAGTGTTTCGCATGGCACTCCTGACCATCATTCAAGGTGCCATGGCACACTGGTTGAAAACCGGTGCCCTGGAGAATCCCTAGCAGTCAGTGCTTGCATACAACACTGAGATAGATGGAGCTTTGATCTTTAAGTGTTATTATGGCCCAGGGACTCTCACTTCATCTGACAAATGAAGCAGCACAGGCAGTGTCAGAGGGCAAGGAGCACCCCCACCCACCCCAGTCTCCCAAGACATGGAACTAAGCCCATTGTGGTTACTGGAAAAATACAGTTTCCGTGTACAAATCACAGTTGTACCTTGGATCCCAAACACCTTGCGAGTTGAACATTTCGGCTCCTAAATGCTGCAAACTGAGAAGTGAGTGTTCCAGTTTGCGAACATTCCTTGGAGCCCGAATGTTCGACGCGGCTTATGCGGCTTGGTTCCCAAACATTTTGGACGTCTAAAGGATTCTGTTCGGCTTCCAAGGTCCCACTGTAGATAGATAGATAGATAGATAGATATGATAGATAGATATAGATAGATAGATAGATAGATGATAGATAGATAGATAGATAGATAGATAGATAGATAGATAGATAGATAATAGATAGAAGCAGAGCCACAATCCTAGGCATGACTGAAAGTTAACTCCAGCAAAATCAGCAGGACTTCTGAGAAAACCTATTTAGGATAGGAATGCTAATGTGAAATATATATTTCTCTTTCAAAAATCTAACATATATGCAAAGTAAATCCAACTCCCCAAATCCACATCACCCTTCCCTTCCCCTATTTTGCAATAGGTTCGTCATATTTCTATGTAAACTATACAAAGTTATAAGAGAGTAATGTATTCCCAACAGCAGTCCCTGGTGATAATGCTCTTTTTCTCACTATGCTAATTTAACCCCTCAAGAGGGCAATTATTTTTTGCCATGGGAAAGGTATCCCCTAAGCAAGACTGCAGTGTATCAAGAGCAGCAGCACTTATTGGGTAATATGGATTTTTTGCTTGTTTCGACAAGTAAAGATTTTTTATGTGTAGCACATTTCAAAGTGTATGTTTTCAAGGAATTGTAGGTTCATAGAATTGTAGGATTGGAAGGGACCACGGGGGTAATCTAGTCCAACCCCTTGCGATGTGGGAATCTTTTGCCCAACGTAGGGCTTGAACCCACGACCCTGAGATTGAGGGCCTCATGCTCTGTCAACTGAGCTATCTCTCCACCACAGTTTTAATACCTATTTTAAAATATATTACTTTGTAATGCATTTTGCTGCAATTTAGTTTGTATCAGGACACTGGCAGTCTGGGCTGCTGCTGGTGGGATGCATTAAATGTCTAAATACAAAGATGAAGTAAGTGCATCCATTAGCCAAGTAAAAGCTTTCAAACTTAGCCACATCTCACCCGTGGCTTTTGCCATTGTTGTTACCACAATTATGACTGGAATAGGTTGATAACAACATAGCCGTCATTATAGGAATAAAGATGGGAAGGAGACAGAGGGAGAAAGCAAATGTTAGCCATTATCCCCTTAACATGCTGTTACCACAGGAAATGACAATTGTGTGTCCTGCTCCCCGCCCCTTGTCAAATACAGGGAAAACTAACATAGAACCCTCTAGATAGATAGATCAGCCAATTTCAATTCTCTCCATTTCTCATTTCTCATTTCTCCGACCTTACATTCAGTTCTCCAGATTTATGTAGCAATTTGTGAACTTAAAAAAGAATCCTCATAAAAATTCTCCTAATAAATAAAATTTAGTCTGAAGAACACATTTTGAAAGAGATATCTCCTAATATGCTTTCCCCCACTCATTTATTCATTTCCAAGCACATTTTCCCCTATACATGCACTTTTGTAAGCATTGTTTGGTTGGAAAAATGCATCAAAAAATTTGAAAAAGTGCAAATTTTGAAGGGTGATTGTGTTTCAATTTTCATATTGTTTTGAAAAGTGAATGCTTGATAAATCTAGCTTTGAATGCACAATGAATTGTATGTGTCCCCCATCCCTATCTCCAAGTGATGTTGGTCATTGACTGTGCTGGCTGGGACTGAAAGGAGTTGAAATCCAAAAATGTTTGTATGCTGCTGCATTGGTCACACCTAGTTAGTAGAATTTGTTTCATGTCCTGACCTTACACTGCCTCAGGTTTTCCCACTCTGTAGGCACTGGCATCCAACTGTGTGGAGCAAGGGCAGAAAAATGCAGAATATCATGAAAATACTAGGCTATGAGATATTATGGAAGGGGATGCAAACTTTGGAAGTAGCTGGACATTTAGAGCATGGCCTCCTTGGGCCCAGACAACTTTGGAGTTTGTTAGTGTCTGGAGTAGCAACAAATAAAACCTGAAGCATGCTCAGGTCCATTCTACTCTTTGAAGAATGCAAAATGTTTTATGCGAAAGACTTGAAAGAAACTGCCTCCATGTATTCCCTCCTTCCAACTTAAGCTGTTACAAAAGAGGAACACTCCATCAATCATGATTCCACCACTTTCTCACAGTAGGTACATAAGGACTAGAAATGGGTCCTGGAGAAACAGCTCATCTGTTTCCTAGGATATCAATTAGAAGAGGCTTTAACTTATAAGGTAATGCTCTTTAAAAGGGGAGGGGCTAATATGAACTACTAGGAAGCTTCTGCCCATTACATGAGAAAAAAGCTGGTGCAGTTTTGAAATCAGTGGTTAAAATTAGAACAGTTTTGAAATTGAAATATACTCAGAGTCTACATAACAGAAATGTTCAGTCTATCTTAATTCAAAATCGCATCCAACTGTATCAAACTTAAGAGAGAGAGAAAACCCTGCTCCTTAATATCAAGAACTATCATGCAAAATTTGGGTACAATGTCCTAAAAGGTTGATTCTAAAAGAGGCAAAGGAAAAAGAGTAATTGGCCAAATGTACAGAGGGCTTGAAGACACCCACTCCAGAGAGGCAACTATCCCATGTTTCTTCGTGGGCACCTCCACTGAAGGCATGAGATAATACTGTTTAAATATGCCCAGTCTCTGTGGCAAACACACAGACGATGCTTCAAGCAGCGCTGCTGTGCCAATCCATACAGTTGCCAGGAACAATGAAGGCTGGGCACACATACTGCTTCCACCACTATCTCCCCAACACAGTTAAGGCCTTCTTGCCAAGTACCCACAAAAATCTAACGGGGAAAATTTATTGATTATCTGAAGATATGTTGTAAATATCTTAAAACATTAGCAGGATTGACATAAACTCATGCAGTAAGAATTAATTAAATGAGAACGTAAGGGGGAAATAGTAAACAGCTTTGAATTGGATATGCAGTAATAAAAATATACAAACTAAGTAACTGCAGAAAGGAGGGGAGGGAAGTCGAAAGAAATGCAGACTAATTTTGTTGAGATTTTGTGGGTTTTTTCTTGTTTTGTTAAAATATTTGTAGAATGTGAAAATGGAAAAAAAAAATTAAAACCCCACAAAAATAATAAACCATTTTTAGATTCATAGCAGCTACAATGAGTGCCATGATAAAGTGATCATAAAGACAGAAAAGAGAAGAAAAGGCAAGACTAACAACATGCACCCTGCACTTCTTGTTGCTGTTTGAAAGCTGACATTTGCAGATAGGCAGAATCACTCTGTTCTCACATCTCTGAGTGACAGTATTAGAAATGGATTGTACCCAAAGGGCTGCCTTCAACTGGAAGGTAAGAGGAAGTGATGAACAAACGGCATTGTGTGCCCGACCACCTTGGATGAAACAAAGGCTATTCCTGCTTCCTGACGAAGGCATCCCCTTTCTTCCCATGAAAATAAATGATGAAAAGGGAATCTCACATACAACTGCATTATAAACTACTCCTTTTTACAATTCTAAAGCATCAGCAGTGTGGCAGTAGGGGAAGCTCATTCTTCTTTTACAAGCTCTTGGTTAATTTAAATATTTCACTCTGTTACTGGTTCTATTTTTTAATTTATTGTGTTTTATTTAGTAATTTTAGTATTTTAACTATTCTGGTATTTAATACTGTTTTAAATTATAAACTGTCTTAAAGTTCAAATTCAGTTTCCAAGTGTGGCTTATAAGTTAAGAAAACAATAAACCACAAACAAGTGCCCATAATGCTCCACTGAAAATGAGGGTGAAAATGCTACCAAACCGAATTCTCTAACACTGCATTTGTACTAAGAAGGCACCTGATGGGAAAACGTTGGTATTGATGGAGTCTAAAATCTAATAAAGACAACAAAGTCAAGTTCACATCTGCTGATCTGCAAGCAAATCCAGGGTACATTAAGTCCACTGCAGTAATGTAAAATTAATTCTAATTGATGGAAGCTGTTATGTGTTCATTGCAGAATGCCAAACCACCAGGACAACAGGCAGCCAAGGTGATGAAAGCTCTAGGGGAAAAGAATTGGGGAGTGGTGGGGGAGGGCAGTGACAAGCACTTCACAGGTTACAATTAATCCAGGCTCAGCTTTTGGGCACTTGAAACCTCAGCAGGGGATTCCAGGAGGAGAAACGATGCATGAAAGTGAGAGACACAAGATGATTCATTGCACACACCCTCTAGAACAGAAACAGCAAAGTGATACAGAACAGAGGACCAATTCCATACTTCTTTATGGCCCTCCACCCATTGTGCACTTACAACATACTATTTTAAATTTAAACCAGAAGCAGCACAGGAACATTACGGTATTTCTCTTGGCTTCCAGCGCTGTTCAGATAAAATCCAAGCACACATTACCATGAAGTACTTCAAGGGAAAGGCCCCAAGGAACTTGGTTAACAATGCATTTTGAAGAAAAAAATTGCCTACATCCCCTGAACTTGTCTCTACTACTCTAGCAGATGAGTTTCAAGAGGTGTCCAAAGCACTGTCTAGTCCTGCTGTGTTATATGAGTTAGTAAGGCCTGAGGGCATGGAAAAGGTGTTTGGTTTGACCTGAGGAACCACCGGTGCTCTTGACCTTTGAACCTCAGAGCTGAAAAAACTAGCACAGAGAGGACAGCCGGCTGAGCAAGGGAGGTGATTATTGTAAGGCGGTGGCTCCTTCCAGCTTAAAAGAGGCAGTGGTAAGACCACTCCTTAAGAAATCCTTCCTGGATTCAGAAAATCTAAGTAATTACCAGCCAGCTGCTAATTTCCCCTGCTTGGACAACTGTTTTTTAGATCCATTTCTGTCGGAGTTTTGACTCAGTTTGGGCATGGAAGCTGCCTTGGTCACCCTGTATGATGATCTCTGTTGGGAGAGAGGCAGGGTGTGTATTTGCCCTTTTTAATTCTCCTTGATCTCTCAGCAGCTTTCAGTACCATTGACCATGGTTTTCTTCTGGAATGGCTGTCTGAGTTAGGGTGGACAGCACTGCTTTGTGGTAGTTCCGGTCATTTTCAGATGACAGGGCTTGTGCCTAGCCCCATGTGCCTTCAATGTGGGGTCTCACAGGATTCATTACTATCTCCCATGGTGTTTATATCTATCTATGAGTGGAATCATTAGCAGTTTTTGAGTACGCTGTCAGCAAAAATGCTGGTGACACTTCTTTACATGTGCAAGTGTGTCAGTGGATGTGCTAGATTGATGTTTTGCCTTGGTTATGGAATGCATGAGGGCCAATAAACTGAAGCCTAATTCAGAAATGACTGAGACACTGTTAGTGGGTGGTTTCCTAGACCAGATGGTGCAGATGTGGACTACTATGGATGGCATTACACACCTTCTGCAGGAGAAGGAGACGCTTAGGAATACCTCTGGATCCATTATTGTCTCTAAGGCTCAAGTGGCCTCAGCAGCAGAGTGCCTTCCATAAGCTTTGCCTGGTGGCTCAGCTGATCCCCTATAACAGGCTTCCTCAACCTCAGTCCTCCACATGTTTTGAGACTACAATTCCCATCATCCCTGACCACTGGTCCTGCTAGCTAGGGATCATGGGAGTTGTAGGCCAAAAACATCTGGAGGGCCAAGATTGAGGAAGCCTGCCCTATAGGGACAGAGACAGTCTAAAAGTATATGCTCTGGTATTGTCTAGGCTAGACTGCTGTAATGTGTTATACATAGTGCAACTTTGAAGATGTTTCAGAAACTTCTGCAGGTGCAGAATTCAGCAGCCAGATTATGGATTGGGGCAGAACAGTCTGAGCATATAACACTAATTCTAAGATGACTGCACTGGCTATCAATTAGTTTCTAGGCTAAATTCAAAGTACTGGTTTTGACCGAAAACAACTTATGCAGCTCAGGATCCCAATACTTCAAGGGCTGCTTCTCCCCACATGAAAAGTACCGGACCCAGCAATCATAATCTGAGCCCCTTGATCACCACCTTGAGGTTATTAGGACTACTGCCTTAGCCACTACCTGGGCATCTGGACAGAAGCACCTCCTCCAGGATCCCTTTAACGGGACACCCCTACTCTTGGAGTAGAAGGCAGAGGCTTGTAACCTCCCCTCCAACCATGACTAAGGCTTACCCAATGCCTAAAATTGCCCACAGCTGTGACAACTGCGATGAGGTAGGCTAAAGCCTCAGAAAGTGCCTATTACTCTGAGGGGGAAATTCCTACCCAGCCCTGAATACAGCAACTAACTTAGTCCACAGCAAGGTCAAAAACATACACAAATTGACAAATATAGAGAGCAGAATACAAAGGGAGGGTGGGTGGAAAATCTAATGACAAACTCTGTGCCAAGGCAGACTTGTTTAAATACCCGAAGAGTGGACCTGAGTGAAGCCTGCAGCTCAGTCAGTTCCGCCCCTCCAGGAATGCCCACCCCTAAGCCTGCCTGCCATTTGCCACTTTGGCAGGCAGGCTACATTCAAACCTCCTGCCATGTGCGAACCTTTCTGGCACCCTAACGGCCAGGATCGTCTGGCAGAGGCAGCCACATTGGGATGCATTGGGAGAGGGGTCACTGGCCACAATGCCGCCACACCTCAAGAAAGGTAAGCGGATTTCCAGTAGTGTGTGAGTCTGCTGCAGCAAACAAAGCTAAAAAGCCTTGTGGCACCTTAAAGACCAATAAATTTCACTGTAGCATAACATTTTGTGGACTGCAGTCCACTTCAGGGAAATATCAGGAGGCTCTGGCCTTGTTTCTCTCCAAGCCCAAATTAAGGCTCATGTGAACACTGGCAGCTGAAATTTGTGTGGGTGGAATTCTCATAATTGCATGAAGAAAGACAGGCAACTAAATAACGCAAGGTAATCAGAAAGGCTGTGTAACTGGAACACCCCAGAATTAGTGGTTTGTGTCGGCAGAAGGCGCTACCTCAGGATAATAACCTCTAAATTTTAATTGTGCAAACAAGCCTTAAGTATGCCTAAGGCTAGGATTAGCCTTACAAAGGTCTATAACAACATGTGCATAGCTATTAGCCAACTGGCATGCTGCAAGCCAGTCAAATCCAACCACCAAAATGATTTTTACAAGGACATTGCATGGAATTTTTTTTTGTCCCTACAGGCAGAGGGGGGCAGCCAACTTTTTCTCCTCAGGAAGGGACTGCACATTATAACCGTTACTATTTTTCTATATTTATTTATACCCCACCTTTCTCCCTGACAGGGACTCAAGGCAACTTACAGATAAAAGGACAGTTAAAAATATGGGAGGGAACAATGATTTACACTCACTCACAGCACCAGGCCCCTCATTAACAGCAGTCCATCTTGAAAAGCCTGCCAGCTGAAAGACAGCAAGGAGGGAACCAATCTAACTTCTCTAGGGCGGGAGTTTGAAAGTCTGAGAGCAAACACTAAGAAGGCCCTCTCTTGTGTCCCCACCAAGTGTGCCTGTGAGGGTGACGGGGCCAATAGAAGGACCTCTCCCAAAGATTTCAAAGTCTGAGAACGAGGGAATACAGTCTTTCCGATAGCTTAGATCTAAGCCATAAAAGATCATAACCAGCACTTTGAATTGTGTCTGGAAACAAACCACTTCATGGGACCATTTAAAAATATTTCTTGACTGCATGGACACAGTGAAGTTACCAGCAAATCCAAGCAGGTGCTAAATGTTAGAAAAGAAGGAGGGTAGTCCTTGGACACCTCACCAGTATATGATTTTAAATTTTTGTAGAACTATGTGGTGCTGTTAACACCAAAGTTGCAGGTCTGATCCCTGTAAGGGAGAGCTGCATATTCCTGCATTGCAGGGGGGTCGACTAGATGACCCTCAGGGTCACGTCCAACTCTATGATTTTGTTCTATTATTTTTTAATATATACATATCTGGGATGGCACAGACCAGTTTTTATACAGGAGGAAATGACACAGGATGGAAATAAACTGATTGATCTATCCCTACCCACACAAGCTACTGAGTCTGTCCCTCTCCCCACCTTCTCGCTTTACAAGTTTGTGAGCCTCCCGTTATTTTTTTCATAGCTTCCTCTCTGTAGCATCACTTTCTCCCTGCTTAGCAGCATTTAAACATTTCAAAACATATTTAAACATCTTATAGAAACTGGGAAGAGATTTTTTTAAAAAAAGCATATTTGGGTGAAGCCACGCAAAAACGAACAAGACTCCATGAGAAACTGTGTGCTAAACATGCCACTTTCATGGGTTATTTTTAAAGTCATTCATCAATTTATGCACTCAGTTAATCACCCTCGCCAAGAGGTAAGAGAGATTTCTGCGTACCTCAGAAGCTGGCATTCCTCTGATTACACACTGGCTCAAAGAAAATTTGCGCCATTTATGGTTTTACCATACAATCTGTTATTCTGGGACAGCATGTCAACAATTGTGTGAACCAACCTGTATCATGTACAGCTGGGCAATCCTATATTCATCCACACTCATCGGAAGTGGAATGCGATACTCTTTTATAAGCATCTTGAAATCCAAGCAGCCCTTTGGTCTGGTCAGAAATGCAAGCCAGAGGTGCTTCCTGGAGGCTGCTTACATAACAGTAAGCTCATGCATCGATGCCCCCTGAAATGAAAACAGAAAGAGAGGTGCATTTAATTTTGTGAATGAATTTTTTAAAAAAACTTGTCATTAATCAAAGGGTAAGTACTTCCTGAATTACACTTTGGAATGCAGCCCAAAACAACAGATTTATTTCCTAATAAATCGCAGGGCTAGAACCATTACACAACACTGACAGAGATCTGAGATAAATTTCAAATTATGTGTTTCCCAAAGTAGGGACACACACACACACACACACACACGATCAGACCTCATCAGTCCTTAGTCACAATGCAGGAAAGTAAATTTGTGTTGCAGGGAGAGAAGTGCACAGTGAGAGCCAGTGTGGTGTAAAATGTTAGAACAGGGATAGCCTGTTCAGTGCTTCTTAGACACTAACGCCCATCAGTCCCAGTCAACATAACCAATGGATGGGGATGCTGGGAGATGTAGTTCAGCAACATTTGGAAGACACAATATTGGCTACTCACAGGTTAAGATGTTGGACTAGGTCTTGGTAGACCCACTCACCCATGAAGCTTACTGGTCCCTTACTCTCAGCCTAACCCACTTCATAATGTTGTTGAGAAGTCAAAATAGAGGGAAGGAAACCACCGCACACCATTAAAGGGGGCTCTGTGTATTTAGAGTCTGGCCCTGTCCTGGGCAGGCCAATCCATAAATTGTCTGTGTGGGGGGGGGAATCAAATTCTCAAATTTTTAGCTTTCCTCTGCAAGTTTCTAGTCCTTATGGATATGAACTAAAACCTGAAAACGTGTAGAAGCTGCTGGTGAGGAAAGGAGAAGAACTAAGCAGTACTTTTATTCATAGTTCCTTCTTCCTCCCCTTGGACAGCTGAAGCAGAAGCATGCAAATGTGTATAATCTAGATTAGTTTTGCTTGGGTTCACTCTCTTCCAGCATATCGTATACAGTGGTACCTCAGGTTACATACGCTTCAGGTTACAGACTCCGCTAACCCAGAAATAGTACTTCGGGTTAAGAACTTTGCTTCAGGATGAGAACAGAAATCGTGCGGTGGCAGTGCGGCGGCAGCAGGAGGCCCCATTAGCTAAAGTGGTACCTCAGGTTAAGAACAGTTTCAGGTTAAGAACGGATTTCGGGAACGAATTAAGTACGTAACCAGAGGTACCACTGTACAGAGACCCATACACAACCTGAAAGAATTAGAGCAATGTGGCCATCAGTACTAAGCAACTCCTGAGTGCTTTCTTCTGTCCAACACTCATGTAAAAAGGCACGGAGTTTGGGGCAACCTGGAGAGAAGTTAGTAGCAGGCAACACCAGGATTCCTTGGAATCTTTTTGAGAGACTCAGTAGTGGTGGTCAAGCTTTTCCAATAAAGTAACTCACCCACCACCATCAATCTTTCCCTGCAATGCACACCTGTATATTAATGCTGAAATTTTGCAGCGTACATCCTCAGTTCATGAGGGGTGAGGAAGAGACCCAATAGGTTTGGTTAGTATTCCACTTGAAACATATGTAGAAATGTAAGAAGGCATGGATTTCCATTCTGCCCCATATTCATCACATGCAGAGCACTGTTTCTATTCCACTGCAGGGCATCTTCCAACAAAAACAGCATTGTTTGTTTCACATAATGTCGCATAATTGTCTGCTGTGGCATAATGCTATGTAATTAATTGCATTATTCTGCACCATTCATGTCAGTGCAAATGGGGAGGGGGAATCGTCAATTACATATTGTTAAGTTTAGTTTGAGGACTGAAAACAACAGCAGCAAATGCTGATTATATTTGATTTTAAAAGGGTCTCACAATGGCAGAAAGTTTGAAAACCACTGCCATAGACCAGCTTACCCAAAGCCATGGTTGGTCACTGCAGAGGTGCCTTGGTGCACCACCAAAACAATGATCAATCGCCTCACTGAACTTCACAGGCTTAGTTGTAAAGGGTTTTCTGTGCATCTCCTCTTGGTAGATGGTGTGAAAAGGCTTTTTAAAAAATTAAATCCCTGAAAGCTTTTATCAAAGTGTTATACTTGATAATGGCATCCTCTCTCTTATGGAGGTCACCTGTTTGAGGAATGAAGGGTAAGCCAAGTTGTGCAAAGCAAAAGCTTCAGCTTTTGGGAAGTCACAAAGTGAATCAAATTCCACACATGTCTGTTTTCATATTACACTGCAACATCTACAATCCACCTGACTATTCATTACCAACAACAATTCTTTATTGCATTCCAAGGACCAACTGTATGAAATTCAGTGCATTTAAAAAACATTAAAAGCACACAAACTACTAGGACAGATCATAAGACTATGCTTGTTTCTGACTTTTGTCTAATACAAATTGATCCTGACCACCTCAGACAGAAACTTGGCAACGGCCAAAATCACAACTTGAATCTTATTGTCTAGTAGAAACTTGGCATAGAATTGAGCAGATTTAGCTGGTAGATTTGCCATTAGTGGATTAATCAAATGTTGTTGGGCATGCCTATATAATCTGCAGGACAGGGGAATGTGCTTAAGGACTTAAGAAAAGTGGGAGAAGGAACCCATCCTCTCAAACATTTGTGGTATGATAAGTTACAGGATTTCAGCAAGAAGCTATAGGGCATGCACTGATTGAAAATAAAACAGTGCGTCCAACCCCAACCTTTGCAAACAATGTTGAAAGGATCGTGAGAAGAAATAATCATGAACGATACAGGTAGTACATGACCCCAGTCAAGCTTGCAAAAATCTATCATTTGCCCGATAATAAATGCTGGAAATGTAAAGAAACAGAAGGTACATTCTTTCATCATTGGTGGAAGTGCCCAAGGATTAAGGCTTTCTGGGAGATGATCTATAATGAATTGAAAAAGGTATTTAAATATACCTTCTTGAAGAAACCAGAGGCCTTTCTCCTGGGCATAGTCGGCCAATTGGTGTCAAAGAAGGATAGAACTTTCTTTATGTATGCCACAACAGCAGCAAGAATACTAATCGCAAAGTATTGGAAGACACAAGATCTACCCACCTTGGAAGAATGGCAGATGAAGGTGATAGACTACATGGAATTGGCAGAAATGACTGGCAGAATCCGAGACCAGGGAGAAGAGTCGGTGGAAGAAGATTGGAAAAAGTTCAAAGACTATTTACAGAAATATTGTAAAATTAATGAATGTTAGAATGATGTTGGATAGAAATTAAGTGGTTTTTAGCTGTAATGTTATAAGGGAATATGAAAAAATGGATTATTATCAGGCAAAAATCTAAGGTTATAATATTTTAAGATTGAAGATTAGGATTAACAAAGAGGGGAGGGATTTGCTGAACTAACAAACTGAATTGGAATACAGAAAAGGGAGGCGTGAGGAGGTCCGGGAAATAAGCAAATGAAAGATAAGTGATTGAAAGACTGAATTGTTTTTAACTACTTTTATTTTGTATTTTTCTTTTATATTTTTCTTTTTTCTTTTTCTATGTTGTAATATTTTGAAAATCTTAATAAATATCTTATAAAAAAAGAAAGAAAGAAATAATCATGAACGAACAATGAAAAGGATGCCTGTTAGGGCGCTAGATGTACATGATGTAACTGCATAAACAAAAGTCTCAGTATAGTCCTGTGCTTTCGTCCTATGCCATTTGATCTGTTCCCAAGTATAGTTCCCTCATAACTTTCCATGTCACAGTAGCAGCCATGAAATAGGCAAAGATCAGATTGTTACACACCAGCCTTCACGGTTAATCGCATTAGCCTCAGAAGGCTACAATCCCACTCAAAGTGACAAGTCAGTAATGGAGCGCATCATCTTGGGAGAAAAGTGTTCGCCTCTCCTTCCCCCCACCCTCTTCCCTGCCCCCATTTGTTTCAGCACCTTTGCCAAGTGCTAAGTACTTGCAGCTCACAGAAGAAACCAGCACTTGCTGACAGCTCAGTGCTTCATAGGAACACAGGGCCTTGGTTCTGAGCAAGAAGTCAGAGGAAATTATCCAGTTAAAGTATCTGGAAGACCTCCTCCTTCCTTCTTCTCTACTGGTTATTGACAGATAGATAGACAGACGATAGATAGATAGATACAGATAACACCTCCGTCCTTACTGACCTTCCTGGGCTTTACTTGCTGCGCAGGGGCCTCTAATGGTAGTTCCATCACCCTCAGAATTGGCTGCCCAGGAAAGGAGCAAACAGTTCACATAAAGATAAACCAAATCCACCAAAAGTATTTATGGCATGAAAACTGGAAGGGGGGAAGTCACTATGTGGTCACTCCCACACTTTAAAAAAATCAAGAAAAGAAAACAAGGTCAAGTAGAAAATGGCCCCCAACAGTTACTGGTGTGTGGTGTACATAGGGAAGCGTGCAGGCCCTTGACCATTTTTGAGATGAGAGCGTAAAGCAAAGCAAAACTTTTTTCCCACCTCAGTTTTTCATATTTGAAGAGCTGAGGGCTAAGGTTTTACATTTTTGCTTGCTTGTTTGTTTGTTTACAGGGCATGTTTTTGGTCCCCAGAAAAGCTCTCAAACTGACTCGCAGAAAAAACTGAAAGTCAGCTAAAACACAGTAAACGCCAACAACAGAATAAAACATAACAGGATCTTCTTCCAGTCTTATAAACACTCCAAGGGCTGGAGTATGTATTATCGTTGCTCCATGGATGCTGCCCAAACCAACTCTGTGGTAATAGTTGCAAATAATCCGGTGTGCTGTCTCGACTGTGGGGTATCAAAACTGAAGAGGAGTGTGTGGGGAGGACTTGACCAATGTCACCGCTGGACAGAGTTTGCTCACCAGGGGGACGCCATTTTTAGTGGCATCCCCGTGGCAACCGTAACACTGGCTCCAAGTCTTTTTCATTAAAGTGGTAATAAAACAAGCCTATCTTGTCTCCCTCAGAAGCTCTAAATAAATTAGCTGTCTAGCACTGCATGATAAACAACTCTTCCCCTCTTGTTTTCAAGACCTTGTTTCGTGCCTTTTTACTGCTTTTAAATTGCTGTTATACCTACTACCATCAGAAATCCCAGAGGAAATTTCCCTGGTGTGACTGACCCGCGAGGAAAGCAGTTCTCTCAAAGCAACTCATCCCCCACTTCCTTCCCCTGACAAACTGACCCACAGAATTTCTCTGACAGACTAAACCTCCAGGAATTAGTCCACAGACCATATCGAAACAATAAAAAAACTACAATCATCACAAAAAAATGCATACAATTAAGCAATAAAAATCCTAAAAATAACAGGAAAAATACATGTCAGAATATGCTTATAACCTTCCACACTGACCCACATAATTTATTTGACAGGCTAATCCACCAAGAGAACATTCCAGAACAGGGTAAGGATAATCTCATTAAGATGCTCTTAATTAATATTCTCAAACATACCAATAATATTTGTATGCAAAATGGGCATGAATCAAATTCCTCACACATCGTGGGCCCACAAGCCCAAACAGGGGGGGAAATAGTTTACAGCCCTTAGGAAATATGTTTATTTCTGAAGATTTAATTAAAGTGGTCTCATCCTACTTTGGAAGCAATTCAAACGTTTTCTTTTGGGGGCAGGGGTGCATTTGGACTTTTAAAGGGCATTAAAAAAAAAGTGGAGGAAAGAACAATAGGCCATCAACTTAAAAGCAATAAAAACCACAGGAACCATGGTACTGGGGCAGGAAAAATATTACACTTATAACGAAGTGACACAGGTAATTTCTCAGACAGACATGGTGAACCAAAGTGCTAAATTGTGCTTCAGAATGAAAACAGGCATTAAACCCCCTACCATTTAGGGTCTGTATAAACGGAGCCCCTTTAGGGGCTGTAAAAGAAAGCTTGCGGGAAGCTTGGAATGAAATCCTATAATTAGAGAATAAGAAGTTAACGATCATAAAAGGTACAAATAAAGTCTTAAATGTAAGACCAAAAGGCCAAGCTGAGAGTGGGAAGCGCTGAAGGGGGAAAATAAAAGCTCTCTATATAATTCTCTCACCTGTGTAATTCAAAGGTCAGGCTAATATTAGAAGGCTTTTTTCCAGAATGTTTAAGGTGCACGTTGATAGGGTGTGCTGCTCAACTCACAATCACAGACAATCGCAGAATGTCAGGCTTGTGAAATCTACCGGGTACTTTGTTTTCTCATTGTGATCCTGAGACCCACCGGCCAAGGGGAAGTGCAACAAGCAGAGTCTATTGCCCTCCTGAGTTAACCGGATGTACAAAAAAGCACAAATCTACAACTGAGTTGCAGTAGGCCAGGGATTCCAACATCCTAATTTAGGGGGGAAATATGTTGCTGTTAAAAAATTGGGATTCAGAAACCCTTGCTGATGAACTGCAAATCATCAAGATCTACCTTCTGCCCACCACCACATCAGGTTGGGCTAGGTTTTTTTGTAGTGTTTTAAAAAGCTCAATCTCCTGTGCAACTACAGACAAGACCGAGGCAAAAGAACCACATGTACTCACCTCCATCACATCACTTTCAAAACTCCAATGCAGGCAAAACATGGTTTGTTTTCAGCCTGACCATGGCCTTATTTGGCTGTTGGGTCTTAAATTCACACATCTTCTCTATCTCTGCCCCAATTCCCTTTCTGACTCCTAGGTTTGGACAAACCACAGCTTGCAATCCCATCTCAATCAGCAAACTACAGTTTGCACTCATCCTCCAAACCACAGCTTCCAATTCTGCTTTGGAGGGCTACCATAGTTTGGTGAGTTGGAATATAACAGCAAACCGTGGTTTGGAGATCAGAGAGAGAATCGAAACACACAAGGGGAAGAGGGGAACACACAAGCTCAAGGTCAGTCAAACCATGGCTTGCCATTACTCATGAACTAGTCCAACAGCTTTAATTGTACCCATTTTCAATAGCAAAAAAAGGCTAAGCTTTTGACTTAGAGGGGGAAAACCCTGCAATGAGCACAACTTGTGAAAGCAAGAGAAGTGGGATTCTGTATTAGCTTTGGCAGAGAGGGTGCTAAAAAAATTGAAAAGAAATTTGCACCAAAACAGGCAGCAGATTGCAGCAATCTACAGCAATTCAATTCAATTAACTTCTCCTCATACTGATCATAAGGCTTTATCAATGTTTCTCAAACTTGGGTCCCCAGGTGTTGCTGGACTACGATTCCCATCATCTCTAGCTGCTAGGACCAGTGGTCAGGGATGATAGAGGAGTTATAGTCTCAAAACATCTGGAGGGCCGAGGTTGAGGAAGCCTGCCCTGGAATGAGTTGTTTGCAGCTGCTTCCTCACCACAGCTTACCCAAGCTCAGGAGCTGCTTTTCCACAATCAGCTGGTAACAGAATTAAGGCAGTGGTTGCATATCACACTTAATATAATACTATATTCCCCACAGAAATTCAGGAGCGTCCGTCTTCATTTTGCAATTACTATTTTAAAAGATAAAATTAATGAGAAATTACCCTGGCTGCAAGAAACTAAGACTAAAATCCCTGCCACCAACAACTCTCACAGGGAGCAGGAACTGACAAATTAAAGGCCAATTCATGAATGCCACAATCACAAACGTAAACAGGAAGCCACTAACTAAAGAGGAATAATCCCCTCTAAAAGTAATGGGCAGAGGGAAGCTACTCATTAAAGGGACTGTCATAGAGACGTAGGGTCTTGTAAGTAAATTTCCTTTACTCTGAGTAAATGAAGTAGTGTGTTATGAGGGAAGGCATTTTTAAGGGGAACATAATGCTACATTAAGTGAAATAACCCTTTAAATTATCAGCGCAGATGACCTGTGGAAAAACAATACCTCAGCGGCATCAGAGGGCCCTAAGTCTGTTAGCTACATTAGTGTTCATAACTCATGAAATCATCGATTTCTCTCAAAATAGCATCACACAAATGATTAAGGCAAAATAAAATCTGGAAACAACAGTACTCAGCAATAAACCCTAAGTAATATACATTAATAGGAAAGCTGCCAATAGGACAACTAGGACTTCCAAATACTTCCATTACTGCCAAATTAGTAATTTATAGTTCTTGGCTATGCCCAGTGTTTATGTGAATCAGCACAATCGGGCACCAACATTCCCAAGTCTGACACAAAAGACCATACCAGGTATGAAAGTCACCCTTGTAGACAGAGACACTTCACTGGCCAGGGATTAACCTTGATTCAAGGCAGGCCTGCACAAGTTGTTATCTACCAAGTCAAATGCAGCCCATCAGTGACCAGCTGCAATCTGCCAAGATTTTGACAACCTCCCTGATTCTGCAATCTCAAGCAGACAGCAAAATCCTAACATTCACCAACCCTTTTGCTGAGCTGCTCTGCACAAAGGTGAACTGCATTTTATCACACAAGATGTACAGACCGGCCTTGTATATTCAATACATGTATGTATATAATGCTATGTTGTCCATACAAATAGCTGGATTTGTCATTTTTTGTTTCTGTCCATTTTGGCTTCTCTTCTTTTTTTCCAGCCTTAAGTTCAATTTACCCTATTTCTGCATCAATTTGCTATTTCCCCCTTAATGTTGGCACAAATATATGTTTGCATTTTCATTCACATCTACCTTAATATATGCAATGTTGCCTAATACATATTTTAGCAAGCAACTTTCCTTGACATAATGTAGTTTTGTACATTTTCACTAATATATGCATTTTTTAAGCACACAGTCGCAGTACAAAATTTGGAGATGTGCAAATCTCAAAGGATTGCTGTGCTATGGTTCACTTGTTGATTTGGGCAGAGTGAATTACACAGGTTTGCATTAAAATATTAACTGAATTAATTTATCCCCAATCCCTAGTTCTATGTTAACACTTTATTCATATATTTTACCACTCATGACAATAGCTTTATTCAGGCAATAAACCATTTGATGGTTTATTGTTCCAGGAATGAGCTGCAGCAAGCTTTACGTGTCAACACCCTCTTCTCCCCTCTCCTCCTCTGGTGTGGCCAAGAACCAGTTTTTTCTAGTTTAGAATTATAGCAGTTAAGCATTGCGCCTGAACCTGGATAAACTGTGGTTAGTTTTAACTACGGTTAAATTGAATAGAAGATTTAACTTCCCATTTCTGTCAACTAAAGTTGAACATTGTGTTGCAGCCCTAAGCTCTGGTGAACCTTAGCTATTATGCATTGAAACAAGCCAGCTTCATAAACTATGGTGAAACAGGCTTGATCGGTTCCTCATGGTGGCATCAGAGGAAAAGCTGGGAGACAGCACAAGCCTGAGGTCTGTGCACATAACATTAAATCATTGTTTCTCATTATGTTCTAACTGGGCATAGAGCTTCCACATCTGAATGCTATGAGTCAACAAGTCCCTGGTTCATTTCTCACCTCTGCCACAAATTCATACAGTAGATAGAATCAGGCCCTTGGTCCAGCTAGCTCAGCATCATTACTAGTAGCAGCTTTGCTCCTCCTACCTGGGGAATGAACTTGGTATCTTTTGAATGCAAACATGTGCTCAATATCTCTAAGCTATGGCTCTCCTTCTCACAGGGCTGCACTGTAAACTTAGACAAGCCGGTCTCTCCCAACTTCAGTCCCCACTCTGCAACACAGAACAATGCCTCCCTTCAAATATTGTTCTAAGGATTGCTGACTTAATGTATGTGGAGTCCTTTGAATAATCAAATTAATATTGAATATTTTTATTATGAAAGCTCATTGATTGTAACAGACAGAAGAGTCAAATTTCAAAGGAGCAAGTTGATGAATCACAAGGATTATAACCACTTTTTCAAACTTAGCAAACAGATTCTAGTACAGGAGAAGAGAAAGTACAGGAAGAGAGGATGAAGCATTTTACAGTCTTTCTCCTTCCCTTACATGCACACAAGGAGCGCAACTATCAGCACTATTGGAAGAGATGGTGTAATAATTAATAGAGAAAAAACAATGCATTATGAAGGTTTCCTAAACAAGGCAAAACAAACAACTCCCCATTTAGGCAGGGGTTACGTTCCCAGGCACCACACATTTAAGTGAAATTGCATATATTGCAAACACCGTTGAAAAAGCCTGCAGAAAGCCTGCAAATGCTTGAAAACCCCTTTTAAAAACCAGCAGCACTTACCAGACTCCCTCCAAACTTCCTTGCTCAAACTCCAACTTTCAACAGGCCTCAAAGGCTCCTGGGATTGCACTTGCAATGACTTGTGGGATTGCTAGGCGCTGTTTTCACACCATTTTTGCTGTTTCCGTGCTCTTTTGGGGGCTGTTTTTGCCCCTTTAAGTGCCACTTCCAGGTTCACAGTGATGTGTGTGTGTGTGTGTGTGTGTGTGTGTGTGTGTGCGCGCGCGCGCAGTGACGTGTGATTTGAACACGCATTAATGTGTTGTTGCCTGTATATGTTGCTGTTGGGACATCAGAGTAGTTTGGATAATCAAGAGTTCATCAAGAAGAAGAAGAAGAAGAACAGAGAGCCACAAACAGCTGTCTGCTTTTCAAAGATTGGAGGATGGTGAATGTTTAGGGCTGGGTGATATATCAATATATCACCCCAAACTGGTTTGACGTGCATATTGTGATATTGGTTTCATAATTTTTGACCTGGCACTATATTGTGAATCATGATGTGTGGGGGTGCCAACCTGAATTTTTAGTGCTGCCTTGATATAATCTTTTTGAGTGCCCTTGGTGGCATTGTTGGTCCTAACATAAGGCTCTGCAGATGGTGAGAGGCGTTTCTGTGTTGGCGATGGGGGATAAATTCAATTCACATTTAAAGGCAAACTTCCTAAATTTGCACTTTACAAAACAAGTACATGAACCAAAGGGCGATTGTCTTTCAAAATCCTTCAGACTCTGCCATGCAGTTCTCCAGTCAAATCATGTGTACAGAAATGCATGCGCGCACGCGCACACACACACACACACACACACACGAGATAGATAGATAGAGAGAGAGAGAGAGAGAGTATACACACTGCACTGCACTGTAGAATGGTGTGTTTCATTGTCAACCCTGCTATGAAATTAGAATGGAACAGCCTGAGGGGCTGGTGCTTGAAAAACAGTTGGAGGCTGGAGCTGTTACATTTGCATTGTGTTGCCTTACTGCAAACTCACTCTGTATTAAAAACAAAAACAAAAACCCTTGCCTTGTTTGACTCAAAAGAAGTGATGAAATGCGTTACAGATGCAGTACTGGTATGTGGCCCCTGATCTCTGAATCTGCTATCAAAAATGTGAAGATGTTTATCCGAGTTGCAAAGAATTTTAGCGAAAGCCAGCAAAGGGTGAGGCAAGATGAGCACGTGTCCAGCTGAGGAAAAACTCTGGGCCATTAAGGTACAGAAGGGAACAGCACCATTTGACTTGGCCCCGATGCTTTGCACTGTTTCACAGCAATCTGTGTAAATCCAACGTCACCATCCAGGAACATTTTCTCCCTCCAATTAGTAACCCCTGCACACAGAATTAGGAAATTGCAGGGAGGTCTAATAACAGAAGAAAACACTGAAAAAAACTACACGAAGAGACTGAAACCTACAAAGTGCAGTTGGTTAGACACAAGAATCACTGCTTCAAGAGCACACTAAAAGAAGCAAATGCATTTATGGGTCTTAATCTTTTTTGTGCTGTTAGATGAAGTCTGACGTCACCTGCTGAATTTAAGAGCTCATTAGGAGGCCGACATCAATTACAGCAGAAGGATGGACACGGGCCATATGCCATACAGCCATGCTGTAGCTATTAAATCTCGCTACAGGTCACAGGGCAGTCAAATACCTACTTGCAGCAGAAGAGAAAAAGAAATACATTCCTAAAAACCAGTTTTTAATTGAAACCCACAAACAGGAGCTCTTATTTCTTCCACCAACATTAATGGAAAAAGAATATTGAATTTTGGCCTTTTCTGCCATATTAAATGTGGCAGCCGCACACACTCCCCTTGTAATGTTCCCAGCTCCACATTGGCATTTTAAAACTTTAATGGCAGCAAACGCTGCAGCTAAATAGCCACTAGAAAATTAACATAGAGAGTTATTCCATGCCTGAGAAAAGAAATGAAACAAAAACCGAGTGATGGGTGTTCCAAGCCTGCTTTATATAAGCGACCCAGTCACGAATCGGGTTGGTGAGCAGTGAGGAAAATCAAATAAGATTTAATCTCCACACAGAATAGCTGCTTTAAAGAAGTCCACACATTTTCCTACAACGGGAATGGGATGCACTAGTAGCATAGCCAATCCAAACCTTTTTGCTGCCTGTGACATAGTCAGTTGACGTTTAATGACAAACGCACCCAATCTGTACTTTTGGAAACAGTATGCAGACCGAAATGCAGCCATCCTTCAAACTGTTCACTTCTCTGCGTTCTCCAGTCAAGTAATGTTTAGAAAAATCACACATTCCGCAGCTTCCTGCTGAAATTGTGTAACTTTTCATATGGCAAATGTGCTGGGGTTGTTGGTGCTTTTTTGTCCTGCTTTTGTAATGCAGGAACACTGGGGAATCATCTCAGAACAACTAATAAAGCAGAATGATGTGTGGTCCATTATAAATCCAATACTAACACACTGTTAGGGGTCAGGAACATGTTGCAGAATACACCATGTTTTTTTAAAAAACACACAGTCTGGAGGGTCTCAGAATCTGTTCACATGCCCTAATTCTTTCCCTTCGAACTTCCCTGTCTCCGCCTTCCTCTTCTCTTTTCTCTCCATCATTCTCTTTCTCTATCGTACTCCTGACCCACGCCCTTCTGAAACATGAAGCTAAAAATACCTGGTTAAATATATACGTGAACAACATTGAAAAAGAAGGAAGGTAGGGAGAGCTGAAAATAGTCCACAACAAAGCAGCAGGGAAGGAATCTGCTGGAAATAGACACTGCAAAAACTCAAAAGGACATATTTGAAGAGGGTGTGTTGGCAGCTATGAGATGGCGAGCCTGACAATCAAATAATTGCCAAAATTACTGTTATACAATAATTGATCCTTGGAAGATTAGATTTTTCAAGGGCCAGCTGTGGAGAACTGGAAAGATATATGAATTTCTCAGAAATGCCAATTTATAACTGAGGCTTCGGTGTTGGCCTTTGGTAGACTTTTAAACAAGATCAATTGTTCCTGAAATAACAGGAAACGTTCTGTCTAGGGGTTTCCCCCACCAATCCCATTATTACGTCCATTGTTTCTCCCCTATCACCAACATCCACACACCTGCCAAAGGTATCCTTGGGGAGGCAGCACTTTCCAAAACAATATGCAAACCAAAACACACTCATCCTTTGAAATTCGTCCTCCTCTGAATTCTGCAATGCAGTTCGCCAGCCAAGCAAATAACTACAGAAATGCATATACTGGGGGTAAAGTCCGCAAAGAAATCCACATATTTGTGAAAACTGTATACTGTTTTCTGAACACCACCAGTTTCAGTCTGAACACCACCAAAATGCTGAACACCCTCCATGGTCCACCCTGTTCTGTGTCCATTGTGGGCATTTGAAAAGGACTGTCAAGCTATCACTTGACACTTCCCAGTCTTTGAAAAGAAGAAAGATGTTTGTGGCTCTCTGCTCTTCTTCTTCACTAATATCATTCTCTTTTTATTCTGATGTCCCAAAAACACCACATAGAGAAACTTGTGCTGTATATGGCTTGGTTAAGGAAACCTTCATAATGTAATGATTTTTCTGTGAAAAAGAAAAAAAAAAAACCTTTTCGCAACCTAGGAACCATAGCCTACCATGAGCAAACCTTGGCTATAGCTCATGGATACTGGGGAGAAAGCTTAACCGCAGGTCTTGGTTCGGACAACACACTTAGCTCAGCTTGCGTGGTCTTGTTAAGGCAAAGTTTGGCTTAGAGTGTAAAGTCAAGAGGACACTGATTGACACTGCTACCATTTTTTCAAGATGATAGGCATGGAAATGTTGTGTTACTCCCAAACAAACACATCTAAAAACTTCAGTTTGGTGGCAAAACTTATCGTGTTGAGTTTATTTTTTTTAGTCAAGAAAGCCAAAAGAAGCAATAGCACTCTGCTAAAAACATGCCTTGTAACAGTGCAAATGGTGTACAATTAAAAAAAGAAAGAACATACCATAACATATGTTTTCCCTTCTGTCTCTATATATAATAGGGAAAGGATATTTTGGCTGTCTTTTATCTTGGAGATGCAAGACAGAAAAGCATTATGCAGCCAATAATAGCCTTTTAATTGTCAACAGGTGCAAAGTAACTACTTATTATACCTATTATTTCCCTTTGTCTGAGGTTGCTCTGAAAAAGCACTAAGAAGAAAAATGGATGTGCACGTAACACAGATAAGAGAATTCTGTAGATTCCGAGGCTGATCAAAGTTTTCAGTAAAAGACCAGAGTTTTACAGGTATCAATTCTCATCCCTATGTGGTCACCTTGAGGAAGTTCTTACTCTCCCAGGAAAGTGTCTGTTTACAGTGGTACCTCAGGTTAAATACTTAATTCGTTCCGGAGGTCCGTACTTAACCTGAAACTGTCCTTAACCTGAAGCACCACTTTAGCTAATGGGGCCTCCTGCTGCCGCACGATTTCTGTTCTCATCCTGAAGCAAAGTTCTTAACCCGAGGTACTATTTCTGGGTTAGCGGAGTGTGTAACCTGAAGCGTATGTAACCTGAAACGTATGTAACCTGAGGTACCACTGTACAAGCCTGTAATAACTTTTGAATCTTCACTGCGTAAAGCTTTCTGTCAATTAGAATCTTCAGAAATATGCTTCTGGAGGTTTATAGCAGGAGTAGTCAACGTGGTGCCCTCCAGCCAGCATGGCTAATGGTCAGGGGTGCTGGGATTTGCAAAACATCTGGATGACACTGAGTTAGCTAACCCTGATTTAGAGGGTGGTGTATGTTTCTTCGTTTGTTTGTTTAATTTGCTTTGCCCAGCACCCTTCAAGACTGATTTCTCAGCTAGGCAAAATAAATGTGGGGAAGAGAACGCTCCAATTATTAAATCACTGAGGGTAATGAATGCTCACATAATTTAATTGGTGTTTCAATGCAAGGGCCCAATTTCGCTGCAGTGGTCTAAATGTTTAATATCTGTGTCTTCATGCCTGACATTAACAGATTAGCAACACCACATCCATTCACTACACAACACTTCTCCCAGTTTGTCTCAAGAATAACTATTGAGAATAAAAGCATTCAAAAATGTTCAAGTGAAAACGAAAAGAAGCATCTCGTAGCAACTGAGACCAGACTTCCAAATCAGTTTCCAATATGGTTTCAGATCCTGCAGATTCCTCATTTCCTTTTCAACGGTGTGTTCAACTTCTCTCTCTTTCTCTCCCCCCCCCCGCTTTCTTTGTTTTGTAAACCATGATTTGGTGTCACTACTGCTGCAAATCACTATCTACACCAGCACTGACATGAAATCCAGACTCTAATAGCTTCTAAATAATTTATAGGCTTCCAGAATATGTTCCTGCTGTGAAGCAAGGCAAGAGGCACTGTGAGGACTGAGACAACATGGCGCTCTGCTTCTGATTGCTGTACAAAACAAGGCACATTCATCTGAAAACATAGATGCAGAGAAGTCAAAGCATGCATCTGCAAGGGTGTGTCTGCTTGTCTTCTGCCATGCTCGAAATTAAGAAACAGCGCTTCCCTCCCACACAGAAACCTGTATTTTTTATTTAAGTCTCAGACAGTTTCACTGTTGCCCTATCAGACATGCAAATGGCTAAGGAACCAGCATGGCTCCAGGGCCAGACTGGACGTGACTAGAGACACAGAGCAGGAGCAACTATATCTTTCTAGGAACATCTAGTTCTGCCTGAAATTGGTGCATCTAAGCTCAGCTGAAACAAGGAAGAGGTAATGAAGAATCAGTACAGATACACAGTACACCCTCGTCTCCCCATTAGGGTGAGCTCATCCTTCTTTCTTTCATTCACTGAAGTTGCTCATATTAGCCTTTAAACCTCTAAACCATTTGGGACCAGATTATCTGCCTCCATCCATACAAGCCTGCTCAAGCTTAAAGTTCAGCATCTGTGATCCTGCTCTTGGTCCATCATTGAGAGCCGCCAGATGAGAGAGAACAAGGCACAGGGCCTTTACTGTGGTGGCTCCACATCTCTGGAATAACCTCCCCAGACAAGTACATATGGCTTCATGGCTTCCTCTTTGCAGGCTTTTAGGAAGACTTTAAATACTTCTTTATTTCAACCTGTATTTGGTTAATTTTAGTGAACTGTGCTTTTTATTGAGTTTTTATCTGCTGTTTGTCATTTGTCATTTAATTATGCCTGTATTTTTTAATATAGTTTGGGGGGTAGTGGCTTGATTATTTGCGGAAGGAAGGATGAACAAGGATAGGCTTATAAATTAGTACAGAGATGAAAAAGAAATAAATAAAACCACATGCAATGAGAACATTGATCTGGACGCAGCCTTGGGAAAACCTCCTCTTCCAAAGGCCTCTCTCCATTAATCACTGGATAACAAACCAAGCGGACTTAGCAGGTAATAGAAATTCTGCAGGCGCTCTGCCAAACCAAAAATCCTTTAAAACGTGCCTGGATGAAGAAAGGTGGTACATCCAAAACCATCCTCAGAGGTTTGACAAGGTCTCAACTAGTTTCGTTCCCCATTAATGATGAGCGCAGGGGAGGGGTTTAATCAAAAACGGCTGGCTGGCTGGCTGTGAGGGACTTTCGTTCATTTATCTCGAAACGATCTCTATGCCTAGCAGGGTACTGTTGACAGAGCTGTGGCAATGACTTGAGCACACAACTGCAGCCTGGTTCGTCCCCCTGCCTAGCCACGGCTGGTGATGCAAAACAGCGTTGTCTCAACAAAAAGTATTTTCTCATCTGACTTTCCAGACAGACTATCAACAACCGCATAGACTGAAAAGCAGGCAGAAAGCCGGCCTTTAACTAAACACAAGAGAAAGTATTGTGTTTAGAAGCACGTTTGCTTATTCCTAAAGGAAGACATGTCAGCTTTGATTTACATGAATCATGTCCTGCAGTCGGAATATTCTGACTAGTAAAAACTGATCCAAGAAAGGGGGGGCAACACCCCACCTCACCCCACTAAGGATGATGGGACCTAGGTATGCATGTGTGATGATGGTTAAAAATGACAAAGGAGACACAGACTGCCGTTTTTTAGTTTTCCTTACTGGCTGGGACTGATGGAAATTATAGTTCGGAACATCACCAGGTATGCAATGGCTGGACAAGACACTATGGCCGCATTTGCACCTCATATTGAAAGCACTATTATACCACTAACAGTCAGAATAGTTTAACAGTCAATCCCTCTTCCCAGCGAATTCTGGGAACTATAGCTCAGTGAGCAGAATAGGGGGTCTCCTAGCAACTCTCAGCAACCTTAACAAACTACACTGCCCAGGATGCTTTGGGAGAGTGCTATAAATGTATAGTGCAGATGCAGTCTATGATTTATATAGGCTGGAGGTGTTTTAGAGAGCTGAAACGAATCTCTGCCCATAGTGTGTATATTCATCCTACTGACGCATTGCACAAGCAGGCACTGTAGGTTTATACTTTCTTTGAAAAAACCTGCAAAATTTGTTTGACCAAAGGTGATGATTATGTACAGAATTGGGAAGCGACATCTCTCTTACTCCCAAACCATTCTCAAGTCTCTTCAAAAATATCATCTGTCTTCCCAGTGGAATATAAATTTGCAGAAAGCTCTTTGAATGCTGGAAATTCACTTTACACAGAAGCAAGCAGCAAGCAGTTTTTTCAAAGCACATTTAGGTAGCTGCCTTGACTTTACCATTTGCCCTAATAGTTGGATTATTCACAAGTGTTTTAAAAAATGCAGCTGCTTTTTCAAAGTGAGCCACCAAAGAGCCCCCCAAACACTGGTGCTGAGCAATGTTGCTGGAAGAAGCAAATGGCCACGGAAGGGTCTACTTCCCCGGTACAGGAAGGCTGGAGACTGGGAGAGAGCTCAGCTTGAAAGTCTGGGAAGGGCTGAGTCGCAGCAGAATGAAGCAGGCCAACCCAACAGATTAATTTTACCCACATGACTAATAATTGACTACAAAAAAAGCTGAGTTGTGTTAAAAAGCAGGGACTGTCCATGATGCATCACTGAGCTGCCTACACCTTCGACAAAACTGGTTTTTACACACAAGCAGAGCATTCCCCTCTCCATTAGACTTGTATTCGCTAAAAGACTCTCCTTCTTCCCCATCCCAATTTTAAAAATAGTTCAGCTTTGCATGATGAGGAAACACAAAGGTAGAACTAGTGAAGTACTGGCTGTGTATATTCCTTTTTTCTTTTCTTTTTGCATAAACAAACTGTCTGGAGGGGAAAGGCACATGCACAGTGACGAATCAGAGAGAGAAAAGAATCCAAATATAGAAACTGTAGATGCAAATGACTGCACCCAAAGCAAAGCAACCCTATTACTGGACTAGGGAACCACAGGAAAGTGAGGCAATTTGAGGACACCAAAACAGAGCCTATAAGCCACACAAAAGTGAATGGAGCAATTGGATGGGCAGCGGTGGGTGGGTGGGTGGGTGGGGCATACTTTGTAAAAGGTTTCCTGCCTCCTTGCCCAGAGGTGATTGTTGCTTTTGAGCCTGGGCTAGAGAGAATTCAAGGAAAGATTTGAAGGTATCCTGGTTAAGTTGGACATCACACTTTCAAAAAGCAAATTAGTACAAATACTTCATGAAAATTCATCAGCAACTTAATGTGAATTTTTCCAAATATAAACATTTTGGTAGCACAATTTTGTCCCAAATACATATTTTTGCAAAGCCATTTCATTTTTGTATGCTTTTTCACTACTACTTTATCGGTGGTTGCAAGAACAAATGAGCCCTATATTCTAATCAAAATGCTTGATTAACCTGGAAGTAGGCTGTATGAATTGTGTACTGATTTGTACTGATTTGTTGGGTCTCTGGACCGTAATAAAGATTGATGATGACTATATGCATTTTTATGCAGATTTTACCATAGTATGTGCATTTTTGTAGAGAACTGCACTGCAAAATTCAGAGAGGTGAGAATTTCAAAGGATGGAGGTGTTTCAGTTCATTTATTGTTTTGCAAAGTGCAAATTAGGTAGGGTTGCCTTTGAATGCCGAGAATCAAATTTCTCCACCTTCCCTACTCATATAGAAGAGTCATTCCCACCTAAGGGATGAACCCAGCACCTCCAAACTCAAAGTATGCTTCCCCCACTTCAAAATTATTGTTTTCATCATATGTAAATGTATGCAGGCTTAATCAATCAATTAAATTTATTTTTTTTTCATTCAGGTGACAGCCTGATACACAATTTATATTAGTATTACTAAATGTTATGAGAGGGAAATGTAGTTCTGTCACTTTCTTCAGCAATCACACAACAGTTGCAAAGGTGTAGGTGCCCATTTTTTGTTTAAAATTGAGACCTGGCAAGACCTGGGATTGTTCCCCCAGAACTAGGCAGCCTCCACCAGAGACAGATTTGTGATGTGTGCTCCTTGCAAATCATAGCATGATATCAAATGTAATTAACTTGAAATCCAGGCCAGTCGCTTAGCATTAGTAACCCAAGCAAGTCAGCATGAATTCTTAAGACATCAAACCCTCAAACTCCAGTTTAGGAACAAATTGGCAGCTGTGGTGTGTGTGTGTGTGTGTGTGTGTGTGTGTGTTATTTTTGGCTGGCTAATGCTAAAATGGGTTCAGTACTTGAGGGAAAGGAGACTATAGTTTGATTACAGCTCTTCTTGGGATTAGGAAACCACTGTGCCAGTTTCCAACCCCCAAGACCCTTGCAAAATAAGTCAAGCCCCACATTAATAATGCTACATTGAATGTCAAAACAAGAGCACAAGTTTTGCTTAAAATAGGCTCTGCCAATTTTTGGGTTGGCAAAACCTGTGTAACCCCTCTAGTTTATAGAGTTCTCAAAACAAATATACTACAATGCATTTCCCCTTTCTATTTAAAATAAAAGGAAAAGGAGGAATATTCAACCCACCTGCTCAAGAATGTGAGGGTGGTCTAACAAAGTATTCTGGGGGAGGCGGGGGGGGGGAGAGAATGAACTAGACGTAGAAATTTATTAAACAAACTGGGAGTACAAATACCCTCGCCTCCCTGCTTTTCCCTACCAACTCTCCCTGTATCTCATCATATGCGATTCCCATCCAACGACAGGAACATGGTTCAATTCCTTTCCCTATGTCCCCCATGGGAGCCAACACATTGAAGAGAGAGAAAAAGGCATGTCCCATCAGGCCTGTATCAGGACCAGAACTCAGACAGCATCCTCCACACACAAGCAATGACCAGGCTAGAGAAGAAAGAGAAGCAGGATGTGGCACACTGGACCTTTGCCACCCCCACCCCCCAAGTCTTGCTTGGGGGTGAATACTCAGCAGGTCCTTCTTGGGAATCTATGGACTGAGCTGGGCATCTCTGGGAAGCTGTCCCAGGTCCTGCCAGTTACCTCTTTGCAGCCTCTTTTGGCGTTTAACTGTAAACACATGAAACTACTGTTTACTGCCAAAGGAGGCTTACAAGTATAAAAACCAATTGCGCAATCATTGAAATATAAACATAACCAGAATTAAAATACACAATAAAATAAACTTGTTAAAACTCATTCACATATACACACCCATAATTAAAATGTGCAATAAAACAAGCCCATTTAAACAAAATAGGAAGTGTGGGTTGAGAAATTTTGCCTGGCCCCCCACTGAATCTCAGCATGACCTGAAGAGGACATTGTTGCTTACTTGTTCATAGCGATGGGGTTTGGAATGCATCAACTACAACCAGAGGGCAAGATCCTGCTGAGGAGTGAGGGGGCTACCCCAGATAGGGCTCCGTGTCCAGTTTTTGGAGACAGAGAAGCAAATTCTCCATTAAAGAGGAACACACAGCAAATGCCTCATTTGGGGCTTTTTTAGTTTAGGAAAAAAGGCAGGTAAAATGGGGGACATGACATAGGTGTATAAAATTATGCATAATGCAGAGAAAGTGGATTTCCCTCTCTCATCATACTATAAGGGTCACACAAAATAGCACATGGTTAAACTGCAGTTATACCTCAAGATGTAGCAAGGGCCACTATTTTGGGCAGCTTTGAAAGGGTTTTAATTAACATTAATTAACAAGGGATACTGGGAACTGGGCAGAGCTGATCGAGGTGAACCACAATGAGAAAGTGGCTGCCATGGAACGTTTTGAGATCATCTAGCAAATCAAGCACCTGACCTTGGGCTCCATGACCCCGAAGACCAAGGAGGTGGAGAGGCAGCTACAAGTTGCAATGGCTGTATTCCGCCTCCAGGATCAGAGGCATGCAGAATACCAGTCGCTGTGGAACAACTGTGGGAAGGGGTTGTGGCACTCAGCTCCTGCTCTGCCTTTGAAGAACATGTGGTTGGCCACTTTGGGAAAAGGATTCTGCAGGTTGGATGCCAAGACCCCGTGACTCCACAGTTCCCTAGGAAAATGAATAACCACACTGGGCAACAGCATATTGGGTCTTTGACTTGAATATGGCCACAACTTTTATCGGTTACAGTAGAAAATGTTTTGGTGTGGATAGAGTGTTGCTATTTCACTCCAGTCCATCTGCTGGGAGTGCACGTAAGGGTAAAACACGTCTTGGGAGGATGCCCTATGTCCAGCATCAATTAGGGGTACCCCTCCGTGGGTTCCCTGTTGGAGGAGTGGTATGGCACCAGCCCCTGTCTGGGCATCGGACAGACGCCACGCCTCCTGGATCCGTTTAACAGGATACCCTTTTCCAAGGAGGGGCAGGCAGAGGCTACAGCCTCCCCTCTGACCAATAATAATAATAATAATAATTTTTATTTATACCCCACCCTCCCCAGCCAAGGCCGGGCTCAGGGCGGCTAACAAGCAATAATGAAAACAAGTTAGAATCATAGAATCATAGAATCATAGAGTTGGAAGAGACCACAAGGGCCATCGAGTCCAACCCCCTGCCAAGCAGGAAACACCATCAGAGCACTCCTGACATATGGTTGTCAAGCCTCTGCTTAAAGACCTCCAAAGAAGGAGACTCCACCATACTTGAATGAATTAAGTTGAATGAATACAACTTAAAAACAAGATTAAAATACAACATTAAAATATTGAAACAATAAAATATTAAAATGCAGCCTCATCACAGGAGGAGAAAGGAAAAAGAAAAAAGAAAGGGAGGAGGGAATCAAATGGGCCCCAAGCCAAGAGCTATGTTTCCCAATGCCTAACCATCTTACAAAGTTGTGACAACTACTACGAGGTAGGAGAAAACCAAATAGCTGGTGCCAATTTGCCAAACGGAAAAAGCCCCCAAAATGG